GCCCTACCCCTCTGAAAAACATGAGTTCGTCAGTTTGGGATGATGAAATTCCCAAGATGTGGAAAAATGAAAAATGATCTAAACCACCAACCAGTGATCAACATGGGCCATGGCCTCCATAACCTCCCGGGAACAAACCACCAAGTTGCTCGCTCCACTTGCCGGTGTGCAGGGGTCAAGACCTCATCGAAGTGCGCCAGAAATTCCGCAAAGTCCACCTCCGTTCCGGGTTGAAATGCTGGTGGTTGAGACCCACTATTGGGAGAACATCTGCCAAAAAATGTCGGATATTAACATCTGCAGCCCCTTTTGGGGATCTTGACTTTATTGAATGTTCTTTCAAATGTTTTTGTTCGAATGTTTCTTTGGGTTTGTTTTTTCGAACAAAATATTCGATTGTGGCATGGGATCTCCCATGAACTTCCCCCATGATTTCCATCCCATGAACTTTCACCATGTGGCGCATTTTTTGGGTCGTAAGACATGGCATCCCAAATAGATCCAAAGGATCATAGAAAAAAATAGAGTACAGTAATAGATGGTATAAAATAATCCCCATAGAAAAATAGATGGTCTAAAATAATCCCAAATAGTGGTGTACATATAAACATATATCTCATCCTAAATAGTGGTATACCAATAAGGACATAGAAAGGGCCATCCAAAAAGACATCGCCCCGCCTTGCCCGAACCCTCCGGGTCCAACAAGTCGAAAACGCGGTCCGCGAAACTTTCAGACCTTGGTGGATGCATGTTGGTGAAGTTTGTATACCCCCAGTTCATGCAACATTACTATTGGATAGGTAAAGCATCTGTAAATGGGCCTTGGCTTGCATATCAAGCTGTGAACATAAGTGACAATTACCCGTAAACTGACATTGGAGATACAAATTCATAGGGTACACCCCACGAACTTCAAGGGGCTGATCCAAGGATAAGAACGTAACAGGACTGGACCGATAAAAACTGGACCTCTCATCCACGCAGAATATGTGGCTCCATCCTTTGGAAAAGGGCTATCTTTGCCAACAAAAGGTAGAGATAGGTAGAGGCAAAAGGTGGTAATCCCTCATAGCAACCTCATGGATGGATTGGACACTGGCATAATCTCATTCCCCAATATGAAATACAAAATGAAACCCCTGGCAGATCTATAGGCTGGCGGACCAAGCTTGGCGGCAAAAAATGGCTTGGAGATCACCAGAGGAAGAATAAATAGTTGGAAATGTAGGGAAAACACGAGGATTCCATTTGGTTTGTGGGAAACTCCTCTGGGAAAGCCTTGAATTTGGGATCTAGTTGGATGTTGAACTTCCCTCAAATCCATTGTCTTCTGCAGAGTTTCCCTGCAAACCAACTCAGTGAGTGCCCTGGATACCTTGCAAAGTTGCATCATGTCTACATCCAGACCCATTTAAATATAGCAACAGATTGAGATGATCCCTTCCATCATTAATATGGGGACTAGCCATCCACAAGGAGTTGCCCAGTGATAAATTGCTTTATAACGCCCATCAACCATATAGTTAACCATATTTAGGCTATGAATAAACCATAGTATACCATAACCCATCATCTACATTCATCTACCAGAAACCATCGAATTCACATTAGTCAACATGGGTTCACCATTAGTTCACCTATAGTTACGCTCTGGTAAACTAACATAGCTATGGAAAATCACTATTTTCAATGGGCAAATCCACTATTTCCATGGCCATTTTCAATAGCAAACTGTTAGTTTACCAGAGGCTAACCATCATATATCCCATCATATATCCCCTTGAAATCCCATTAAATCACATGAAATCCCCATAGCTATGGAAAATTCACCAATTTTTCATGGGTAAATCCACTATAAATGGCAATTTTCAATAGCTATGTTAGTTTACCAAAAGGGTAACCATCATTCACCCAATAGTTCACCTAACATCTACCAGTCTCCTGCCGAGCTTCTTGTTGAATCCCCTGAAGAAGTCCCGCATCTCTTCGCGCCGGATGACGCCGTCCTGGGCGGATGAATTCATGGAATCGATGGATTTATGGTGGTTATACCCATAGGATCCATGGTGCTGCTATATATGGTGTGCCATGGATCCCATCAATATACCCCCCAGTCATGTTGTTAGCATATATATACCAGCACCATGGATCCTATATGGGATATACTATGAATTTAATTATCATACATCTCGGTTTACGATTTACGGTGGATATGTAATGATGCATCTAGCTTTGGGTGAAAAAGAAAACCCTTTAGAACCCTTAGCATATTTACCCAGCCATAGAATAAGAGTAGAATCATGTGAGTCATATGTTTATATGATATATTAATATATATATACATCTACATATTGTATGTACATACATGTTTTCATGTGCACTGCAAATCCATATATATATATAATACATATTATATATGTGATATTCAACGTAGCCATCGAAAATCACAATGTTTAATAGGTAAATCATTTGTTTAATCATCAATTTCTATGGGCCATTTTCCATTAACTATCTTAAATAACCAAAAAATAAATCCCATTATACAGTAATTCATAACATAATAGATACCATTGTAGTAAATCACAGGTAGTGCCCCTTGACACCCTATGAGTTTCCCCGAATCTGCAGGGCACGACCCACTCAATGCCAGTCCTTCTCCAAATCCAACCCACGCAGGGCGTCGCGTGGACGTTTGTAGCTCATGCGCACCTTGTAGCCTATGTCCTTGGAGGGTCCAGTTGAGATGTAAAATCTTGGAAATCGTTCATAAAATGATCAGGCTTGTTGACAAAGATGGAGATATCATCAACCGATATCTAAGAAGGCAAGCAACAAATTCAACCAAAAATGAAAATAAATATAATAACATCATAAATAAGTGGCAGTGTGTCAAAACCTTGTACCCCTGTAGTTCACATCAAAATAGCTGGGATTTATGGATGTTCATCCCCCTAAAAATGGTATTATGTAATGGGTATTGATCCATACCCAAGTATTTACCCTGGGACCCTATGGTTGTTGTTTACCCTTTGCTATGGGAAATGCTACTCCCTTTTGGGGGTGAAATCCCTATGACAACGGGAAGGTCCGCAACGGAATGATCCATTCAGGGGACATCCCCAGCATAGAAAAACCCCGGGGATCCCCTCTGAACCCATGGGACTCCAAAGAGTCTTTGTTCTTAAGCACTGGGGGCACTAGGCATGTAAAATGCAGGGAAAATCATGTAAATTCATGTGGACTTAATAGGAAACGAAAATCATGAGCTTATTAACAGACTTATAGAGATTTATACATTCCATCATTCCACACCGCAAGGTGTTAGCAATAGTGTCCTCCCGGGCAGATACAGACAAAATAACACCAAACACCTACATACACCTACCAAGCCTAGATTTATCCAAATGCCATGCTAGTGGCTGGCCCATTATCCCACAAAACATCTGGCACCAGGGCGCTCTCATGACCTCTCTGATCTCTTTCAACCTGAATTGCTTGTGGCCCAGCCGGGTCAGCACCCAAAAGAAAAAATACTTGATGTTGCCCGGTTATTTACCTACATCTATCGCTATGAATGGGTATTCTCAAATTCTGAGTGTTGGGGGTTAGTTACTTTTTGGGGGGAGTAGCCAAAAAAGACTTTTCTGATGGATCAGCCTAGGACCTGGAATGAATGATGCACAATTGATACACAGTGAGTTCTGGACCACTGTTGTGGAATTTGAAAGAGTTTGAAAGGTTCCAGTTGAAAAAATAAACAGCAGTTGTAATTGCGACCTTTCAGCAAAAGCACGCAAACATTCTGCTCATGCTTAGTTTATGTATATATATATATATGTACACGCACACGGCACACATGTGTATATATACAAACAACAGAAATAATGAAAATAAAAATAATATTAATAATGATAGTAAGCAACATGCATAACAACATACATAATTATCTATATATATATATATTCATACTGACTATATTCATATGAATACAAATGTGGATGGTAAGGTCACATATATACACATATCGCAACCATCCATAACACATCCTATCCTCACTTTCTACCTCCCCCAAAAAGTAAAACCGTTAGACCTCGTTTCGCGCCAAAGCACAACTTGGTTTCCACGTCTTTGCGGAAACTGAACAATGTCTCCTCGGGCAAACGCGAGCTGCTCATCTGAAACCTCAGAGTGGGACTGGCTGAAATTGACCCTATGCTTTGGCCAAACGATTGAAATAGCAAGGGTGTACGAACCATTTGATACGCCATATTATCCAATAATCCTGGGGATTAATTAAGTGTATTAAGCGTCAACAACCAAGATTATAAGGGCTTGGTCACCTTTGGGAGGGCTTGGTTGAATGTTCATTAACAGATGCTCACCACAGCAGTTATACAGCCTTCATTGGGATCCGACATGGTTGCAAATCAATTCATCAAGAAATTGAGCCATGAACATATTGCACCAAGTTTTCCCCAAATAAAACACACTATTCCTTACTCATGCCTTATCCCACTATATCATTGTGTATGCCAGTCTTATCCACACTGCTGAATGGTTTCCACTCCATCCTTGTTTATTGAGCTCAAACCCAACTGAGGCCCAACTGTACGTGCTAATTTTAATTCCTAATTATAATTAACTTGGATTTTCCTCATCTCTTGATATAGTTGTCACTTGGTATATTAAAAAAAATAAACACATTGGACTAGTCCAATCCCAGTTACCCTCCGGTATATAATCAGCTACATGGGCCGCGGGGCGGCGAAAAGCCTAGTTGTCCCATTCCACCCGGATTGATCCTGCAGGAAATCGTTCAGTTGATCCCCACGAAATGACAGCTGAAATCACCAGAAATGGACCAGAAATCGACATGTTTTTTTGGGATTACCCAACCTGGTTATGACTAACAGTTTGCCATGGTTTTTCGATGGCCCTAATCGAAATAGATGACTTTCCCAGCGATCGAAACTCCCATTTATGGATCAGGGATATTTTCCATGGCGAACTGTTAGTCATAACCAATTGGAATTAACTATGATTTTCCCAGTAAAACTCCCATTTATAAGGGATTTTCCATGGCTATGTTAAATAACCAGATGGTAACTCATGTTAACTCCACATGTTTTTTTTCACAACTCCCGGCATGTTAACTCGGCTCCAAGGGACGCGGCGTCCTCATCCTCCGGCCCGGCCGGATCGTCCAAGGTTGGAGGAGGTCGGGGGCGCTGCTTCTTCTGCGGAATCCTGGTGGAAAATCCACGGATGACACGGGGTTCGTGATGATTCAGGGCTAATGATGGTTATATACGGGTTGTTTAATTCATATAATGGTCATGAATGGTTCTTAGTGATTTATGATGTTTATTCATGGTTAATAATGGTTGATTAATGGTTGTTTAATTACTGATAATTAGTAATGAGAATGTAATGAGAAATATAATGATTGTATATGCGTGTTAATTGTTAATGATTGGAATTGATGAGATTTACCCTTTGGTAAATAAAAGTGGCTGCCTGGAAAATCCTCTATCAATGGAGGTTCTAGCTGGCAAAATCATTTATAAATGGGTGATTTTCCAGCAAGCCACGTTTGGCTACCAGATGGTACATCTACCCTAGAAATATCTACCTTTGGCTATGAGTAGCGTATCAAACCAGAATATATATATGGCTGGCAAAGCCTTAAACTTAAACAAGCACCATGTACAGCGTACAATTGCACATCATCAGCAAATAGATGCATATGTGTATGCGTCCATATATATGTGCGCGTGGAAAAACACATAATTACATACTAAACAACACATCTATCTACCTGCCTACCTATCTATTTATTTTTAATATTTTTTTGTATCTATATACGTACGAGTATATGTAGACCACTGCTGAGGACCTGCTGAGTCGGGTCAACCCGACCCTCAGCCTGAAAGTGCCATAGTCTGGCTCTCGCACGAAGCAATCTTCCATAACCTTGATGGTCGAAGCTCACGGTCGAGCCACAAATGGGATGCATGCTGGGATATAGCATGCAAGATTAGATAAATATGTATATATATATATATATATGCAATTATATGCATATACATGTATATGTATTTATATATATATATGTGTGTATAACGGGATATTGATATAACATGATATAACCAACAACGATAGGGATTTGACTTCAATCTGAAAACGGTACCCCAAAATTTGTGCAAAGTGTGTTGTGCCTGGGTTGACGAGGATTTATGGTAGATACGTCCGTAGTTGGCTTGGTTTATAACCACCTGGTACTTGAGATCCTAAAAATGGCATTGTGGATTCCACATCATGCTGAACGAGGAAAAACCTCCCATGTGTTCATGTGTGTTGACTAGTAACAAGTGGCAGTTCAAAATAAAACACAACAATAATAAATAGTATTGCTATAACTGCCGAATAAAGTTTGTGAAATCGATGTTTTGCTTGTTTAGCTGCCATCTGTTGCATCATACAGTTTGATAGTGCCCCCTCCCCCCAAAAGATACTGCATCTTTTTGTGGGTTTGCTACAAGACTGCTGGATCAATTGATTCGTATTGATAATTCACCCAGCTGACAAGTTCGGCCCATCATCTTGCGCAACAGGCCATTTCGACAGGGATACCGTGATCTCATACCCCCATGACATCCCATTCTGCCACCAAATTTGTGAAATAAAATTCCCATGATTGATGGTTAAATCATGTTCAATCATCACTTTGGCCGAAGCCCCATGATCAAATGTATCAAATAATGTAGTAATAATTATTCCCCTCACATTTGATGTCCTTTACTCCCCCAAAAATAAGCAAATTCATCGAGAGATTTCCTCCACCAACCCTCCAGCCGCAACCGCGCGACATCGTTGAAGTTCCGGTGCGTCACCTCCCCGCCGCCGAGCTTGGCCAAAGCCTCGTGAAAGGCATCCACCTCATCCTGGCAGAAGTGGATCCAGAGTTGGGATACCTGGCAATTTTGATGCTATGTGAATTTCGTGGAACTTACTGTGATTTAATGGAATTTGATGGGGCTTACATGGGCTTACTATAATTTAATGGGACTTACGGACTTAACTTACTATGATTTAATGGGATTTGATGGGATTCCCCATGATTTAACTTAATTAATTATATAGCTATTGGGGGCCTCACCTTGGAAAAGTGTCCCCATTGCGTCCTCCCTTATGTACCTTGAACCAACCTAGACCTAGATAGATTTGAGGTATTTTTCTCAACAATAAACTCCCACAGCCGCGGAATTCTTCGCGGCACCGCGTCGATGTTGAAGCAACGAAAGAAGGCACGGGTCCTCAGGACCATCGTCCAAGATAGGTGATAACTGGGAGCTGAATCACCACTCTGATACCATTTTCGATGGAAAAATGTAAGACAAAAATTGTAGGACACCATGGCGTTTTGCCCAACATGATTATTGCTTTCTGTAGGTTTTTCATAAACCACTCCTTGGAAATCTATAAGGCCCAAACATTGGGTATGGGCCTTTTTATGCTTTTTTCCCATCCTATTTTCCGGCAATCAAATTGGCAATGTTCGTAAAAAGCATGGTTGGCATTCGGCGAGGTTGGGTATGGGCCTATGGCCTTGCTATGCTGAATGCCTGAATGTAACATGATATGACCTGAACCCAATCATCAAGGGACTGTCTTATTGTTTCTTATTGTAACAATGACAATGATCATAGCCCCAAACCTTGACCGGTAGCCCATGGCCATTTTAATCGCCAAATAAACATTCCCCCTCCGTACCGCGATTTTAGTAACCCGCATCTGTTATATCTGTTATTGTTTTTGTTGTAGATGATGTTTTTTTTTGCAACACTCATTTCCACCCAACATGGTCGACCATTTACAGGGTCAAACTGTTCTAATTATGTCCATTTCCACGCAAAAACTGTTCCAAACGATCTTCAGCTGATGGCATCTTAGCACCATATTTTTCGCCCTTCCAGCCATCCAGCCCTCCGGTCTGTTTGTTTCAACATCCAGGCAGGTCGGCACCCAAGTCCACCAGGTCCCCATCCAAGGATCTCTTTCAGGCCGATGTGATCCCGGCCGGGCAGTCCGATGGTCCTGAAGGCCTTCCGGGGCTTCAGCGAGCCTCGCGCCTGGGAATTGGATAGGGGGGCTCATGGGATCTGGTGAGATTTGATGAGGTTTAGGTTTGATGAGAATATATATATATATATATTGTAATTGTATATATATATATATATATATGATTATATATGAATTGATGGGGTTCATGGCCAATTGACACTTGAAAAACATTGAAGTGGGAAAAATCGCTTCCGGGCCGGTGTCCCATCCAAATTCAATGTGGGGTGATTACGCTTTTTCATCAAACAACCAGTGGGTGAATCTATGTTGGTTTTATACCACATTTGACTTTGGCAAATTTTGGAGATGACCCCGCAATGCGGATCATGAGTCTATCATGGTGAGATCATTTCCGCAATAAGGATCGAAATGGAAGCCTCACGTGCTGGCCTTTTGTTTCACCGCAAGCAGCAGCTCCTCAAAGTCTTCCTTGACCTCAATTTCACCACCCGCTGCGGATGAGAGCTGAAAATTTGTCAGGGAAATGAGGCGCTTCAACTTGCCCAAATCCTTCCCCTCTAGTGTCGTCTGAGCAACATCTCCACAACAAATTGTTTTAACATTTTTTTCGTATCATCGAAAAAGGATGAGAAAGGCGAAGTGTAAGTTCCATGCTAAATTTGCTGGGTGCAAACATTGTTTTCAGCCTTTCACCTTGGTAACAACACGGTTGAAGCTCTCCAGTCCACCAATCAACCACCAAAGGGCCAGTGCGATGAGCGCAGCACGGTTTTCAGTGACCGTTTCCTTCACTGGTGGCCTGATGTGATGGGGAAAGGTTGCTTTGAACATGTAACATGTTTGATGAACCATGATGTACCCTTCGGATCCGTGGCGATTCTCATGTCGTCATCACTGGAGGATTCCGGGAACATGCGAATGTCACACTGAAATCCATTGGTTGATGATCATTTTCCCGGTCTTAACAGCCTGAATAGGGCATCCGGAGTTCCAATATATCCATCAATATCCAGTATCCCTCAGCCCTCACATTTCGAGACAAACCCAAACTATAACAATTCCCAGTCCTGATTTGTTTGGCGATCTGTATTTCGCAACGATTACGTATATTGAAATTGCATTTGTTTGAGACAACCCCATTCTATTCAAATGGTTTTCTGCAGATCTTCCACCAAATCACAGCATTGAATTGCACTTCCCACATCTTCCCACTAAATTAATAATCCAAGAGAATCTTCCACTAGATCATACTAAATCAATCTTGGCAGAATTATCATATTCACCCCAAAATTAGCTGGAGAATCATACGACCAGCGGGATGAATCTATTTACAGCACGCCTTGGCTTGGCCCCTGAATAGGCAGCCACCAGAAAGGGCCGCATGAAACTCACCTTCCACCGACCCATTGCCGGGGTAAGCATCAAGCGATGGAGGGAGTTAACCAATGAAAATAGAGTTTTTTTCATCAACGCAGTTTGAAAGGTAACCAGCAAGAATGGGGATTTAACTAACCTGGTTTAACGCACAAACAAAAATAAGCGATTTAACCATCACAAATTGGAAATCAGCTTCAACATGGCGACCAAACCCATAACATGTTGATCAAATCACCATACATCATGCTTTTCGTTTAACGTCTGACCGGCTCAACGATCAAACAATGGGGAACTTTGATGATTTTTACGGATTATCAATTTGATGTTTGGTTCAAACATCAAACAACGGTGATTTTACCATTAAAATTAAAATCATCCGGATATATGAAGGCCTCGAAAGGATCTTTTAGGATCTTTTAGGTATATGATGAAGCGTTCCAATGGGCATATAACAGCAGTGTACTGGCTGGTAACCAGCGAAAATTCTAGTATGACCCGCCCAAATGGGGATTTCAAATGGGGATTTCAATAATATTCTAGACAACCCATTTTTGGGGGGCGCTTTTGGGGCTGGGATGCCCGCATGGATTTTTTCGCGAAAGAGGCGAAAGAAAAATGATGGTACCCTCCAGCAATCAAACTGTGGTTTGCTGGATAACCCCGTAAAAATGCAGGGTTTTAATGGGAACATCATCTATCACTGGTGGATTTTTCAGACCACGTTTGTCAACCTTTGAACAGCCCCCACTTGGGAAGTGCAGCCTGCAGCCACAGTCTCTTTGAGAAGATACACTGGTGAAACAAGGCCCAACCAGGCTGCTCCAACTTCGTTTCCCACAACTTTGCTGCGATTCAATAATGAGAAAGTCACAATCCAATCTGCTCCAGACATTCACTCGCAGGGAAATTTTACGGGCACTCTTTCCTTTTATAAAAATGAACATGAAAACTATATGACTTCCAATCACATATCCCTGAAATGTCATCGTTTCCCTCACAAATCCTTCACCCACGGTCCCTGCCAGAAGATCATAGTCCAGAAATTCGCTGCGGTTGCGGTCCAGCAACTTCCAAAAACCATCCTTGGAAGGTCACGGCCGGGAGGAGCACTGGGTCCAACAAAAAACAGGGGACGGGATGGAAACACGTTGGAAAGACATTTGGGTGGTTCAGAAGTTTCACGAATTTTCCAAGTTGTTCAGAAGGATCATTTTATTTTGAGACGGCTCATGATTTTTCATGTTCTTTCCGCCTGGTCTCGGAAAGAATCACCATGAGTCACCTATGCCATCATGGGACGACTTGGAGGACTTGTGCAACCAAAGTTCGGCAACTACATCTGTCTGCCCACAGGTGCGAAAAAAGTAGCGCAACTCCGACAGGTCAATTTTCCCATCCTGAGTCATGGGACTTGGCCATACATGGCCAGGAAAAAAAATAGGAAGGCAGTGAGCCGGCAGCCACCATCTGTAGACAACTGCGTGTTCAAGATGTTCAAGTCACACTGGTCTTGCAGCATTCCTATGTTGGGTCCATTTGTTCCATCCTCGCTTATGCTCGCAGCGTTCCAAGGTGTGGGACGCTTAAGGCAGAAAGCATGTCGGCAGATGCTCCATGAAAAACTTCTCCTAAATCATCCTAAATCTACCAAAAAGTCCATGAATCCCATAGCCTAATATCACACACCCCTATAAAATCCTATAACCCTCTACTAAACCATGGTTTCTTAAGGTGTTCAATATATAGGGGGAGGGGACTGTTCAAATATGTTGCAGATTCTCTGAACGCACAGGGGCCCTCCCTGAAGCCGTTATAGCTCTCCAGCGAGTTGAGACATGTCACAAGGAGTGACTTGATACTCGTAACTTTCTGAACATCACCACAATCAAAACCATAACATGTACATATTACATATATAACGATATGTCCATCATCATCATCATCATCATCATCAACAACATCATCATCATCATCAACACCCCATACATGCATCAATGAATCAATGAATCAATGGATCAAAATTCACAACTGAACAAATGACTTTATCTGGTTGGTGGTAAAACAACCCCTCTGAAAAATGATGGAGTTCGTCAGTTGGGATGATGATATTCCCAATGTGCTGGGAAAGTCATAAAAAGTTCCATGGTCCCAGTCGCCACCAACCAGCATTAATGATGGGAAATCAATGGTTAATGGTGATTAATGATAATTAATGATGATTAATGGTGATTTATGATGATTACAATGATGGTTCATGGTGATTAATGATGGTTAATGGTGGTTGATGATGGTTAATAAGGCAACCATCATCTTGTTACCATCGCCGAGGCGCCCTGTCCGGATCCAAGCCGCGGAAGCAATCGCCTCGGAGCCGCCAGGATGGGATGCCATGATGCGGGGACGCCAGGAAGATTTGAACGGATGGCAAGTCTATAGAGAAATACTTGATCTATTAAAAAAAAAATAACACACATGATTTTTCTGTAATTATTGTGATTTATTGTGATTCAAGAGAAACTGCAAGAGAAACTGCATGAGAAACTGTATTTTAGAGCAATTGATGTGAAGACTCCATTGTAACAGGATTAAATTTGAAGATCATATGGTAATCAGCTAGGCCGCAAACAGGAAAACGCAACCTCCGTCCAGAAAACACAAGCCACCCAAGCAGCGGTGCCGCGCGCAGCAAGCGGCACCAAATGATGGACCACGTCACTAACCAATAATATTTACCATACATTATCATACATTGTCGAATCATATGTATGTATTTGTGTATGTATGTGCGTCATATTTTTCAAAAATAATAAGTTACATCACTTAAAAATGCAACTATGTTTGACAATTCCATGTTCTATCAACTTCGGAATTACATGGAATATCTAGGTGTCATATCACAGAGCTGTTGGTGATGTCATCACCAGCATGTCTTGGAGCTGGCCGAGACACTCATGGATGGGAAGCGTTGTGCAGCCTGCCATGAAGAATGGATCACTCAAGGGTGCCAGGGGGGTTGGCTCAACTTGACTTATATTTTGGGATGGCTCAAAACCTATCATTACCAGCCAATAGCGATGAATAAACATCCATTTACCAGCCTTTTTTGGGGTACAGTACCTAGTAGTGCCAGGGGTTTGACTATGTTTGACTCGTAGCCACATGGTCAAGGCGCCTATATTTTTGGTAGTTGACAGGCAAGAACCCTATTCCCACAACCAGGGCACACCAAAACAAAGTCGTGGAGCTACGGTCGAGGCGTGTGATTACTAGATCTTTCAATGATATCACTGTCTCTGGATGGTTGAATGGCAAAAAAACGGACCAGTCTAAGGAAAAATCCACCCGGAAGCCCTATAAAGGTCCTAATGAAATCTAATGCATGCCATGGTTTCCTGTAAATTTCGATGCGAAAAAAATCAATAGTAGGATCCCCCGACCTTCGCGGCCATGGACTGAAGCAAATCCACCAGCTTCCGCTCGTCCACTGTCCTTGGGAAAAAACTTGGGACTTAAGCAACATGGGAACATCATGGAAAAGCATGCAAAATCAAGGCTTAATAGTGGTTAATAGTGGTTACCAGTGGTTAATACTGCTTAATAGTGGTTAATAGCTGTTACCAATAGTGAATAATGGCTAATAGTGGTTAAGAATGGTGAATATATATATATATATATATGTGAATAATGATGAATCATTGTGATGAAATATAATGGTGCTTATAATGGAAATTGATGGAACTATCCTTTGGATTCTCATCGTAATCATACATGATCCTCTCGGAAATCCCCGAGCCAAATGGAGGTCACAATAGCTGTGAAAATCACTTGCCGGAGGGTGTTTAGTATCTGCCGTGAACCCGTTCATACAATAACCACTTATGAATTATGACTTATGTATTAAAAATTGACATAAACGTGAATGCAAAGAACATGTGCTGTAAATCCTGTATACGCATATTTTGGAGATTACTTGCGGTTCATGCATCTTAAGAACATGGTCCAACGTAAGCCTTTTTGCAATGTGCGGTCAGTCAGGGAAACTGATGGACCATGCCCAGCATCAAGCTTTCACTTCTCACAGGCTCCAAAATCCAACTGGTCAAACAACTCTCATAACTGCTCTCCCAGGGCGTTCCCACTTGACATACGCTATGCTATTCAAACAACACTTGGCACCTCCAAAGCTATGCTAAATACACACCCTCTGTCAGTACCATATTGGCCATTTACCAGTTATAACTGGTGATTTAAATGGGATTATACATTCTATAAATGGGGTTATAAGATGTTATAAGTACTTATAACTGATAAATGGCCATAACTGTACCATATTGGCAATGTCACATCCCGCATTTGTTGAACCCATCGAACCCACGGCGCCTTGGCCTTAGATCCGAGCGGCAATGGTGCCGTGAGATTCTCAGTCCCCGGCACAGCCTCTTCCTGACAGGGCGAACTGGTGAACTTTTGGATGGAGTTGAGGGAAACAAATATGAAAAAATGGCATCAAACTTGAATCATATCAAACCCATGGATGTTTGATGATGTTTGATGGTTTTTACATGTTTTTAGAGTCCCCATCCAATTCTTTGGTTGTTCTGAAGCAAAAGAGATCAAAAATGAAGCAACGTCCCGGGACCTCGTTTCCTGGGATTGAGGACACCCAAGAATGGATGGCCGGAACTTGAAACACCTACCAAAATTGCACCTTGGCCCATACCAATGCTACCTTCAGTGAGATAGTTGATATAATTTTACCTCATCCCAATCATAAGGGATTCGAACTAGCCATGACCTAGCCATGGACTCAGTGCATTGATTTGGGTGCGACTGATTTTAGGAATCTGATGATTAACATCGATTAACTAGTCGACTCAAGGCCCAAGTTTTGGACACACCCATTTCTTCGATTAGGAAACCACTCTCTGAGCGCCCATCGATCTCAAGAGATTACTTCATTGAAAATAGGGTACCCCCGAATTACCCATTTCTTAGTCCTTGTGGATTCAATTGCAGTACCTTTTGAAGATAGCTCGGGCCTGTAACATACCTTCTCAGCTTATTGGACTCGCAGGGTTCCAAGATGCATCCCAGTAAGTACGAAACAACTCAATGCCCCGTACGACATACTACTGGGCATAATCCCAGAAATCGAAGCCTATGGTTATAACATGTTACACCACATCGGAAACCTAACTGGGTCCCGCACATCCAAGTATCTTCATTGTGATTGTATTTCCGATTCGGACTGGGTATATGACTGGCTAAATTGTAAATCCCCTACCCTCTGGTCAGCTAACATAGCTATATATGGAAAATCTCCATATTTTTAATAGGTAAATCATCGTGTTTATCATCTATAAATGGTCCATCAATACCATAGCTATGTTACTATGTTAATTTACCAGAGGGTATTTGTTTGTTTGGTCCGGAAGAAATGATGGGATTTCAATGGGTTCCAGGAAGGCGATTGTCGAATCCCATTCCATCGCCATTGTTGATATTTTTAAAATCCCATAGAAAATGAAAAAATCCCATTAAACTCTCTAAATTCCATCATATCCTTATTGTTGAAGGTTTATGATCTCTCCATCGCTCTCCAGGAGTCTAGCCAAAGGCTAAAGTGGGTAAAGGTTGATGATGGTTATATCATGTTATATCCCCCTAAAATCCATTATAAAAAGACTTACTTGTGCTTAGTAGGGAATGATCCCAGCAACCCCCAGCAACCCATCCATTCCCTACGCAAAACGCACCAGTAAAAAGACCAATCCCTCACCACAGACCTCGGCGATGCGCCGCATCTCGCGCGAGGTCAGCGCGCCGCTGGCCACCACGATCTTCCGGGCCGGGTCCTCGATGGCGGTGCTGATGTGGCTGGGAGGGAGGTCCAGGGAGGAAAACCTTGGGGAAAAATGGTGAAAACATGGTGGACAAATGGTGAAAACATGGTGAAAATGGATGAGCAATGAACAATTTGGTGAATTAAACGTTGAAACATGGCAGTTTTCTCTTGGAACACATGATGAAACATGGTGAAGCATGCTGATGAAAACCAACCTGGGTCCCTGGGTGGATGTTTGAGGTAAAACATCATGATATATAATTGGTGTAACAACTACAATGCATGACAACTGGTAAACATAGTGAACTCTTGAAGGAAAACTATGGTGACACCTTTCATGATTCAGGAACAAAGGGGGATAGTAACATGGCAATAAGATGCAAGATATCAATATATACTAATAACTAATAAGTAATAACTACTAGTACATATAAAATACGTTTCAACTTTCAACTGGTGACAGTTAAGGTGAGTTTTGAGCAGAAAGCATAAGGACAAAACGAACATGTCGCTCTCATAACAACAACACGGCATGGACCAGCAAGGCGATTGAACTGAAATCCTGGGAAGTACTGGGCTTGATTAAAAAAAACACATAGCTGGTTGGTGGTTGAGCCCTACCCCTCTTGAAAATATGAGTGAAAGTCAGTTGGGATGATGAAATTCCCAATAGATGGAAAAATAAAATTCATGTTCCAAACCACCAACCAGATACCATGATAAACACACATCAAATGTCATAAAACCATATTGTGCCATGGTCACGACGTGGGATCACGGTTTTTTCAATGGGTTTATGGTCATCGATCCCATGGGAATCTGACAACCATCCCGCAAGGACCCTCACCAACCAGGGGTCGTTTTTGTCGCCGAGCATCTGAAATCTTGTCCAGTGAACGAGCCGACAAGGAGCCTCCATAGGTGCTATTCCTTGAGCGGAACTGCTGCAGAACTGCAGTAAACCCAAGCTGCTGGGTGTTTTTTAAAGGCGCCATCGCTGGGAAATCATCGAACTAAATGGAGATTTCAATGGAACATAGTGGAATAAAATGACGAAATGGGCGGAGTTTCCAGCACCAGCGATGTTTGATTACCATGGCGGGTACCTTGCAGAAAACTTGGTCTTCAGCCGAAAGACCCTTAAAATTGACCCATGAAAATGGTGCAGAATTGTTGTCGTCTGAGCTGCCTTGGCCAATGGGTAATATATCCATGCTTATGGGTATGAGGACATTGAGGGTCTGGCTGGTTAGACGATGTTCCCCCATGTGTAGAAACAAAATCATCTGCTGACGGGACGTTTGCTAATCTACTCAACCACGAGTGGCTGGTACACCATGAACGGGCCAAGCTGACTGAGCCTTCTGATAGTTGTCGCGTGTAAGCAATAAGTTTTCTGGAAATGTGACTTAGAGCGCGAGTACCAAACAGGCATGGACATGATGAGAGAAGAATGGTGGACGACTTGACTTCATAAATGAAGAGCAAAACTCATGATATACCGGTATACCGTGTATGTGAAGGATTCAAAGAAGGGATCATTCAAGAAGTCTTGCTGATCAATTTTGAAACTATCCTATATGGGGCGATCGCAAGGTGTTGCATACGAAACAAACAAGCCGCTATTGATAGCCTCAGCCTGGCCATGCAGCAAAGTTGCATGTTCTTTCGGTCCAACGTGCGTTTGCCATCGCGAGATCCCTCACGTAACCACACCTCAAATCTGGATCTGGTGGAAAGGCTCAATGTCATGTGATTGAAACTCTACACTATGGTAGCGTTCACGAGTTTGGGCCAAGGGTGCATATGCATACCCATAGGATCCATGTATGGTATATGTGCTAACATTTGGGGTATATTGATGGTAAATGTTACCAGATATAGCATACATGGATCCTATGGGAAATACATGTATATGTACATATATATATATATATATATATGTGGTACAGGCCTGCAACCCCCCCCCCCCCCCCCCCCCGCGATGTGATGTTCCTAGGGTTGGGTGTACTATCTCCCTGGAATCCAACTATCATGCAAGGTATCTCTGCTTCCCCGCCCCCCCCTGTGGGGTGGGTTGGGTGTAGTATGTATGTACCTACGTAGGTTGGTAGGTATAGGCATGTATGTATGTGTGTATGTATGTATTTATGTATGTATGTATGTATGTATGTATTTATGCTTCCCCGCCCCCCCCTGTGGGGTGGGGTGGGTGTATGTTTTGTTTTGGTGTTTGTAAGTTTATGTAGTTGTGTTAGTATGTATGTACCTACGTAGGTTGGTAGGTAGGCATGTATCTATGTGTGTATGTATTTATGTATGTATGTATGTCTGTCTGTATGTATGTATGTAGGTATGCATGTATGTATGTATGTGTGTATGTATTTATGTATGTATGTACGTACGTACGTACGTACGTACGTACGTACATACGTAGGTAGGTAGGTAGGTAGGTAGGCCTGTATGTATGTATGCAGGGGGGGATGGGGGATGACCAGGGGGGCGGATTACCAGGGGGGGATTACCCATTGGGGGGGGCGGGGGCGGGTTGCCGGCCGCCGGCCGGGACCGTGTATATGTTTGTATGTGTATATTCAATATATTCATGAGGGATCTGAGATCTGCCCGGCTGCCCGAATGCCAAAAGTTGTTTCAGGACCCCAGCGCCGGCCCAAGGATCCCAAGGGCAAAGTGGCATGATGTCTACAAAAGTTTGCATCTACTGGTGCTGGTTTTTATGCTTCCATATTTCCAAATGTTTCCAAATGCCATCTCCAAGTCGAAATTGAAAGGCAAATGCTGTTATACAGCAACGGACCGGGCACGTACAAAAACGTGGCTCCCCCAAAATCGATGGTCTCTTTGGGCATATCCGACCAGTCCCATGGTGTATACCTCCAAAATCCTCCAAATATCTACCATTGGGACTCAGCCAACTTCATAAAGATGATAAATCTTGGCACTTCCATTCCTCGTGGCCAATGTGCCATCCTGTACGGTCAACCTTCTCATCAATACCACTTGCTGAAGTCATTTCTTTTCACGGAGAACTTGGCTTAGCTTGAGGGATTTCCCATTGGAAAAATAAAACAAAGCATCGAACAAATCCAGTGATTCCAATAAATCTCCATAAATTTCAAGAATATCTTCATTTCCAGTGGATTTTCCTATATGTTCCTATGAAATCCTATTAGAATCCCACTAAATTATAGTAAATTCCCAGTGAAATCCAAGCTTCAGCCTTGGGTTTTACCACAATGATCTCCACCCAGCGGGTGGTTTCATTCCAGCTGGGAACCGTCAAAATTGAGCAGCCAATGGGAATAGTACATTTAGTGCTTAAAAATCTGGTTCAAAACGCAGATTGCATATGATATCAAAAAACTTCGAGATACTGTATATTATAGGTCAATAATACATGTTACACTATTGGACATATTTAGATATAGCAATATATATATATATATACATACAAATATTTATTTAAATGGTATATCTATATCAATCTATATCATACTTAGAAAGATTGGTATAACATTATCGTATACCTGTAGTATATATATATATATACATATATAATTATATATTTCTACAGCTTAGATATATCAAAAACTGGAGGGGTTTGACATTCCCCAACCCCCCAACGACTTTACAAGGCACCGATGCAGCGTCGAGGACCCGATGGCCCTGTTGGAATTCGCTGGGCCAACGCTCCGACTGCAAGGACCCCAAGGTCAAGTCGCAGGCTCCGGGCAACTGAGGACGTGGCATGGCACGGCTGGTTCCAAGGGATGAAAATGGCAACTTCACCAGAAAAAAATTGGGATTTCAGGAAACACATTGATACAAATGGGGGCCCCAATTTAGGGTAAAAGTAGCAAAGGTGCAAATTCAAATTCGTTTGAAGCAAAAAGAATGAGGATCTAACATCTAACCCAACATAACCCAACAAGGATTGATATTTAATGTGCAAATAGTTGGGATTTGAAGAGATTTGAGATGATTTAACCCACCAACATGGAGATTGAAGGGTTCAATTCAATTGTTATACCCCAATACCCCAAATGCACTAGTATATAACATTGTTGCATCACAACATGCTGGATTAAAATGAGCTGAGGGGATGCTATTCCCCTGATCATATTAGATTCCACAGGTGCACACATGTACCAGAATTATAGAATTCATGTTTACAGTCTGTGACATTGTGTATATGATGCATGCATGTGTACATGAATATGATTCGACAATATGGTCCCCAATTCATCTGATCCTTAACATTCCACTAGTTCTTGGTGATTGCTTAAAAAATGCTGCATTGGGTTTGCACAAGATGACCCCACTTCCATAATACACATATTATGATTGATAGTTCCTCCAATGATGGAAAAGACGTTGAAAATTCAATCCCAAAAACAACCATCTGCAGCAAAAACTGAAGGAGACACGGCCAAGGCACCATGGCTCCTCTCCTCTTTCAATCTCGGCTCGGCAGCTGAAGCCTCCCTGGAACTGAGCCGCAAATGCTCCGTGGGAAGTTTCCATGGATTCCAAGGGCAGGTGTTGGTCATGTGTTAAGATTCACCATTTGGATCCGTATCCGCCCTATCCATGTGTGTGAAACCATGTAATTCACCTCCAATATGGAGGGATTTCACGGAAACTGGTGTTTCATCTGGGAGTTGGGGATAACCCCCTCAGGTACGGTTCAACACAAAACAAGATCCACCAACCAGGTCACCCACAACAATGACGGAACAAAAATCCAATCCTATTCCCCATTTTCGCAGGTTAAAACCACAATTGTTCATGTTCAAATCCATTTACCCTAGCGTAAACAAACATAGATGTGGAAAATGGTCCATTTATGTATGAATCATGTATTGAAATGGTGATTTTCCACATATACGTTAGTTCGGCTGTAGACTGGTCGGAAGCTGCTACTAGCTACTCGCTTAACGAGTAGCCATCAGAAGACCACCTTCCTTCGCGGCCTAAGAAAGGCCATGCGGGCCATGCCTAAGGATCCTAAGGATCTAGACCCACAGGCTTGACTCACACGCTGTGCGCCGGCAGGCTGCCAGGGTGGCAGGAAGAACCGCTGCCAGTCAGCAACATGGAAAAAGAAAGAGGTTGACCGTCAACATCAAATAAATGAATTGTACAGGAAAGATGGTCACAGTCAGCAATGGCGAGAGTAACCCGCACGTGCAGAAAAGGAAAAACCATCGACACGGCCAAAATGAAGGAAAACTGGGCCAGAGGATGGTACAAAGGAAAAACTATGAAGCAGCTAGCCCGGCTCTCACGTGACGTCTGGGACGGATTCCAGCAACACGGCCGATGCCCGCACAGGGTGCTGAGAGAAGGTCACGAGTTCCGAACGGCGGCGCAGGGCCGCACGAGCCCGGAAGCTGCGCAGGAGGACGCTGCACTCTTGGAGCATGACGGTGTACACCGAGGAGCCCACCTGACCTTCACGGGCCGCAACTGCCGAGGCGATGACCCGAAGTGTGCGGCTGGCGGCGGTGTCCCATGCACCCGTGGATTCTGATACCAACGGAAGGAATCGAACTCCTTGGTCGGCACAAAGTTGGGCCGTGTGCTGGTGGTTGCACTTCACTTGGGCATAAGCAGCCGCCGCGCTGACAGGTACTTGTGCTGCTTGGGGAAAAGACTCCGGCCGCTGAAGGCCTGTGACGGCAAAGTCAAGTGCAGTCGGAGTCCCATCCAAGCATGGCAAGTAGATGTCAGCAGGACGTCTGCGAGCCACCTTAGCTTCTTCAGGTCGCTGGGGTAAAAGCAAGCCCGGGCGCTCTTTCTCTGGGTGGAGCCCTGCCCGTTCAGCCCAAGAACAAACCAGGTCCCGAAGCGCGTTGTGTCTCTGAGTGCGCTCCCCTCCTGCCGAGCAAACAGCGGCATGGTGGGAGTAGGCATCTAAGATCCCATCGCAGCGGGGACACCATGTGTCCGCCACGGCATCAGGCAAGCCCATGCGGAGGCGCACCTCGGCGATGAAAGCAGCTGGCTCCATGCAGCACCGCCCGCCCGGCACTGCAGCAAGGAACGCTCGTGCACCTGGCTGTGACTCGGACAGCAGCATGGCCTTGGCAGCGGGAGTGCTGGCGGCCAACTGCCTGTGCCAGCTATGGCTGTCGAGGAGTTGTGTCAAACTCTTTTGCCTCTGCCGGAGCACTTCGCCCAACTGGAGTTGCTTGTCCACATGGGTGTTGAAAAGAAGCAGGGCCTGGGTGACGTCGGGGGCATTGGTCGCATCGGTATGGTCAAAGGCCGGGTCCAAGTCAGAGCAGCGATCCAAGCAGCCTCCAAGGGAGGCGAGGTAAGCTGCCGGTGCATCCAGCACGGCCGAGCGAAGGGCCAAACCTCCATGGTCAAAGCCTCGGACTGCTTGGGCCCACTGTGCGTGGTTGAGGTGCATGCCGGTGAAAGAAGCCAAGCAATGTCGAGCCTGCACATCAAATTGGAGCAGGGCAGACTGTTGGGCTGAGGGCGGGACGCACCGCATGCTATGCATCAGTCGCGCATGCCCGCCACAAGAGCGGAGCAGGCGGAGGGCGACCTGAGGATCCTCAAGCCGGCCGATTGCATCCAACAAGGCAGTTGCTTTGGCCACCCGCTTGGTTGTCGCTGCCGTCACGTGGTCGGCATCGCCCAAGGCCGCCCCCAGCAACTCGAAGTTGCGAAGGATGCGTGGGGAACCATCGGCATTGAGCAGCAGCTGGCTTGGGAAGAGGGCGGCAAGAGGCGCATCCGGTGTCTGCCCTGCAGCGATGACTTCGCACTTGGCGAGGTTGAGCGTCAGCCCTAAGTCCTGGGCCCTCGTCTGAACATGGGACAAGGCCGCCGCGACTGAAGCGGAAGACCCGGCCAAAACGCCATCATCCAAGTAGAAGGTGGCAAAGTCCAGCGGGCCATGCCGCAATTCCTCCGCCAGCGGCTGCAAGGCAGCGGCGAAAAGAAGGGGGCCCAGAGGGTCACCCTGCTGGACGCCACTTGCAGAGTCCAAAGTGGAAGTGCCAAACCTCAGAAAAGATGTGTCTTGGTAGCACCAGGTGGTCCACCGAGCGAGGGCCGGAAAGTGGACCGGGCACTCCGCCAAGAACTTGTCACGGGAGAGGACGTTGAAGGCATTCTGGAAGTCAAGCTTGCAAAGGACCTTGTCCGTGGAGTGCTTGTGGCGGTGCAGCCACGCCCGGACTGTGTGGAGCACGCATTCCGCGCCCGCAGGGACAGCCACTCCAACCTGCGCCGGCCAGAAATAGGACCGGGCATCCTGCTGCACCATGCTCATCAAGCACTTCCCGACGAGACGTCGGAGCGACTCTCCGATGGCAATGGGGCGAATGCCGCCTTGTGGCTTTGGGATGGCAACCAACTTGGCCCCAGCAACAAAAGGAGCGGCAGTCCGGCAAGCACCGCCACGCGCCAGCAGATTGACCACAGCAGTGAGCTGATCCAAGAAGCCATGCTCCGAGCCGGGCGGACAGGCCTCAAGCAGGTGCTGCGGACGAAGTCCGGAGGGGCCAGGAGCCGAGCCGGCAGGGAAGCTTTTAAGTGCTCGGGCCACGGTCTCCACAGCTATTTCGGGAGGAGGGGGCAAGTCGGAGAGCTGAACGGCCGCTGGTGGAGGCTGGATAGGGTGCAGCGCTTTGAGCTCCTGGACTGTCTCGGCCGTTTCAGGGGCTAACCCGGAGGAAAGCAAGGCTGCACATGCCTTTTTGTCAAGGCCTTCACGGGCCAAGGCGGTGGCAAAGTCACGCCGGCCGCCGTCGGACATCTCGCGCTGGCCCAGGGGAGGGGGAGAGGGGCGGCTGTCCCAAAGTGAAGCCCGTTCTCCTTCCAGCCAACGGTTCAGCCGGTCGATGGTGTAGGCAGCCGTCGCTCGCCGATGTCGCCGCCCGCCCCGAGGAGGAGCGCACAAGACACAAGCAGGAAGCATGAGGAATTCTTTCCAGGCAAGGTCATCATTGTAGTGCACCATGGCCGCGAGGGTGCGTGTGAGCACTTGGGTCCAAAGGTGCCGAGCTGCATGGGGGATGTGTCGCAGTGTGGCCTGCCCGGCAGCTTGAAGTTCGGGAAAAGACGGCAGCTGGGAACCCGGGTCGTTGCGGCCATTCCCACCGGCAGCAGCTCCGGCCCTGGCTGCGGGTCGGCAGCTGGGATGGATGCCATAGCGTGTGGAGACGCTCAGCCCGCACACTGCGCACCGCTGGCGCGCGTTGGCCTGGAGCCAGTCTGCAGGCACCTCACCACCAAGTGTCCCAGCAAGGTGGGCATCGATATGGCCTTGCATTGTGGTGGTGCTGACCCATCCCGCCGCTCTGGCGCGGTCAGCACAAGGGCACCCACGAACGGGGCAAAACACCCGAGGGACGGCCCCCTGGTCCACATCCATTGCCATGGTGCTTGGGGGGGGAGGAGGGCTGGCCCCGACCTGAAGATGCGGTGGAGGAGGACCCCCCACCGCCTGAAGTAGAAGAACTAGGCAAGGGCCAGCCGCCCCCCGCGCCCCCACGGCGAGGACGAAGAGAGTAGGTGAATTGCCAGTCAATCCAACCCAATTAATATGGGTCTTGAGCCAGGGACTAGTCTTGAGCCGTTAGTTTGCCCCAGGGTAAGTCTCTACCAATCTCACTTCCCAGCTGAATTGGGAGGGAATCGGCTGCTCCTCAGCCGTGCAGGTGATACTGGTCACCAAATTGGCCTCTTCAGGCTCCCACGGATGGAAACGAGGATGGAATGAATATGGACATATTCCATATAACTATGGCATAGAGATTAAATATAGATGTTCATGGGATCTGGTGAACCAAAACTGGAGACATCCACCAAGCCCAAGACCAAAAGCTGATGGAAACATGGCCACCCAGAAACCACAAAGCTCCATATCTCTCACACTCCTTTAAGGGTTGCATCGCTCGGCGTCTCATCATTTCGCGTTGCGCTGTCATGGTCCTACTAAAAACATCAATGATCCGGATCTCATATTAAAGCGAGGATGGATGCAAAATCAGGTAGATAGATACATATAGATGCATATAGGTACATAGATACATAGATACGTATGGATTGATTTGCAACCCATGGTGATTTTATCCAAATCCTCCTGGAACAGTTGGACCTGCAACATGCAGTCGGCCAAGCGGATGCAGCTGCTAAGGGACATCTCGTCCTGACGGTGGTTCCGATGCCTGGGGCCTGGAACGTGGGTCATGGGTCAGTCGTCTTAAAGCCTTTTTCAACTTCAAAAAGGAGCAATCACATGGAATTTCTCCTCATATTAACACAGAGAGAGCGAGAGAGAGCGAGCGAGAGAGAGAGAGAGAGAGAAAGAGAGAGAAAGAGAGGGAGAGAGAGAGAGGAGAGAGATAGAGAGAGAGAGATATATATATACATATATATAAATGTAATATATATATATATGTGTGTGTGTGTACATTTTTTAGATATTCAACTAACAACAACAGGAATACAATCTTTCCCAATCTGACCATCAAAATCAATAACTTAAAAAATCGAACCAAGACCTCGCAAGTGGACATCTGTTTAAGCCCCCAAAGATTTGCAAATCTCTGGGACTTGAAGTGATGATCGACCAGAAACTGGGGCCTGTTGGTGTGAACCATCCCCAGCTTTTCTTCGCACGGTTCTATGGCTGTCTGTGACATTCACAGTGTTTGGGCGGTTTTGCTGGTAATTTTGAATAAGGTAGAAGTTTGTCCACTATTTGCAGCGTTGCGTGTGTTTTGTCATACGCAACACATACGCAACATGCACGCAACATGGCGTGTTGCGCGGCCACGCAACGCTGTAATTTACGATGTTTCGCGCTTCTTCCGCTCACGGGATGTAAAAAAGGTAGAACTTCATTTAAAAGACTGGCTGTCCCGAAAATGCGCGGAAAAAACGCGAAACATCGTAAATTACAGCGTTGCGTGGCGCGCAACACGCCATGTTGCGTGCATGTTGCGTATGTGTTGCGCATGACCAAACCCACGCAACGCTGTGAGCTTATGGAAGTTTATTATTGGCTTTGCCACACGCCTCGTGCAAGATCTGCTCCATGCGCAAGCGCTCCTGTGCCCAGCCGCAAAAACTATGGGATCCGCAAGTTTGCACCTTCCGAACCTGGGGTCCGAACTGTATTCACGAAGCATTCGGATGCATTCTATAGATTCATAAATTTATGTAGCGTATCTACCCTCTGGTAATCAAACATTGTAAATGAAAATCCACGATTTATAGTTAAGTCATTTTCCCATATTCATATTATATACACACACATATTTTATATATATATATGCCCCCCCATTGATAGGGAATTTTCATGAATTTTCCAGCAAGCCATCTTTGATTCCCAGAGGGCATCCGTATCAAACCTCGCAGAAAAGCCGACAAAATCAAGGCCTGGCCAGTCCCAAATAGGCCACTTGGCCAAGTTCACTCAACTTATATGGCTAGGGGTCAAAAGCCATGGACAATTTGCCCGGTGAACCCCAAACCACCTGCGATCTATAGATGCTCATTCTGCCACAATTTGGTAGGTGTTGGGTCCCACATCAAGCATCATCAAGCCATGTGTTGGTCTCGCTCCAAGAAAAGAACGTGACCCCCAAAAAATGGATGGTTGGACATGAATTCACTATAATTCATTTATCATTTATCATCATGTATCATATTTCCCATGGTTGGTGGTTAAACCCCATGATTGTAACGACCATTGGGTGCACCGCTGGGGCTCTCAGCCTTGGTTTCAATCTTTTCCTGCGCCGAAACTCAGTGCGCACGGGGCACCCTGAGTCTCCCCAAACATAGAGTTTCAACTCGTTTCCGGACTAAACCATACTAAAACATACTAAACCAATCGACTGGCAGCTCCTAGGTCCAATTAATTGACATTGATTGATCGTTAATTTAAATATACAAAAATTATCCAGCAATTGCAACTCCTGATAAGGGGAACCAATATGAAGCAATGGTTTTTGGATGTTTTTTGGGATGCAACACATTTATGACAAATCTGATTGCATCTGTGCATGTGGCCAAGTTTCATTGCGGACCTTGGGCTGCTGAATGTAGAAAACAGGACGGAAGATTCTCAATTGATGATAGTTGATGATAGTTGATGGAATTGCTGTGGCTGGCGCAATGCCACCCGTACAGTGCTATAGGACGATAGGTAGGTGTGATAACACGCGCCAGGTGTGATAACACGCGCCCAATGTTCACCTTGGTTTAGCTGGATCTGTTCATGGTGTGATACCAACTGACCCGGGTTCCATCTGGTTCCATGGGAATGTCAACCAATATTCTTCCCATTGGCCTAACAATGACCTTCACTACTCACTGGCAGGACAGGTAATGACCTCCCCAAACACATGAGGCCCTGGCCATGTGGCTTTCAAGGATTTAGGGGAAAACACCCCAAAAAATTGTGGCTGATCATCATTCCCATGTTGACGGCTCAAACATGTTGTTGAAAGCTTGAGAATTGGCAACAGTGGTATTGGACGGTTTTGGCAAGAAGCATGATGGGATAATCAATGGCGCCAAGAAAAAACGGGGATCTAGCACGAGTTTAGCAGCAAGACTCTGATTCATGGCGAATCTTGGGTTACAGATATTTAATCAGCCCCTTCATAAGGGTTGATGATGGTTGATATCCCTTTGCCCTGTCCCGTTCCGCCTGCGCCAGGGACCGTGTCCGGCTCTGAGCAAAGGAGCTGGTGGAGCGGCGCCTAAGTGTCCAAAACATCACAGAAACACCAGGGATATGCAAAACTGCTGGCATCACTGGGTAAATTATGGTAAATCATGGTAGATTAATATATTGCACCCTGAAATGTTGGACTATTTTGGGATAGTTACCCTTTCCATTCACCATCATTCCAGGATATTCCAGGCTGAGTTTCCTGCAAGTTGACCTTGTCCATTCCCTTTCCTCAGCGGATCGATGAAATATCGATGGCGACAGCCAGGATCACATTGAATGGTCTGCATAAAAATTAGTAGTGGCTGGAACACTCAAGACAAATGGTTCTAAAGTGTTCTATGTTTATTAATGTGTCATAGTTGGTTCTACTATGTTCTAATACTATTAGAGATAACCCAAAATTATTGGGGAAGCTTATTGGAAAAATGAGACAATCAGAACGATGGGTGATGTTTGCCAAGCATGGAAAAACCATGTCTTCCCAAATGGTGGTTTCCTAAAATAGGGCTACCCCCAGTCATCATCCATTTTAGATTGGTATTTTCCATATTTTTCCATGAAATAAACCCATTCAGCGAGCTTGGGGTACCCCCATGACTATGGAAACCTCCAGATGGAAGCCTCCTGGAATCCCTGAGTCCCCTGACGTACTGCAGCGATCAATGCCTACAGAGATCGCTGGTTTCCTCCCCCGGAAGTTGACCATGAAGGTACGTAAAGAAGGAAAAACAAGCACAACTGGCAGAAAAAAACGTTTTTTTTCATTGATTCAAGTTTCAACAACAGTTGCTATGATTATCCCATGATTATCCCATTGTTTTTTCAACAAAGAGGTTGCGTGGTTTCCTTTTTCTGTTAAGTTCCCCTTGCTGTTTCCCTGCACCGACCTCCAGAGTTTCAACCACCGCTTCTCGAGTGCGTTCAAGGTCCTGAGGAGGTCGGTCGGATGTGGAGGTTTCCTTCCAGTCCTGGTACCCCTAAAGTCATCCAAAATTGACCTCTTTTGGGCCACTTTAGATCATTTTAATACTACATGTTAGTATTAAATTAAATGCATTAAAACCTCTGGTTTTTTGGGGATCCGCCATTTTAAATATCTTAAGAAACCATTTAACTCTGGAAATGAGGGATACCCTGGAATTTCCATGGGGTTTGCCAACCAAAATGGGGCGGTCTTGCTTAGTCCGCGTGCGGATGCAACTAAACGGATAGGAATTTGAATGGAACCATTTTCGGGGGTTTGCAAAGAAACACATGCGTTTAAGTCATTAATTAATGCAACTGCACTACGGTTTGCTGCATTGCGGCGGGCACTCCGCAAAATCAGTAATGTGTTTTTTCTAGTCAACTTGCTGATGTGGATGGCTTAGTCGCTATAAGTCCTTGATCCATCACCCCAGAAATGGAAAGCCGCCATCATTTTCGCCATTGAAACCACCACGCTGGTTTGCCACATCCATCCAAAGCTGTCAAAGCCCATCTCCTGTCGTTTGCCACCCGCCAGCTCAGGCTTCACGCACTGCGCCAAGGTTTCAAACTCCTCCTGCGCCCAACTCAGGGGGGAGAAACGGCGTGTTAGTGCGTTCTGGTCACAAAATATGGAGGAAAAACAGGAGACTAGGATGTTTTCCGCATATCTTCCAGGTGTCCAATTCTTCTACCTCTTCTTGGGGTTCTATATACATACATATAATACACATCAAACATATGTTGAATAGAATTTCAGGACCCTAAAATGGAGGTACTGTACCATATAAAACCATATTCTTGGGGCACATCCCCTTACACCGACCTGAGCAATATGGTATGTAATTACCTCCTTCCTAAATCAGTTCCTGTTTCATGGCCATTGAATGCCATTGATCTAAGATGGGTGTACCCCAATCATCTTAAGTCATTATATAGACCATTTTAGGATATTTTAGGATATGTTAGGATATTTTAGGATTGAAACCCATGGTGACTTGGGGTTCCCCCAATTTCCGAATCCCCGATAGAACGTCGATCCCCTGAGTCAGTGGCCAGTCGTACACAACGATCTGGCAATGACAGCATGGGCGAGGCCCCCACCTGAGCAAATGTAGGAAATGATGATTGACATGTTAAAATCCAAAATCACAGATCATCATTACTCAATTTCCATGGAGGATGCCATCATTAGTCATGATTGACATTTAAACATGGAAAGCATCATGACTCATGACTCATGACTCTTGATGAACATGATGATGATGATGATGATGATGATTATGGTGATGATCATGATGATGATGATGATTATGGTGATGATCATGATGATGATGATGATTATGGTGATGATCATGATGATGATGATGGTGATGATGATGATAAGGTTCAACATCCAACTCCCATGCCCGCGCCTCGCTGGTGAGGCCCTGGCACTGCCAATTTCAATGGCTCGTTGGTTGAAGGGAAAGCCAACAGGAAACCATGTTTTTTTTGTTTAGTCATAGTTTATTATATATATATGTATTTATGTATTTATATGGAAGTATATAGAGGTTTCCATCGGATGCCATAGGTTTATTTTCCCAGCATTCAGTTTCGGAAAAAGTCGAAGCACATGCATCGGGACTCCTGATGTTTGCCATAGAAACATCACAGTTGGGGGGTGAAGTTACTGTAACCACTATTTAAACACACAAAAGATCCCCGAAGTAATGTTTATAAAAAAACAAGGTGCAGGGTGGTCAATACACTTTCGGGTTCGGGGTGCGTCTGTTGAACATTTCTGAGCAAGTGCATCTCCATGATGCAATTGTAGAGCCATGACAAATCTTAGCGGCGCTACGTCAGAGTGGCATCTTAGTGGGATATACCGATGCACCATTCTTCCACATGTAATATGCTTGTCATCAGAGAAGAACCTTTGCCAACCAAACCAAATGTGCCAAAACCCAAAACAGCCGGGATATACCATTCCAGTAGATTATAATAGATTCAAGTTCGGTGCATCCTTTGCTTGTCTGGGACTGTGCATATTGCACGAATCAAGGCCCTTGTGTTGGAAGTAGAAGCCCATGAACAGCTATATAAGTATGTAGCAGTGGCGACAGGTTCCAACACCTCAACATCTTCGAACATGTTCAAACATCATGAAACATACGAATCCAACTATAGTGCATATCCCCCAAAAAATAAACATCAGCCATTGATACTGAGACAGTTAGCTTCATTAAAGCCAATTTTTGGGGGAAGAAGGAGAGATATTCCCCCATTCTCGGTTCTGATGCGGGTACCACTCCTTGTTTTTTTCCTATTATTTTTGCTTTTATTATATTCCTATGCTTCTACATGTTGGATCCAGTTCCTGTTGACTAAAAGCCAATCCAGCGCAGGTTAATGCCACCACATCCAAACATATCAAAGTCCTTACCATGAGTTTTGGTTCACGTCCTCCATAGTCAAATAACTCAAACAGCGTACCCACCTGAAATCCTTCAACCGCAACTCACAAAAAGGAGAGCGCTGCTGAAAGGATTTCCGGTTGGCTGATTTGAACTTTGGGATTCCCACTTTTAAATTCCATTTCATATCACAATATATCACAATATCGGCATAAAACAAAAGGGAGCAACTTTGCCCTTTTCAAACCTAATATCCGTATATATTAAGTTAAACACATATGAAAGCATCATATCTCTCTGTGCATTGATTCAACACAAACCAAGAAACCGTTTCAACTCTAGGGATTTTATGCACACGTCGTGAATGTGCTGATGCCACCCACGGCCACGGCCACCTTCACTCGCAGCATGTGTTCCGTCAAAATGGGCCGCGACCAGAAGCAGTTGCGCGCCAACCTGTGACGATGTTCAGTGGGACTTCTATAAGCAATGTAAATGTCGGAAATTTTCCACAAATGGGGGATCCCCCAAAAGCTGGATGGTTTATAGTGGAAAATCCGATTAAAATGGATGATCCAGGGGTACACCCATTGTAGGAACCAAATATATATATATATATATATGGCAAAAATCTGAATCAACACGATCAAATTCAAATCGACTTGATGAAACTGACCAAGATCGGCATTTTACCCACAAAAACGATGATAACTGGCACACCAAATAATAGCATTGAACCCCCCGTTTATGGGGAATGTAGTTCGTTGTATAGCATCCATGTGGTAGTTTACAAGATTATAAGTGGCTTATAGCCATACTTTCCAAAGTCCACGGGAAGATCCTGCAGGTACCACCCATTTCGGCCAGTCCCTCGCCCACGGCTTGCCCTTTTTTTGGGAGCCAATCTCTGCAGGTTGCCCTGCCGATCTCACATGGTGTCCGTTGTTCAATGCCCGTATTGATTCAAATAAGATCAAAATCAAAAGTACCAAACTCTCTCTTTCTCGCTGATTTTACTCATCATTGTATATACATACATACACACACTAAAACAATTCATCCATATTCATCCTATTTGCGACTTTTGGTGCTATGCTGTGTACTATTTTTTTCTGCTTCGCAACCGCCTTGAATCAAGCTCTCAGTGGTCCAAGCTGCACCTCAGCGTCATCATGGCCCTGACGCGTTTCCAATCCTTGCTTTTGCTTCAAATGGCACCCAAGAGAAGGTAAAAAAACAACAAATTCCCCAAGAGACCTCCCAGTGAAAAAATCAAAGCTCCAGCAAATCCAAGACTCTTCATCCCATGGATCAATGCTGGGAGAGACCCACGGTGCAATTCCCCAATCCCAACCACCATAGGGTGAGATTGGCTAGTGAAGTTGCAACTGGTCATAGTTCCCCCATGCTCCCCCAGGACCCCAAAGCTACAACTTATGCAGGCTATCCTTACGCCCAAAAAACATATATGTAAATTCTGTCAACGTTCAAAACACAGTATAAAACACTGATTTGGAGCTGAAAATTCCATGTTTTAGGTGGAATTTTACCCTCCACTTTTCTGGCAGTACCTCTAAATAACATCATTAAATAACCATTAATCACCATTAAGCTATGAACGTCCCCATTGTCTCTAAGCCTCGGAGCCGAGCTCAGACCTCGTTGGCCCGTAGGTCCTGCCGCCGCGCCAGGGGTTTTCGTCGGGTCGTCATCTCCGCGGCCTTGGACTGACCCACCTGTGACCATCCGTGGGTGGAGCTGCGCTCGGTTCATGGGGTGAGGACACTCAACACTCAACGCTGAGAACTTCGACCGCCCACCTTGTTCCCCACCGCCATGTACTTGCGCCCCGAGCCAGCCGCCGTGGGGATCCAGCGCTTGGTCTTCCCCCTAAAGTTGTTGTTGCGCACGTCCAGGATGGCCTGAACGCCATGTGGTTGTGCCAGGTGCCAGGTAGTGATTTATTGGAGGTCTATCTCTCATTTTTTTCAGGTATATGTAAAGGCATTGTAAGGGGATAACGCGGGAATCGTATTTGTGGGTAACTGCACTGACGCTTCTGATCCTTCTGAATGGGCTATATCAAAGAGCCCAAGGCCTAGATATGTCTGGAGGCATGTGCTACGGGCTTAGATTCAGGGGGTTATCACCCAACCCTGCCATGACCCTGTTTGTAATAAGCATAGTATGATATACTACATATAAGATGGATGTTGTGTTATGTTATATGTACAATAAGTAGGGTGTACCAGTTCATGCCCAAAATCACCACCACCCCTACTCAGATGAGTGGGGATACATTGGGATATACAACCAGCAAATATGGTTTCTGGTGTGTTCAAAATTCGTAGGCACACCAAAAAAATGGCAATATTTTTTTTGCGAACATTCTGATCAACCATGAAATTTTGGGCACCTTATTCAACGATAAACCCAAAGATGCAATGTTTTTGATGCATTGGAAAACATATTTTCCTGTTGCTTCAGGTATCCCTGGTTTTTCGTTTACTAGGTCTCTTGAGCATCAGCTTTTCGGTCATTGACATTCTCTAGTGTGTGCATGTATGTGCATGTATATACATTTCCAATCTTGATGGCTTACAAGGGTCCCCAACAAAAGAGAGCAATTCGTGCAGGATGTTGTAGGCGATAGTTTCCGGGTGTCCATCTGTTCTATACGTACATCATTTTGCAAACCACATCCCCTGTTTAGATGGCAAAGTGAAACGTCCACCAATAGATGGCAAAGTGAAACGTCCACCAAGGAGCCCATGCATTGCACTGAAGATCCGCATCAAAAGTAGCAACGCTTCGGGATTGTTTGCAATACGAATGATGTGAACACAGATTTGTTGGTCGCATAAAATATCATGCAGTAGTGGATCAAGCCTTGTTACTAGGTGTTCAGACCAAATATCGGCTACAAATGGATGCTCATTCACATCAAAAATCAACCAAAATCCTGCAAGTATGTATTGACGCCATCCTCAGCTGCTCACCCTGGGACCTATCCCCTTTATAAACATTTATAAACCAGGTACTAAAGACTCCGTTTCCCAGTAGGCCTGCACTGGGGCGACCAGTAGAAATGGATGCTTCGCGATCCCAAGCGTTGCTAGCTAATACTTGCTTATACCCGTTAAGTGACCCAAACACCAAACACCTACTTAACCATAGTATCAACCATACATCATATAAGTGTATCCTGATAAGCATACTATCCTGATAATGGTTGCTATCATTTATATCCCAATTTAATCCCCAATATACACCCCACTATACCCCCAGTATGCCCCCATTGCGCGTCCCCCATTGTACCACGATTTCTTGTTGCTTAACTAGCCATCCAGCCAGCACCCATGCACCGCCCGCCTCGTGTGGGTCGTACTCCTTGCCTCACCGTGGCCGCGGTGTCGTCCACATCGCGGGAGCCTTGACGGCGCCGGAGCTGTCGCGCAGCAGGGTGACCACGTTGAGGGGCACCGGGAGGCCCTGGCGGAAGTCGAGGTTCACCAGCTGACGGGGGATGTTGGGGGCGAGTTTTTCTATGGCGAAGGGAGAGAAATATGGCAAATTTCGGGATAATTAAATGAGTTGATCAGCCAAATTACATGGATTTATGGTGATTTACCAACTATAATGAGGATACATTGGGATATAGTTCAACGGGATATGTAACAAAAATTTGATATGTGTTTTAGCGGGGTAAGTCTGGACATGGATACCCCGCAAATGAAATAGCAGCTTGACGAGGCAAATCATCAGCATGGGAATAGGGGTAAACCTTTGATTTCCCAATTGAATGATTAGCCTTGGGTTACAAATTGGTTAGTAAATGCACAACATTACACGAATTACACGACCGTATAGTCGGTATATGACGAGCATCATCCCAACATGGGGGGCGAATCAGGGATGAGTTGAACAGTGAGCTGTGGACCAAACACGCATCGATAGAGGACATATGATGCGTATTTTATTGGTAGATGTATTTACAGGTTCTGTCAACTAACCCCTGGGATAATTTTATTGCTTTCATCACAGGATGGGGGTGGTGAGGGTGTAGGTAATTTCAATAATGTATAATGATATATTATATAATAACTACATATGTCTATCAATATCTATTGCATTCTATTGCTAAATCTAATGTAAACATCAAATTTCCTGCCGCACCTCTGAAAGGAATTCTTGATCGCCCACTTCCAGAATAAGGCTAAACTCCCAGCGAGTCGTGTTACCTGGGATGTGAGCGCAGGTAGAGCTGTTTGCCCGGCTTAGGTCCTTACTGGGCACCAAACTTTGTGCCAAACTTTGTTGATTTGGTATGAATTGGTTGTCCATTTAATTGTTAATTTGAACTTGAACCATCAGAAATACGGCTGACAAGCCCTCCCATTGGGTTGATTTATGTCAGGCAGAATCCACCGGAAACCAAAGCAAGGAAACTATCATCCAAATTGTTCGGACAATCATGTGACTGCCTTTCAAAACCAAACCAACCAAGGGCAAATCTCTCCAACATTTTTTTTGCCTGGCATTTCTGCCACAACTTTCGTAGTTGAAGCCGGCGGCAAACAAGGGATAGGATACTGAGTAACAAGCAACAATGGGAAAGACACTGTGCATGATGTAGAGCCAATGAAACGATTCTGTTTTCGGTAACACTTGTGTACAAAATCACGTGTCTAAGCATGGACAGTTCAGCGCAGGCAGTTTGACCCACCGCAAGCTGCATGCCGCGGTATATGTTTTTTCCGTTGTGAACGATGCTCCTTCTATCTCCTCTGGAGATCCGGAAAAACGGAAGGTGAACCAAAGTGAAACTGCGATAAACGGTTGATCCTAGCGAATGTCAACTTGAGCCGTCCTTGCCCACTTTGTGCCTTTGGAGGACATTGGCAATTTGTGCGGCGATTTCTATTTCCGATTTTTCCCGGCATTCCAGGAACACAACGCTCGGCTTGAAGACACTCAGAATATATCCTCGAGCAAGGTACTCTTTGTCATACGCGTGACCGGGCCCACCTGAACAACTCCCCAAACCCTGCAGCCAAAGTGATTCCACCCGCTGGTTCTGGGGATGCTACTGCTTTTCCAGAAAAAAACTGTAACATGTAGTAATGGGTATCATCATTTCTATTAAACCTGGTAGTTGCAATACCAGCTTCATTCAACACTCAGGCAGCTAGGCTTTGACAAATACCAACCTGGTGGCTCTGGTGGGTACGTGTCATCCACCCTGAGCGGCAAGACTGTCACAAATTTCTCGTAATCCAGGGCAAACTTCAGCTCCTTACAGTGTTGCAGGGCTCCCAATATATTCTATTTAAAATAATGAGCAAGTCTCCAGTTCATTAATGGGGGTGCCAATGTTAATAATTTAACACTATGGTGATCAGGATTTCTTACATTATGACTGTGTTGTGGAGGGAACCGCCAAAGGATGGATGTTTAACAACCCAAACATGCAAAGTGTATATAAGGAATCCCGTCCTTGTGGGAGGAATAAGCAGAAGCAGTCATCTCGCCGTAGTGCTCGGTACACACAGCAATCATGGTGCCGTTTTCTTTGTGCAGCCGCCCCAGGTATTTGGTGGTCAAATCCCCGAAGCTTTGGCCAGCATCTGCAGCCACCATGAGGATATCATATTTTCGGTCACATAGAATCTGGAACACTTTGCGGATTTTCCTTAGAGAGACGGCACTCAGGTAACATAAACTCAAGCTTTCCACAGGCGCCAAAACCAAACTGGGGAATACTATAGGTCCCATGTACTTACCATGATAATACCAAAAGAGAAGAAATCAAACTTCAAAATGGCACGCCCCAGCTGAGCATCTGTTCAATTGGGCCCCCATCGAATCTGGCAGAAAACATGGCCACCCGAGTGCTTTCCCCATTTGGAATTGTGTCTCCTGGTCCTCCGTCTGCAATCCTTCCGTGTCCTGTAGCCTGGATGGACTTGGTTTCCTGCTTTTGAGACAGAAGTTTCAAAGCCTCATCCGCAGCCTCTTTTACCTTCCCTTTCCCGTGCCTCACAACAGGCTCCAATGTGGCAATCCCACCGGCCTTCAAGATGACCTCCTTGGCCTCACAATTGTTTGCGAGATTTCGTAAGGCCCTGGCAGCATGCCATTTGGCATCATCGCTGCCGGTCACCAGTAAAGCCACCAATGCCTCAGCTCCACCTTCTCTGCTGATGGCCACTCTATTCTCATCCGAAACGGCTGCCCAAGTTCCGAGCTGCTCGGCTGCTTTGGCCTTCAGCTCTTGGTTTCCAGATTCCAGCGTCCTGATCTCACCCCGAAGCTTCTCCGCGGAGACAATAGTGCTCGGCTTTGTCGCCGGATCGCTGCCAAGCTTGGTGCCGCCTTCTGCAGAGTCGGACTCGCGGGGTAAATGCTTCAGAGCTCCCTGCGCCATCTGTCGGTGCACCAGCACCTTGCCATCTTTGGCCATCTCCTGAAGAGCTTGGACTCCGCCGGCTGCCATGATGGCTGCCTTGTTCTGGTCATTCTTCGATGCCAAGTTTCCCAAGGCACGTGCAGCATATTCCTTGGCAGAATCGCTGCCACTTGTGACCAGTGCTACCAGCGGAGGAATGCCACCCGCAGCTGCGATGGCTGCCTTGTTCTGGTCATTCTTCGATGCCAAGTTTCCCAAAGCACGTGCAGCATGTGCCTTGGCAGAATCGCTGCCACATGTGACCAGTGCAACCAGCGGAGGAATGCCACCCGCAGCTGCGATGGCTGCCTCGTTCTGGTCATTCGATGCCAAGTTTCCCAAAACACGTGCAGCATCTTGCTTCGCAGAATCGCTGCCACTTGTGACCAGGGCTACCAGCGGAGGAATGCCACCGGCAGCTGCGATGGCTGCCTCGTTCTGGTCATTCGTTGCCAAGTTTCTCAAAGCACGTGCAGCATCTTGCTTCGCAGAATCGCTGCCACTTGTGACCAGTGCCACCAGCGGAGGGATGCCACCCGCAGCTACGATGGCTGCCTCGTTCTGGTCATTCGTTGCCAAGTTTGCCAAAGCACGTGCAGCATCTTGCTTCGCAGAGTCGCTGCCACTTGTGACCAGGGCTACCAGCGGAGGAATGCCACCCGCAGCTGCGATGGTTGCCTTGTTCTGGTCAATTCTTGTTGCCAACTTTCCCAAAGCACGTGCAGCATCTTGCTTCGCAGAGTCGCTGCCACTTGTGACCAGCGCTACCAGCGGAGGAATGCCACCGGCAGCTGCGATGGCTGCCTTGTTCTGGTCATTCGTTGCCAAGTTTCCCAAAGCAGCTGCAGCATATTCCTTGGCAGAATCGTTGCCACTTGTGACAAGCGCTACCAGCGGAGGAATGCCACCAGCAGCTGCGATGGCTGCCTTGTTCTGGTCATTATTGCTTGCCAAGTTTCCCAAAGCACGTGCAGCATATTTCTTGGCAGAATCGCTGCCACGGGTAACCAGTGCCACCAGCGGAGGAATGCCACCGGCAGCTGCAATGGCTGCTTTGTTCTCATCATTCACTGCCAAGTTTGCCAAAATTTTTGCAGCCTCCTCCTTCTCACGATCACTGGCTTCTGGGTTTCTCAGCGATTGCACACGATTTTGGATCTCATCATCCATCTATTGGGGTGCCCCTGGCTTGAGCCGCTGAACTACCCATCCCTAGCTTCATGGGAGGTATGTCAAATGTTGAGACTTCAACATACTTTCGCAACCTGCCGAAGGTCAACATTCCATGCACCAGGTGTGAAAACTGTGGGAAAACTCTAGAAATTCACCCAGCTTTGGGGGCCAAGCCACCGAGCCAGTCGGGGAGCACCACGCCGAAGTCGATGCGATTCCGCGCTGGGATCCTGGAACTTTTTCCGGGCGTTTTTTGTAGAACCCTGCTCGAACATGGACCATAGATGTGGAGAACTCACCATGACTGTCGTTCCACACCTGGGTGAGTTATTGCATGTTTAGCCCAGGGTAAGCATTAGACATACCCTAGAAAATCTCCATGACTCATAGATTACCACTGGCTTAATTGTGGATTATCACCTTATATAGATTGTGGGAGTAAAATAAGACATTTAACTCACAGGGATTGGATATCATTGGGATATTGTGGAGACTTCATGGATATATATATATATGTGTGTGTGTAATAAATAAACATATAGATATATACAAATACATGTGGCTTTGGTTTGTATGATTGAAACCGGAAATAATAGTTCGTTCAATCCGATTGGGATCAGTCCCCTTACTGTGCCTCATATATACATGTCTAAGATTGTCTAAGCATTTCTGGAGGGGTTCCGCTTATACTTGCCAGGAATAACATCTTTTCCTGAAAATGTTCCCGGACCCAGTTCAATAAACTAATGTTGTCTCAAACTGGAAACAAACAATTTTGGGATTGAAACCGCAAATCATCCGGAAACAATGACTAACAAGTTGCACTTTCACTAGCCAACTTTTACATGGTGGACTGTGTACAGGGGCAATCATCCAATGTGCACTGGCCAAGTCGCACTAGTCAAAACTATAGTGGATTTCTTAGGTCGGCTGGACTTCTACTTGGCATTGGTTTGGCAGCAATCTGGATCAATCATGCCAAAATGACTGAAGCAAATGCTGCCTTGAACTCAGGGGAATGATGAGTTATGTGGCCTGCGGCTACATGCATGTATTCTATATCTATTTCTCTGCCGGCCCATTGTTCACTCAATGGTTCTTCTAATTGGAGCGTTGGACCCTTGGAGCCTCCACTTAGTAAATGGCTCAAGGCAATCCATAAAAGGCTCATCATGTATATAGAAACCCCAAAAAAGATAGAACAGTAAACTATCATTTTAGTATATTGTTTCCTACCTTCTTTTGGGGTTGCTGTGAATCAAGTACAGTATATATGTTTACCAACCAGTTTCAAAGTTCATCTGGTGCGGTGTCTAGCCCCCAGTAATCAAGCATGGCTTGGTGCATTTTTTTTAAATGATTTTCCCAGGTATCAACCTCACCAAAGAGTATCCCATTGACATAAAACCACCGCCCCTCCGGAGCGTGATCTCTAGAAAGCGTACCAGCGTCGGTGCCGTGCAGGAAGCAACACTGGATTCGATGCCATTGGAGACGTTGGGGGTCAGCAACCTGGATTCGTTGGTGCTGCTGGTATCATACAGGACATGGATGTGTGTGAAAATGGGGTGTACACCCAAATAAGCTATACTTGAATGGGAAATATGACTATAGTAAACACATGTAAACACTGGATTTTGGGGTAGCCTATTTTCAGACTAACCCACATGGTGGATTTGATGAGCAAACGTATGGCAAAATAGATGAACCTCTAGCAAAATCTGCCATCCTCCAAGCGTGGTCAATCTTAGATGCCGTGCACACAGAAAAAAATATCCCAAATACCCGTCTAATTGTCCCAGCGGGTAGACACTCTGAGTATTGAATTAGTATCAGTCCCAACACGGATACTTCATTAGTAGAGTAACTCAGAGATCAACCAATGATTAATTGCACATGACTAAACAATTACGTAACAGCTTCCCCGAAAAAAGAAAGAAAGGTAAATCCCATTAAACTAGTGATACCCATCCTGTCATCCCCGCCCTTCGGCGACAACGTCGCACCTGCACCCTGCCAGCTGCCCCCGCAGCGTGCGATTCCCGGCCGCCAAGGCTATACCACTGGAGGCAGCAGTTGCTTCGTGGTGGCTGTGGTTGTTGTAAGCCTCAAAACCTGGGTCAAATAAGCTCTCGATTGGACATGGGGGCCAATCGGGATGTTTCGGATGTTTCGAAGGCACAAACAAAACATACAAGGATTTATGTAGAATAACTTGGATGAGTTGGAAAATTCTACGGTTGAAAAATCTGTTGAAAGCCTGGATCTTAGGGCTACAATGATGGTTTCCCGCAGGCTATCTCTTCACCACAAAAATGGTGACGTTTTGCACTATCCAAAACACTTAAATGCAGATAAACATATCCCCAAACCAAACCTATCCAAACATGCTGTCGAGAAGCATCCATGATATCCTGGAAAGGAGGTCAAGCAATCCAAGTTCTCCTCGCAACTCTTGGTGCAGGATGCCTCGTTGGCTCCCGCCAAGGGCTCGAAGACGGTCCAGAGCTTGCGGTCCTCGTGGTTTCTATCGCCATGTACGGCTGATACCCTCATGGCAAATCCACCAGTTCTCATCTGTTAGATGCCATATCCAGGTCCATGTTCGATGTTGCGCCTATGAATGTCTAAAGTCTAAAGTATTCCCCAAAGTCCCTAAGGGTATCAGATTTTTGCAAGTGCGCCCAAAAAATTTGGCTAATACGGTATGCCCATGATGCCCGACCCACTTTCCATCAAAGCGAATGCCACACACCTGCAGTTGGGGGTCGTAAACTTGCAGCACATTTCTGGCATGCCATTGGGAATGGTTGCGTATACCACATCATTGGTTGCTTCTATAGTTCCCATTTATCCATGGTAAACCCCTAGTGAATGCTTGGACCCACTTCAATTTCTTGTATGGTTCGCATTTATCAATGGAGAATTGGTAATTCCCTCGTATATCCCATAGTGATCAATGATCCAATGGTAAAATCCCTAGTATATCCCTGCCTAACTATAGATATCAATGATAAATGAGATAATAGGGTGGAAAATGGCTCCGAGTTGCAGCCACTGAAGAGGCCGACACTGGAAGACCCAGGAAGAAGTCGTGCAATGTGATGCTGAGGTTGAAGTCCGTCAGTCCCGGTGGCAAGCCTTGGTTGATGCTGATGGATGTTTTGTTGAATGGATTTCACCCAAGGCTTGATTGTGAAGGCCAACGCTGGAAGGTGATAGCTACTGAGAAACAAACAACTCTCACAAAGGCGCACAGTGGGCAAGAGACCAAGGCACTTCAGCCCAGCCCAACGTCAAGTGTGCACGGAAGACGGTTTCTGTTCAGGAGTCAGAAAAGACTACAGACCAAGTTTGGTCGTGGCCCCCATTGCAGTTGTAAACCCTTGGGCCAGAAACCAACTACACAAATCAAACACACACCCTGTGTTTTTTTGACACCACTTATTAACAAAATCAGTGTCCCACTGTTTTTAATGTTACATCCCTTGCTGCCCTTGCTTCTCAAAACATTCCCATGATATCAGCGGCAAATGCGCCCACCATCCAAGAAGCTGATGGTACCCCGTGGCAGGGTGGAGCAGGCCAGAACTCTCCGGAAGCCAAGCCCCGAAAGGCTGAGCCGCGCTGGGAGCGTCTTCCTGGCGAAGCTTGAAAGAGACGGCTGAGTTTTCGATTCGATTCATGTAATGGTTTAGAAATTAATTTGAACACCTTGATGAAATGTATTGATGTGTACTTACATATTGGAGTAATTACTCGGTTATGATTCAGCATGATCCCACAGGATTACAACCTCAAATTCCCAGCGCCAAGCGGCAAGGGCGAGAAGCGGATGAACTGCTCCGTGGCCGGCAGCGACGGCCGTGGCCACGCCTGGGATCCGTTGCCTCGGCGCATGGACACGACGACGTGGCGAAGCCATGGGAGATGTCGGGGAAAACATGGGAAAAACAGCTGGGAAATGGAAAATATTTGGATTTTGTAGGAATCCATTGGGTTTTACTCTAGATATCTCTGGATCCTATATTTTAAGAAATGTTGATGTGTTAAAAACAAAGACTTCTTGAAGGAGGACATGATTTAACTTTAGTAAAGAAGCGAGATGTGAGAAGTCGACAGGCCCTCCCACCGACTGATGATGGAACAAACAGATTTGGAATGTCTCCAAAGATTGTTCAGTCTATGCCCTGAGACCGTTTCTATGTCTACTCCTCGGTAGCAGAATAACAAAAACAACTCCAATGAACCCACGCCATGCTCATGTCGCTGTCAGTACCTCTACTTAACAATCCTGCTTTCTACGGAGCTTTCAGAATCAGTTTTGGGCCACTCATTTCCAAACACGAACAGCCCCCCACATCACCGCCACCGTCGCCTTGAGAATCTCCGCGATCACCGCGCCCTTGTCGTCCTCCACTGCCTCGGCTCCTGCTGCCGTAGCGCCTGGCTGGGTGAAGCTGATCCCACGGGTGGAGGGAGCGTCCGCAGGGCCACCAGGATGGCCTGTTTGAAGGAGACGTCCTGCAACGAGTTTGACCTAGACTCCTAGACCCTCAACCCGTAGAAATGGCTACAATGTACCAAAAAGATTGGGGGAACAAACCCAATGGATGCTTGGAGGCTCAGGTATATTGAAAAATCTCATGAACAGGTATGAAACTGAGAGTTGATTCCAAGCAATAATTGAGCAATAAGCAATAACTTACATCAAAATAAATGAAGTAGACACTGGACCCCAGAAAAACATACCAACAACTAGAGGCAAAGGCAGTCTTCAATCCACTGGGGGGCAACATGGTGGCAACATACGTCAAACTTTCTAGCCTTGATTTTTCAATGTTGCCCTCCTCCAAACTAACATACAGGTAGAAGTGAAAGTCATCCCTCACTGTCCCTTTTGGGTTTTCCCCATTGTCAACGCCGTTTCCAAGAAGTCATCCCTAAGTCATCCCTTTGATGGTTTCCCCCTTGTGAACGCTAGATTTTCTGAATGTTTTTTTATCACCTACGATCTTGAAATTGTAGAAATCATTGCATTCTGCTGGTGGGCCGCTATTCTTTTGAATGCCAAAAGATAGAGTAGAAAAATCATCTCTGCATGGCAACGCTGGAAAAACATCTCCTGGACTGGGCGGACGTTGTTTCTTACCCCAGGCACCCAGAAGTTACCTCATCTCAATGGCACACAGGGTTACCCCAGGCCATCCGGAAGTTACCCCAGGGACCAAATCCTATTGGCACACTGGTACCACACCACCGTTGGTTTGGCAAACAAAATATGTAAAATGTATCCGTGCCATTGCGAACATTTGCGAACCACATATTTAATACCATCTCCTTTGGTGATAAAACCATGTTGAAAGTGGGCAACCGCCATTGGCACACACGCATTGACAGCAAAACAGCTGCCTTCCATCCAAATGAGAAAAGTAACCAATTCTGCAGCACACGCCCCGTTTTCTTGTCATGACTCTGGACATGGATTCGTTTGATTTCAGTACGAGCCCCGGCGTGATCCTACGGCATTTACTAGAACTTGCGCCAGCCGCATGGCACACCGCTTACGCCAGACATCAATAATCTTCCGCCTGTTTGAACAGTCAGAACGATCATCCTCCGCATGGCACACCATGTTTCATGGCATTTCCAACATACAAACTTGGATGTGATCGACGTTGCAGTCCTGTGGTTTCTGCGGTGAATTCAGCTTCATGCCAATCAACCCTTTCATCCACTTCCCCATGGCACACCGCTGATCGGATCGACATTCTTTTTTCAGGTCATCTTCTGATGCTTTTGGTTTCTCTGCCCAGAAAAAACCACGCCTTGCTCAGAAGCAGCAGCACAAGCAACGACAGCAGCAGCAGCAGCAGTAGCAGCAGCAGCAGACCAAGTAGCAAACCATTGCAAAGCCTTTCCAAGACCTCTCCGGGCTGGGTTTTGACTGGCTGCAATTTCAACGAGGTGCGAACGAGGTCCGAACGAGGTCCGAACGAGGTGCAAAATCAAATTTTGGGAGACTGACCCCCTAAGTCTCCTGACAAAGTCTTTAGTAGCCACACGCTTTCGCATTCTTTTCAGGACAGTAAAACTCAAGAGCTTTCAGTGGTGGAGCAGAAGAGGAAACCAAGCCAAGCAGCAGCTGCAGGCAAGAGCAAGGAGACAGAAGAGGAGACAAAGGGCGAGTAAGGGAGACAGAGGGGAGACAAAGGGACGCAAGCTTGGCGAACAAGGCGGCGGTGAGAAATTTGAGCGGGCACAGACTGGTTGAGACGTGGGAACCGTGATAGCCAAAGACATCTTAGCCTAACTGTCTGGGGAAGAGAAAGCAAAGCCATGGGCAGAGGAACCACCAGGCATAGGGCAGCAGGTCAGGATGACCCATGTCTATGTTCGATTGTCTATATTTGAGCTCCAAACTGAAGCAAAACACAGCTCAAACACATGTTTTACGTATGAAACGTGTTACCAATTTCAAAACTCACAAATCACCACCTAAACGCCACGAACGCAACGACTTCCTGAAATTTGTCTGCCAACCTAAATCCAGGAAAAGTATACACTTGCCACGACTTTCATCTTTGGGAGTATGGTGGGTAAACCCACAAAGATATGACAGGTAAGCACCGTGTGCCTATGCGAAGTGCCAAAAATACATCAGTAAGTTAAAGTCATAGGCGCTGCCCATGTGGACCTTTCCTCATAGCTTTCCTCATAGGCACACCACGATGTGGCACAAGATCTTGTCATTGGCACTTGTTACAACATCGATCCAGTAGTTTAATATGTTTCCCAATCGCACACCTAGTGCCAAATAAGTCGTGCAAAGCATCCCTGACCCAGTGTACCCCTGCGTTGTGTGCCCTGCAATGGACAAACAAACAATAAGAAGGTTTATGACTGCAAATGGTAGGTTCATGTTGGTGAAATTCAGCGTGCCTATGTGTTTTGTGGTCTTACAATAAGCAATGATCCAATGGAATAATAATGTAATATATATCTTTTATACAGGCAACGCAACATTTAAGCAACAAGACCCCCGAGTGTTTTCATGCAAACACCAACCTAAACGCAACATTCGCAAAATAATGGGTCAAAAACAAAACATCATCACAAATCCTGCATTCAGCTTGCGGGAAGCCAAAAAGAGACGACTTCTGCAAGACAGTGTTCCGCAGCTGATTTCTTGAAAACAACACAAAAAGAGACGACTTTAGCAGTTCCCTGTAGCTGTGCAGGACCCACCATTTGTAGACCATTTTCCTCAGAAACCAGGGGTTTTCCACATCTAGGTTAATTGACCCCAGGGTAAGCATTTGCTCAGCATGTGCCACCACTGTTCCCAGGTTTCCCAAAGGCCCAAGGGCTGTCCATCTGCACCGCATATTTCTGCTGCCAGGGGCTGAAGTCGATGCTCAGCAGCGAGGCTAATTGGAGATCTGCCAATTCACCTCGCGAACATGCCTGGGTTGCATCGGTTCAATGGGAGAGCCACGGCCGAAGAGTTGATACACATCTGCACTATCTAAATATAGTAATGTTATATGGATGTGTCAATACATGCCAACACATATCTATCTAATTTATCTTGTCTTTGCTGCTCTAACCCAATCCAATCCTATCCTGTCTATCTATATCTACCTATATATGCATGGAAACTAGTACGCACTATAAAACAGATATTACACATGTACAATCATGTATACATAAATAAATATAATGTGATGTGTATATCGTATCTGTATATCTACATGTTCTACATAACCTATAAGATATGAAAACAACGGAACATAGAAGGATAGTGAAACTCATTTGCAGTCCATTTGTTTGTACACAACATGATAGTGGGCTGGGGTATCGAACTGCTGCCCTGGTTAGTAGCAACAATGCCAAGCTTACAAGTCTCGACAATCAAGTTGGTCCAAGAATTGTGGAATTCTGAAAATAAGTACAACCTCCCTGACATCTCGTATATGTGCACAAGGCAAAAGAAAATACAAGTAGGACTGGAACGGGTCAAACATTAAGACCTATAATATGACCTTCAAGTTGAAGTGGTTCGTCCGAGTAAAGCATCCAATTCTGTCGTCCCCAAAATGAACCATACCCCAATACCATCCAGGAGTGTTCAGGTATGACCTATGGTCAAGATTTAGGACCATTTGGATCCATTTGGGTGATACAACTCGTACGGAAAGGTGGCTAAACTCTACACTTAACTGTTTCCTCTACCGAAAGTGAAAAATAAGCACATGGACCATGCAAAATAATATTGGCAAGAACTCTGTCCTCCATTTCTTCCTCTATTAAAAGATCTGTAAAGACATCAACAAACCATACGAAACTGGACCCATTAAATGCGAGCCCAGAAGCATAGCTCATCGCTTGTAGGCAGTGGAGATGCCAACAAAGCAGAAGACAATCCTGACGTCCGCGAGAAGGTGAAAACATGGTGGCACGGCTGGGCGGGGGCAGTTGTGCTGGTGTTTTTAAGGTTAAAAAAACGGTGGTTTCGTGACGGAAATCGTTCTGTTGGGTTGTTTTGGTATGTTTGTTGTTCGCTTAATGGTATATGATCCACTTGCTGGCTAAAAATGCAGCTAGCAAATCATTCCATGACAAATGAATCAAAACACCAGTCAGATTGATATCCAGAAAACAGCTTGGCATGTTGAATCAAACATAATCACAATTCGCAAAGAGCCTGCAAGCACAGGTGTCATAAGCTCCCACTGCCAGCGTTTCGTTGCTGAAATCCACCGCTGTTTCTGGGTCAAGAACCCCCCTTGCATCCTCAAAAATTCCTCCGTGGTCCGTTTTATTGATGCCACGCATGTCCGCATGTAACCTGTGGATGGAAAATCCTCACTGGATCTGGCGGAAGCTTCGGTCCCGATGCTATTGTCCTAAATTTGCGGGTGTTTCACTTTAGTTGAATGGAATTACATCTTATCATAAACTTCCCTTATATGGCCGTTAAATCCCGTTATACCGGCGGACGGAAACTTAGAATGCCTCGCAGTTTTCCAATTTTTTTTACCCAGAAGATAGAACCTTACTCATTTCAGGGGGGTTTGGGAGTAACTTAGAATGACTCGCAAGGATTTTTGTAATATTTAGAAAGAGTGGTTCTAAGTTTCAGTCCGTCAACACCAAAACTACTCAATTTTCCCCATTTTTTCATTTGCACGAGTTTGAGAAAAACATGTCAACACCAAAAGTTTGAGAAAAAAACATGTCAACAACACCAAAACCCTTGCAATTGCTGTCTGCAATTTGCACGCATGTTTGACCTTGTCATGCCTTCATCCACCTTTCTGACTGTGCAAATAGAAACGGCAAGGGGCGGTTGCGAGTTTGGCAACGCTTTCTGACAACAAACAAGCACATTCATATAGCAAACCATGGCAAACCCAAGAATAAACCTATCATTTGGGGATGCTTTATACAGTGACATGTACCACCCATTTATGATGATTTTAGGTAGAATCTTTCGTTCAATCCATCAAACAACACATCATATTACTTAGCTAGTTTTACGGTTACTTTTCGGGTAAAAAACTGCGAGAGGGTAGTCATTTTTGGCTCTCGGCGGGCCATTTTTGGTAGTGGTTCTAAGTTCTGATTACGGTGAACAGTTTCGCAAAACGTAAAAATATTATAAATTTTATCAATTTTACCCAAATCTGACCGGTTAGTTCCGGTGACTTTTTCGGGGTATGGCAAATTTCCAAAATCAGGTTCTAAGTTCCAGTTCGCCGGTATAAATGTGGTTTAAATCACACTAAAAACATCTAAAAACTATTCAATCAGAATTCAACCCTGTAAATCCCAATTGAGATCCATTAAATCCCTATGAAGTCTCATTAGAACTACTGTAAACCCCTGATAATCCTCCGTTCAAAACGCCTCAGCCAAGCAACAAGGCCAAAACAGGCAGTGCCAGCACCGACCAGATTCCGCTTCCCAGCTGCGACAAACGCGACGATGCCACAGCAAATCATGAAAGAGGTTGAAATCTACCTAGGGATGTGGCATTGTTTTGGGGGGATTTGGGGGGTAGTTTAAGCGTATGAATCAAATGGGTTTTTGACATATCTTATAGCAACCCCCTGAAAGATAGAAAATGACAATTGTCACTACTTTGGTAGATGCTGACTTTTCTATCATCTTTTTGCGGGCAACTACCAGTGAAATACCAGATTATTAAATGGATCACATAATTGAATAGATGGTAGGGTTCCCTCATACAAAAACTTGAGGATCCATTGGTATCTCTGTTCCTTTTTCAATGACCCAATGCCCCACAGCTGAGTATCAAATGATTCATCACCCTCAAACAAGCACACTTCGCGATAGTTACCCATGCTAATCATCATCTATGGTCGTTATAGTTCCAACAAATTCACCCCGCTATTTTCCCATGATGCCTCCATTACATCCCACATTATACCACCAGTTTTGTTCTGCCAAAACCTCCATGTTTGAAGCTTAACAACCCCCATCCCATGAGCACAAAGCCATACCCATCGGCCTCTGGCACTGCCTCCGGCACTGCATCCGGCTCCAAGTCCTCCTCACTCGCGCGACTGGCCGACACCAAGCTGTGCCACGGGACCATGCGAGATGCTTTGGCAGTGAGTTTGTCCGACTCAAAAGGATCAACTGATCCATCCGAGCTTCCGTCTCCTGAACTGTGGACGATGGTGATGAGGGTGTAATTTACACCGCGGAAAAAATGGATGAGTTCCGCAATTCTTCGTCCAAGATATCCAAGTCATGGGTGATCATGGGTGTTGCGTGGCTCTCACATCCCATCATTATTACCATGTGGCTGAGATTAGTAGCCTGCGAAAGGCACGGGGTAGAAAAATCGAGGGGCCCTACCCTTCGAGTAGCAACTAATCCTGCCCTTCAAGAATACATCTAAAAAAAAGGCAGCGTCCACGCATTTTCCCGCCCTAAATTGCAAGCTCTATGCGTGCTCCGAATATAAAACACACCCAATGATTGGGACCCAAACTAATATCTCCCATACTATAGCACCCCCCCCAAAAAAAAAAAAACAGTTGGAAGCCTGGAAAATATGTGGGAAACATCCATCCTGGAAAGACTTTTCGGCACCTTTCTTTTCGTGTTGCTATGAACCAACGTTTCCGTTGGGCGGTGTCCTGCACATTCTTTACTTTAAGGCTTTGACTTTGACCAAAGTCCATGCTGGTGACAGCAAGGCTAAGAAGACAACTGCTGAGGCCTGGCGGGGATGCGTCAGGGGATCAAGTGGGGTTTGGGGTGGGTCATAACCCCGTAATGCCAACACCGGATTAATAAACCCCCCCCCCTAGAAGGTAGGAGGTACCTGAAAATACACCCGTAAATAAACGGCCCTGAGCCATAAAATTCTGAACCATAAAACTTTGGATATGGCTTACGTCAATTAGATCTTAATAGAATTCCATTGGATTTGTTAAAATTTCATGGATCAGAAAGGTGGTTGATTAATCAGGGGCAAACCATGGTTATTATTAATGGGGGACATGGGCTCATGGGGGGTACCCTTTGGGAGCTATCCAAACTGATGTTTTTTTATAAAGATTTTAATTAGAAATCGATCATTTGGGGAATAGTTGTTTTTTGAAATTTTCAATGATCAACTTAAACTGGTTTTTGAAATTTTCAATGATCAACTTAAACCTGAAGTATAACAATGATGATTAAAAAAAAGGTAAAAAACAATTGGAAATAAATAGAATTGGAAATAAAAAATGTTGGATAAAAAATTGGATTTCAGCACTGGTGGTTGATTAATCGGGGGTAGGCCCACCGGTTTATTAATCTCGGGGGACCACCTGTTTTTAAATTACATTTTTTTTTGGGCAATGGTGGTTGATTAATCGGGAGGGGATTATTAATCCTCACTTGACAATTAATTAGTAATTGGGCCCTAAAATTCTATGTTTGGGTGGGATTCTATTCTTCTATTTTGTAGGGAGTTCCTATGAAGCATATTTGCTGGGCGATCGCGCTGATGAACCCCGCAAAAAAGAAGGGAAATAATCTTAACATGAATATTACAATAATTATTTCAACATCTTTGAACAGTGATACCATTGCCTTTTACCATCGCATCATGCCACACCTCTGCAAGGAATTCTTGATCGCCCACTTCCAGAATAAGGCTAAACTCCCAGCGAGCCGTGTTACCTGGGATATGAGCGCAGGTAGAGTTGTTTGCCGGCTTAGGTCCTTACTGGGCACCAAACTTTGTGCCAAACTTGGTTGATTTGGTATGAATTGGTTGTCCATTTAATTGTTAACTTGAACTTGCACCATCAGAAATGCGGCTGACAAGCCCTTTCAATGGTTGATTTATGTCAGGCAGAATCCACCCGAAACCTAGGCGAGGAAACTATCATCCAAATTGTCCGGACAATCATGTGACGGCCCTTCAAAAACAAACCCTACCAAGGGCAAATCTCTCCAACATTGTTTTTTGCCTGGCATTTCTGCCACAACTTTCGTAGTTGAAACCGGCGGCAAACATGGGATAGGATGCTGGGTAGCAAACTATGGGAAAGACACTGTACATGATGTAGAACCACTGAAATGATTCTGTTTTCGGTTACACTTGTGTACAAAATCACGTGTCTAAGCGTGGACAGTTCAGTGCAGGCAGTTTGACCCACTGCAAGCTGCATGCAGCGCTACATTTTTTTTCCGTTGTGAACGGTGCTCCTCTATCTCCTCTGGAGATTCAGAAAAAACAAAGGGTAACCACAGTGAACCTGCGATAAACGGTTGATCCTTGCGAATGTCAACTTGAGCCGTCCTTGCCCACTTTGTGCCTTTGGAGGACAGTGGCAATTTGTGCGGCGATTTCTATTTCCGATTTTTCCCGGCATTCCAGGAACACAACGCTCGGCTTGAAGACACTCAAAATATATCCTTGAGCAAGGTACTCTTTGTCATACGCGTGACCAGGCCCACCTGAACAACCCCCCAAACCCTGCAGCTAAAGTGATTCACCCGCTGGTTGTGGGGATGCTCATGCGTTTCTAGAAAAACTGTAACATGTAGTATTGGGTTTCATCACTTCTATTAAACCTGGTAGTTGCAATACAAGTTTCATTCAACACTCAGGCAGCTAGCTTTGACAAATACCAACCTGGTGGCTCTGGCGGGTACGTGTCATCCACCCTCAGCGGCAACACTGTCACAAACTTCTCGTAATCCAGAGCAAACTTCAGCTCCTATCGGTGTTACAGGGTTCCCAATATATTCTTTAAAAATAGTGAAGAGGTCCACAGTTCATTAATAGGGGTGCCAATGCTAATAATTTAGTACTATGCAGGTAACCCATGATTTTAAGGATCAGGATTTATTACATTATGACTGTGTTGTGGGGGCAGCCACTATTTCACAACCAAAAGATTGATGTTTAACAACCCAAACATGCAAAGTGTAAGGCGTAAGGAATCCTGTCCTTGTGGGAGGAATAAGCAGAAGCAGTCATCTCGCCGTAGTGCTTGGTACACACAGCAATCATGGTGCCATTTTCTTTGCGCAGCCGCCCCAGGTATTTGGTGGTCAAATCCCCGAAGCTTTGGCCAGCATCTGCAGTCACCATCAGGATATCATACTTTCGGGCGCAAAGAATCTGGAACACTTTGCGGATTTTCCTTAGAGAGACGGCACTCAGGTAACATAAACTCAAGCTTTCCACAGGCGCCAAAACGGATGCCAAAACCAAACTGGGGAATACTGATCCCATGTACTTGCCATGTGATTGGAGGTTGACACAATAAGTACCTGAAACATCCTGTAACTACAATACCAAAAGAAAAGAAGTAAAACTTGAAAATGGCACACCCCAGCTGAGCATCTGTTCAATCGGGCCTCCATCGAATCTGGCAGAAAACATGGCCACCCGAGCGCCTTCCCCAGTTGGAATTTTGTCTCCTGCTTCTGCAATCTTTCCGTGTCCTGTAGCCTGGATGGACTTGGTTTCCTGCTTTTGAGACAGAATTTTCAAAGCCTCATCCGCAGCCTCTTTCACCTTCCCTTTCCCGTGCCTCACAAGAGGCTCCAATGTGGCAATCCCACCGGCCTTCAGGATGACGTCCTTGGCCTCAAAATTATTTGCGAGATTTCGTAAGGCCCTGGCAGCATGCCATTTGGCATCATCGCTGCCAGTCACCAGCAAAGCCACCAATGCCTCAGCTCCACCTTCTCTGCTGATGGCGACTCTGTTCTCATCCGAAACGGCTGCCCAAGTTCCGAGCTTCTCAGCTGCTTTGGCCTTCAGCTCTTCGTTTCCAGATTCCAGCGTCCTGATCTCACCCCGAAGCTTCTCCGCGGAGACAATAGTGCTCGGCTTTGTCGCCGGATCGCCGCCCTCTGCAGAGTCGGACTCGCGGGGAAAATGCTTCAGAGCTTCCTGCGCCACCTGTCGGTGCACCAGCATCTTGCCATCTTTGGCCATCTCCTGAATAGCTTGGACTCCGCCGGCTGCCATGATGGCTGCCCTGTTCTGGTCATTTGTTGCCAAGCTTCCCAAAGCAAGTGCAGCATTTTCCTTGGCAGAATCGCTGCCACTTGTGACCAGTGCTATCAGCGGAGGAATGCCACCCGCAGCTGCGATGGCTGCCCTGTTCTGGTCAGTTCTTGCCAAGTTCCCCAAAGCAGCTGCAGCATATACCTTGGCAGAATCGCTGCCACTTGTGACCAGTCAGCGGAGGAATGCCACCCGCAGCTGCGATGGCTGCCCTGTTCTGGTCAGTTCTTGCCAAGTTCCCCAAAGCAGCTGCAGCATATACCTTGGCAGAATCGCTGCCACTTGTGATCAGAGTTACCAGCGGAGGAATGCCACCCGCAGCTGCGATGGCTGCACCTGCAGCGCGTTCCTTGGCAGAATCGCTGCCACTTGTGATCAGAGCTACCAGCGGAGGAATGCCACCCGCAGCTACGATGGCTGCCCTGTTCTGGTCATTCACTGCCAAGTTTCCCAAAGCACGTGCAGCGTGTTCCTTGGCAGAATCGCTGCCACTTGTGATCAGAGCTACCAGCGGAGGAATGCCACCCGCAGCTGCGATGGCTGCCCCGTTCTGGTCATTCACTGCCAAGTTTCGCAAAGCACGTGCAGCGTGTTCCTTGGCAGAATCGCTGCCACGTGTGATCAGAGCTACCAGCGGAGGAATGCCACCCGCAGCTGCGATGGCTGCCTCGTTCTGGCTATTCCCTGTCAAGTTTGCCAAAGCACCTGCAGCATATTTCTTGGCAGAATCGCTGCCACTTGTGATCAGTGCTACCAGCGGAGGAATGCCACCCGCAGCTGCAATGGCTGCCTTGTTCTCATCATTCCATGCCAAGTTTGCCAAAGCGTATACAGCATTTTCCTTGGCAGAATCGCTGCCACTTGTGACCAGTGCTATCAGCGGAGGAATGCCACCCGCAGCTACGATGGCTGCCTCGTTCTGGTCATTCACTGCCAACTTTCCCACAAAGCACGTGCAGCATATTCCTTGGCAGAATCGCTGCCACTTGCGACCAGTGCTACCAGCGGAGGAATGCCACCCGCAGCTGCGATGGCTGCCTTGTTCTCACCATTCCATGCCAAGTTTGCCAAAATTTTTGCAGCCTCCTTCTTCTCACGATCACTGGCTTCTGGGTTTCTCAACGATTGCACACGATTTTGGATCTCACCATCCATCTATTGGGGTGCCCCTGGCTTGAGCCGCTGAGCTACCCATCCCTACAGCTTCATGGAAGGTATGTCAAATGTTGAGACTTCAACATATTTCCGCAACCTGCAGAAGGTCAACATCCACGCCCAGCTTTCGGAGCCAAGCCACCGGGCCAGTCGGGGCGCACCACACCGAAGTCGATGATGTGATTCTGCGCCGGGATCCTGGAGCTTTTCTCTAACATGGACCATAGATGTGGAGAACCCACCATGACTGTCGCGCATTTTTCCCAGGAAAATCATGGACATGTTCCACATCTATGTTAATTATTTTATTTATTTTTATTGCATGTTTAGCCCAGGGTAAGCACTAGACATACCGGAAAATATGGCAAACCGATCAACCAACAACCAATTGACTGTTGGTCCACATGCCCTGTGTTAAATCAGCCAAAGTTGGCTGGGAAATAGGAAACTGGTAGGTTCCAGCTCGCCAGGATTAATAGAGGGTACCTGGTTGATGATGCGGAAAACTACCATGAAGGTGGCTATTTCCATGAATGCATCTCGCAACCCCTGTTTTTTGAGTGTCTCTGTCAATATTTCCTTGGGACATAGGGAACATTACAGGAAACTTATGTTTTTAAATGCCATCGGGGGAAACCTTCAAAATTAAAGGAATAGCACTTGATCTTGGGCCAAAAGCATTTGATTGTAGATTTTTTGTGATGCCAATTGAGTTGGGGGCGTATGTTGACTTCTTGGTGGCGTAACTGGCAATCCCATGGCTGTGCAAGGACCCCCGAAGTCTTGATCCCAAATCTAATGCAAGCAGAAAGATTGCTCGTTGTAGATCTCACTGTCAATAAAATGGAGGTCAACTTCTGCAAGTCAATTGAAGACTTCCTAAATCCTATGGTTTGCAGAACCCTGTGTAGATCTCAGCCCGTGATATTCAGCAGGTAGACATGTACAACACATCCCTTTTCCCTAGGAATCTCTACAACTTTCATTCGAAAATATTCGAAAGGCTTAGATCTGGGACTTCCAAATTCTAATGGTAGACATCTACAAAGTAGAGCATTTAAATCAACTATTTTACTTGCTACTTGATTTGGGGTGTGTAGATGGAATTCCAACATGACCTGACTTAGGTAACTTTCAGCAGAAACTAACTTGTAGATCACTCCCCCCAAATCAAGTGTCAAGTAAACATGTAGGTTTGTTCTCCATCATGCCACAGCAATAGGATTAGCGGGATGAGGGCTGGGGGTTGGATGGCTTTTGGCAGAACTTAGGGAATAGTTAAATGGGATTATGATTTCCTGGAGATATTAATAGGAGCATTTACTTACCATCCCAAATCATTTGCATTTCACCCCAAATCTATTGCCAATCCTTATTGGCTAGTTTCAATTTCCCACCCGTAGTTGCAAGATTTCGCAGGCACCTTAACCTCCAAACTTAGTAGCATCATACACTGACTTGGCACGTTAACGTTGGTGCAACTGACTTGTTCCCCCCATGGAACCAAGTGACTCAGCTCCGGCCCAGGCACCCAGGCACCTGGCGCCACCTGTGCATCAGCATGCCAAAACTATGGAGAAAACATGGATCCCTCAAATATTGGAAGGCTCAAAAACAGGGCTAGAAATCAACTACATGTATCATATACTTTCCCTTTTGGTGTTGACGTATTGAACCGCTTGCATGTGAACTTTAAACCCGTCGATTTGAAGTGCTCACCAGGTGCCAAAACTGCGCGTGGGACAAATCCCTGTTACTCATAGCCTCGAAGCATCATAGCAAAAACATCACAACAGTGAAATTTGGGCCAATGGGGGTCAGTTAGAAAGGAATGAACATAGTGATTTAAGATTGTTGAATTAGGCTGTTGCCAACCTGCCATGCTCCTTTGCACAACCTTAGTTGTTTTACAGTTCCATCCCAAATTTACCCATTAGCTCACCATATGTCACACGCCGCGGACAGATGTGCCTGCAGCCAGAAAACAAGGAAAGTAGATTAACAGCCAAATTGCAATCCTGGGCCGTTCTTGCCGTGGGACCCCCCCAACAAAAGCATCCACAGGATTGGAAAATGATGGACATTTAAAATTGTCTAACTCCATGTATGGTAGGGGGACGAAAGAGATCCTAGCATTCCAAGTAACAGCAAAATTGTGATACCCTCCGGTAAACTAACATAACTATGGAAAATCACCATGTTTAATGGGAAATTCCACTATTTCTATGGCCATTTTCAATAGCTTTTTGTATGTTTACCAGAGGGTATCTAATGTGGAAGCACAACTCATCCCAAAAAGGTTGCCATCTCGACACGCTTGGTATCAGCGACCTCGACACGGATGCCACCCTCCATCAGATCCGGCAGTGGAAAAGTCACGTCACTATTCACACAGAATCCAAGAAATACAACGAGAGAACTGGGTGATGTTTCCTTGTCAAGGGATAGAACATGATAGAACCAGTTGAATCCCCAAATTTGGTGGGTTACAATAATTCCCTTATTGTAAAAATGCAATCTACCAGGGGGTAAGCAGGGTTTCTGATCGTTTCACCCGGATTTCTGCACATTTCTATTTACACAGTTCAATCCCCCAAAAAAAACCTGGCAGTTAACTATTCTACTCAGGCCTTGTACTACGTTTGGTTTTTGTTGGTATGATATATGTCGCCCTTCGACCCCCCCCAAAAAAAAATGGGGGCAAATTTCCTGGCAAGAAATATAGCACACCCATACCAACAAATTGGCACATCTATATCATCATGCTGCAAATACTTTTCTAACTTTATTGGAGCTTAGTGTTAATCAAGAAACAATATAGCCACCCATCTTTTCATGGTTTATAGGACCCATTTGTGGTAAATCGGGGTGTGTTTTCCTCTTTTTCCAACATTCAACATTACCTATGGCATTACTACAATTGGTGTAAAAGTTGGACACATCTATATCATCCTGGGCATATTTCTACTTTATCAGTCTTATTTGAAGGTTATATACAGTTATGGCCATTTATCAGTTATAAGTACTAACAAAACCCCATTTATAGAATGTATAATCCCATAGAAATCACCAGTTATAACTGGTATTCATGGCCATAACTGTAAGTTATATAATAACATTGGTGTAAAACCTCACCAAGTCCCACCAGTTCCACCATATCCCGGGTGGTCTCCGGGGGTCTCAAGAAGCGTCGGGACGATTGTGACTTCTTCACCAAGAAGGCTCGCACCGCCGTCTGGTGGCCCTCAAGGGAGCCGCCGGTGGGGAAATGCATGATAAATATACGGATGAATCATTTGAAGATTGGGTGGTAAAAAAAATATGACCTGACCGCTGAATATCTCACTTTTGCAATTTTGGTGTCTTGGAAGGATGCTGTGCCTTGCGGCCTCAACTGGGAGGAACAACAACAAAAGTCGTTGGGAAAACATGGGCTTTGGAGGTCAACAAAATTGGGACTTTAATGACTTTTAATCAATCAACGTTTGGAATGATACCACCAAATCCCCAAGTTTCAGTGTATAAAGTCCCAAGTTTGTTCTTGGGTTTGGGGAGGAGGATTTGACCAACCAAATCCTCATTATACTGATTTCAACCCAGGAAATCGTGTTTATCTAACATTTAAAATCTAACCAGAAATGGAGCCACCATAAACAGGATGATGGAATGATGGAGTTTGGATCCATGATCAGGGGATGTCTTCCGAATGGTGAGCCAAGAAACCTGCACTGAAGATCTTCAAGGGAGGGTCCTTGGTTTATGTTGCCGGTGACGTGAGCCGGTTGGTTGTAAGCCCTTTGAAAGGAGTGTATCATCATATATCAGTCATTTTTAACATACCTATGGTTGGTACCAGTGCTTGAACGATGCACACTCACTATGGTTACTATGGTTGAATGAAAACCCTTCTTTGCAGCCAGTGAAATTCATCCACTCGCACCGAGTGGATCCCCAGATCACCATGACTTAGGGAACATCTTAAACTGGATCATCCAAATCATTGGGTATCAATGGGTGTCATCATGAAGCAGCACCAAAAATCAGCCAACTCTGTTCTTTTTGGGCCCCTGTTGAAAGGGTTGTCTCCCAATACACATGTCTTCAAAGCCCGTCTTTTCCGAGGGGCACAGTTCCAACGCACAATGGAGCATCGAGCAGCTGGAAAATCCAGAGGTCCAACCACACTTGGGACGGCAAAGGGTGACCCCTTGAGCTAGGCGGCGAATGTTGGATGTTGGAGGGCTCGGACCCGGTGACCGGAGGGGACGACCATAATTCTCGAATGATGGCATGCAACAGCTACACTGGCTTTCATCACAGAACTCGTGGCATTCTACGCAATAACCCTCATCATTGATCACTGTAGATTCACATGTCTCCCATCCTCCCCGCATAGTTCTAAATTGATTCAAGCGTCATGAAACTTGACATGCCACAGCATTGCGCCCAAACATCCTTGATACCCCATATCCCTAGAGATAGCTAAGTCATGTCAAGTACCTATATTGTTAATAGCCGTATCCCATCCATCTCAAGGCAACGACGCTGAAAAAACCAAGGAAATCCCCAAACTGGATGGATCAATGGGAAGTTCATCGAACTATTGCTGGGTGATTTTCTAACCATCTGAAGTGACTACCAAAGGGTATGCTATACCGTTATACTCATAGTTTTTATATTATAAAACCCCGCCATTATATAAAACTACCAGTAGTACCGCGCAAGGCGGTGGCGGAAGTTTCAAAAATAGGAAACCTATAGGAGAGGTTGGTTGTTGTGAATCAGGGATGGCAAAGCGAAGCCACTGATGGATTGAAAGGTGCTTGATCTCTCTCACTCTTTCTCTCTCTTTCTCTGACTATCTACCTACCTACCTATCTATTTTCTATGTATCTATCTATCTATCTATCGATCGATCGATCTATCTATCTATCTATCTATCTCTCTATCTATCTTTCTATCTCTCTCTCTCTCTTTCATCGAATTACCTATCTATCTATGTATCTATCTATCTATCTATCAATTTATTTATCTATCTATTTATCTATCTATCTCTCTCTCTCTCTCTCTCTCCCTCTCTTTCTTTCATCTGTCTATCTGTCTAGCTGTCTGTGTGTCTATCTGCTATCCATCTATCTATCTATCTATTTATCTGTCTATGAGTCTGTCTATCCATCCATCCATCTATCTATCTATCTATCTGTCTACCTATCTATCTATCTGTCTATCTATCTATCTATCTCTCTATGTATCTATCTCTCTCTCCATGTATCTATCTATCTATCTATCTATCTATCTATCTATCTATCTCTCCATGTATCGATCTATGTATCTATCGATGTATCTATCTATCTATCTATCTATGTATCTATCTATCTCTCCATGTATCTATCTATCTCTCCATGTATCTATCTATCTCTCCATGTATCGATCTATGTATCTATCGATGTATCTATCTATCTATCTATCTGTCTGTCTATCTGTCTGTCTGTCTGTCTATCTGTCTAGCCATTTCTCTATCTATCTCATCTACCCAGCTGGCCTCTCTCTCTCTCTCTCTCATCTAATTACCTATCTATCTATCTATCTACCTACCTGTCTATCTATCTCTCCCTTTCATCTGTCTATCTGTCTAGCTGTCTACCTGTCTATCTGTGTTGCAGTGTCATTCAGTGCAATGTAGTGTGGTGTAGTCTAATTTAGTGTAGTGGAGTGTACTGGAATGTAATGTAGCGTAATGTAGTGTACTGGAGTGTAGTGTATTGAATGTTCTGTAATGTAGTGTCTTGAAGCGAAGCGACATCTGAACCTCCAAAAGTGGTCCGAACCCCTAGTGTTTTGTACATTTTGACGCCACAACGGCATACACTTTTGCGACGTCCGAACCTCCAAAAGTGGTCCGACGCTGGTGTGTTTTCTGCATTGTGCGTCGCGTCACAACGACGTGCACTTTTTCAACATCCGAACCTCCAAAAGTGGCGCAAACATGTAGTGTTTTGTACATTTTGACTTCGAAATGTGCTTCGCGCCACAACGACGTACACTTTTTCGACATCTGAACCTCCAAAAGTGGTCCGAGCATGGTGTGCTTTGTACATTTTGACTTCGAAATGTGCTTCGCGCCACAACGGCGTGCACTTTTTCGACATCGCAACTTCCAAAAGTGGTCCGGACCGGGTGTGCTTTGTACATTTTGACTTGGAAATGTGCTTCGCACCACAACGGCGTGCACTTTTTCGACATCGCAACTTCCAAAAGTGGTCCGACAATGGTGTGTTTTGTACATTTTGACTTGGACATGTACTTCGCGCCACAACGGCGTGCACTTTTTTGACATCTCAACTTCCAAAAGTGGTCCGAGACCGCCAGTTTTTTAACACTTTTGACTTCGAAATGTGCTTCGCGCCACAACGGCGCGCAATTTTTCATCGCTCCTGTGGCCAGCTGGCTCCGCACCCGCCGCTTTAGCGAGCCTACTTTTCGACCCTCCGGAGCCACAAATCATTGGAAAAACACAGTGTTTCGCGACTTTCCTACCTTTTCGCGCATCTGTATCTTCTGTCTTCTTACTCTTTCTCTTCTGATCTTCTCTCTTCTAATCTTCCTCTTCTCTCTGCCTCCGCCCTGCTCTGCTTTTCATCTCTCCATATTGTCGGAAGTTTGACTTCTAAACTTCCTTCGATTATATAAAACATCATAGATATCCCTACACCAGAAATCCCACGGAAACACTTTCTCCATTTGGATCCCAACATTGGGCCCCGAAAGGCCGGATCGGTCGCCGGATCGGCCTCCCGCGTGTGCGGCAGAAGGCCGCATCTCGCGCGTTCCGGCGCCATTGCTGGATGGCCTGGTGACCGGTAGGGTGTCCGGTAGACAGCTGAGGCAGCGCCCAGCATCCGAAGCCCAAGCTATATATGGTTAATATATGGTTAATATACGGATGGTTAATAATGATTACCATCTGGTTATGACTAACATAGCCAATGACGTGATGAAATAGAACCCCCTACTGTATCCAGTTGTTGCATCGACATGGCGGCTTGACCGGCTTGGGTTGTTTTTTTGGATTCGGGACATCCTTCTAGAGACTATGTACATATATAATCCTATATACCATTTGGTTATTTAACATAGCCATGGAAAATCCCTGAACTAAATGGAGGCTTCAATGGGAAAATCATCTATTTCTATGGGCCATGGCTTCCATGGCTATGTTAAATAACCATAACCAGAGGGTAACCCAACAAAAAACATGAAACTTGGAATTGCTTAAGTTCCCCCCAGACAAATGAAGCATAAATCATGTATAATCACACATATATATATAATATATATACTTTCTACAGATTCCCTTGGATTTCCCATCGGAGAAACATAGAATCCTCAACTCAGCCCCCTGGACCTTGCTGTGCGTGTAGAGCCGGAAAAAGTTCATGGACTTCAAAACACGGTACCTGGCTTCCAACGGCGCAGTGGTCATCGGATGATCTCGGATGATATCGGGGATGTTGATCCAAGTTTTTCTTTGAATAGATCGGAGCTGGGGCTTTGATCAACTTGCCTTGGACACCATGACATATGCATATATATATATATGGTTATGTACATATCAATATACATCAATGTACTATATGATATCATATTATATTGACACATCATCTACAGTATATAGTGCCAAGACTTGTAGAACCTGGCAAGATAGGGGGTTCAACCCCGGGCAACTTTGGTGTATATACTCACTATCAATTTATGGAATCCAATAATCAGGGAGGAAACTGATCAGCCAGGCTGCTTCCCTTCATCCTTCTTAGAAATGGACCAACGCCAGTCTCATCAAGTCAACCACAATTTCACCAGGCCCCCAACTGGCCAAAACGAGAATAGAATAATGGTGCAGCTGACTTGCTGCTAGTGCAATCTCAAAAAGTTTCAGCCCATCCCAGCTCCCAGCCACGGGGCACATCATGCATTGATGAACCCATTCAGAGAGGCTCACGCACTCTGACAGTTGTCCAGGCCTAGGACGTCCAGGGATAACCCTACCATGACTGGGGATGGTGTCATGGTGTATGCCATATATATATATATAATTATATATATATTATAATATGATGATTTTTGGGGGATAGTATGGGATAATTAGTTTATTTATTGGGCGTACCGTAAACCATATTCCATAGGACCCCAGAATGATGTCTTCTGGTCGGATATAATTAATAATAGAGCACTATTAGAGGTTTCATTGGTTTGACAACGACCTTCAGGTGCTCAAAACTGCTTCGGAGGAGCTACTTTCAATCCGAGATTTCACGTACTGGACTATACCGACCCCTATGACACACGAGTATCATTGGCGAGGTTGCTTTTGATAGTAACAAATGTAACAATAATAACAAAAATAGAAATCATGTACTATGTAACTAACTTAACATACCAAGTTAGTACATGATTGGTTTCCCATCCCCTTTTTTTCAAACGGACTCGAGCATTTCTAAGTTGCAGGCATCACGTGTACAACCCCACTGGGTGTAATTGTGAAGTGCTCCATCTCCCGCTTAATTCGCTCCTGGAGCAGTGGCCTCCCCTATACATCTTGAACGTGAACGATAGATAACCCCTGGTTGCTTAACGTACGAGTAGCTATGGAAAATCACTATTTTTAAAAGGCAAACAATCATAAATCATACAAATATGCAATCTTCCATAGCTACGCTAAATAACCAGAGGGTAGAACACATGGAGAAATGAATCTCTTTTCTTGGGCCACAATGGCCTTGCTGAAGGGTAGTGAGACTATCATGTTCAATTAGTGATGGGATAATATGCAACAGAAACAAATAATAGGTTGACAACATCAACAATAAAAAGCAGCCCGCAAGTCGCAAAGAACGGAAAGTTGACAACCTGGAAATTATGGAAATGATGGAGGACACATCTTTAAACAACATCCTGGAAACACAGTTCTAGCTTTTGGGAATTCATCACTATTTTTGATTCGAATGTTACTTTTCCATCTTTCTGGGAAGGGGTACTCTCACTATGCTAATTGCATGAATGTGGCCGACTAATAATTCACTAGCCAGAAAATAGCTGAGATAAGGCCAGCTATGGGGATAATTCCCCTTTGCTTGCCATCATTCCATTGACATCACGATGCGAGGTCATGATCAAAAACATCCAGATATAAGTAAGTCCCTGTTAAGTTATATGAAAGTCCCATTGAGTCCCTAATAAAACATATATACTATATATTATACATATATACATATAATTATATATATGTATATCCCATTGAGTCCCTATTGAATCAATACTTATGATATCCATTGCGTCCCATCTCCAAGATCCCCATGCTATCCGACAGATTTCCCCATGGAAACCTCCGGGATCACCAACAGGTCATAGGGACTCAAGGCGTCTCTGCTCCTGTCGAATCGATGGGCCCAAGGGGTGCCCTGGGTCGTGGGAATGGTTTCCATGGTGGTAACTTTTGGAATGGGAAGATTTCATGGGATTTCTTTGGGTGGGATATGATGGGATATCACTCACCATCAATTTGGATATGATGTAACGATCAATTCAAGTGCCCATAGTTACAGTGAGGTCATTGGGTTGGTTCTACTCCTGCCACATGATTCCTTGATTGCCTCTTTTTTTGCATCAATGTATTGTCTCTTTTTTGACGTCACACGGACGTGGCTGGCGCATGCTGGCGCCCCTGGGGCCAAAAGCTCACCCAGGAAAATGTCATCGGCCGTTGGTGCCCCACAAACCTTCAGCATAGCCCGTGGTCCCATAGTAGCGGTCACCAAAGTCCCCCACCCCGGGCACAATGAATTTCACATCGTTCAAATGAGAATCCAATGCGCAGGTTAGAATGCGAACATCTGGGGCATTGTTTGCCAAGGCTTTTAAGCCTTCGGGGCAAGAGACAACCTGGTTGGTTGCAATTCCTTTCAAATACATTATTTTAACAAAAACCTGGGGGAAGTTTGGCAGAAAAAAAAATCAACAATTGATTGAAACGACCATCTTTGATAAACAGCAACGTTGATAAACAGAATGTTCTCCTCTTTGACACCCGCTTTCTTCAGAACTTCGATGGCTGTCAATGCTGAACCACCTGTTCCAAGCATGGGGTCGCACAGCAGTACTTGCAGCTTCTCGATGCCGTCCGGGAGCTTGGAATAGTAGAGCTGGGGCAAGGCCGTTGCTTCGTCACGTTGAATCAAAATCTTGGCCGTCTTCAACTCCGGAATGACTTTTCCTCCATGGTTTTTTCTTGGTGAGGTAAACATACCAAAAAATCTGGAAAACCTATGGTTTCCCCTGGAAAATAGTCTACACAAACGGTTGATCAAACGGTTGATTTTCCACATCGAACTGGGGCAGTTTACCTAGGGTATCCATCTGAAAAATATGGGTTTGTCCAATAACGCATTGGCTTAGGGAGCCTCCAGCGCAAGATCATCGTATGAATCATCTGGGATTATCATCCCCTTGTTCGGATGGAAGTAAACTAATACATTTACCGAACAGTTTTCACATAATCATTTTAGTGTATAAATCATGGGTCATAACATCTACAATGTAACACGGACAACAAACAAAGTTATTTTTTAATAATATTCTATTGAAATTCAACAATATCAAAATATATCGAAATCATAATAGGGGCAAGAAAAAATATTTCCATCACGTATCCCCTTCCATAGATTAAACAACACAACAAAAACATCAACATAGAAAACTTATCGCTGCTTTTTCAATCAGCCAGTTTCGCACAGCTTCCAGCAAAATCCCACCAGACCGCACAATGTCTACGGCACAAATGTTGTGTCCCTCCGGCGCTGTCACGCCGTGGAACGGCCCACAAGGTGTTTGGATCACCTGAGGAAAAAAGGAAAAACGTCAGCCCTTGCTATGCAGATGGGTTGGAAAACCTGCATATACCTGTGCATATATCTCTCTCGCCATCGCCGTCTGTGCATATATATATATATTTATTTATTTATTTATTTATTCATGTATTATGTTTTTATATTTTTGTTGAATAGCGGGTATGATGTCACATTAAAGTATACAAATGACATTACATCAGAGTACACTATACAGACTCCATATAAAGATACATGTGTGTGTGTGTTCTGAATATGGCTATTAAACAGATTGGAAATGACTGAACCATCCGTTTGAAATTGGAGCCCTTTCTAATCATTGGTTTCACTACGCCGAGGTTTGCCTCCCAAAAAAACAGAAAAACACGAAAACACGTCCATCCAACTATATCCCACCTGTTTTGTAATCCAATTCAAATAAACCGCTTAACCCATTATATCCCAGTGCAACACCATTCTGCTTGTTTAAAATAGTTGATCAGCTAATTAAGCCTATGTGTATATCCCATATATCTCCTGTTGTTTTCCATATACAGTATCTATTTCACATTTCATCCACCAATTATATATATATATATATATCAATGCCCATATTCTACATATTATCCATATCGTATCCATATAATATATTTAACTGGTTGGTGGTTTCAACCCTCTGAAAAAGAGTCAGCTGGGATCATTATTCCCAACATATGGAAAGTCATAAAATTCATGTTCAAACCACCAACCAGATTTAATTTCCCATGTGCCACTTATAACCCACGATTTTTCAAGGACGACTCCCCAGTCACCGATGGCTTTACCGATGGCAGCCGCGCGATGCCCTCCTCAGCCAGGATGGCCATCAAGCGGTCGCTGGCACGGACGTAATCGGCTTGGCAGGTGCGTTGGTCGCGAATGATCGACATCAACCTGGAGGATCTCATAGGGTTTATATGGGTTTATAAATTTATTGGAGAATTGCTGGGGTTTTCTTGCAATCCAATGGGGTTTACTGGGATTTTAATAGGCTTTAGGACGGTCTCACCACCAAAGAATGAGGATTTTGCCAGCAAACATGTGGATTGGATGGGAACTGATTTATGGGACAACCTACAGGAACCCACCATTCAATAGCTTTGCAAGAACGCAATAAATAGATATTATGGATATTTGTGGATGAGATTGGGGCAGTTAGATCATCATGTGATACATTTAATATGGATGCATGAATATATCCGGATCCTTCAGTTGATTTCAGTTGCGAGGAGAACCACGCATGAAGCAACGCTTCACCAAGGATTTGACCCAGCAACATGGAGATCGCTGGGCTGGACAGCACCTCTGCTTTGCGGTTCTCCTTGCATCATTGGCGATTTCAATCCAAAAAACAGTCCCGGTAAGGGATTGACCCCACACTCAAACCCATCAAAACCCAACAAGAAGCCATCAATTCACCCCACCTCAGTCCTTGGGCTGAACGGCCGAATTACATTGAAGCGAACTCCTGTTGCTCACCGTGCAAGTCGCGGACCCGACCGCCACGCCACCCAGGGCCAACATGCTGCCTGAAACCCTGAAAGATGCAAGGCGCACAGCTACTCGCTGCCATCTGCGCATGCTCCCTTGAGCAAATCAGCAGCTGGCACTGCAAGAGAAGGTTTGAGCCAAACGGGCTTTGACTCTTTGACTCCGCAGGGCTATGTGCCTCCAGTTATAAGTTGCTTTATATATGATATCCTGTTAACCCCCACAAACTGTAGATTAGCTGCCATTAATGAATCCTAGTTGACTTTATATAACTTAGTTATATTTAGCTGTATTTTTGTATTTTTTATTTTTTTTTGGGGCCTGAGATATTTTTTTCCCCACCTGCCAGGTGAGGGTTGTTAGATTTTATCTAAGTTGCCTTCTCCTCCTCCTCCTCTCCTCCTCCTCTCGTCGTCCTCCTCCTCTCGTTGTCCTCCTCCTCTCGTTGTCCTCCTCGTCTCGTTGTCCTCCTCGTCCTCCTGCTCAACTGCGACTCGCGATCCACAGTGTTCGCTGCCGGACCTCAACCACGACCATCCACGCCCAGTGTTCCCTGCCGGACCTCAACCACGACCATCCACGCCCAGTGTTCCCTGCCGGACCTCAACCACGACCACCCACGCCCAGTGTTCCCTGCCGGACCTCAACCACGACCATCCACGCCCAGTGTTCCCTGCCGGACCTCAACCACGACCATCCACGCCCAGTGTTCCCTGCCGGACCTCAACCGCGAGTATCCACGCCAAGTGTTCCCTGCAGGACCTCATGTAGGAAGATATGGGACAAAGAATGTGCAGAAGAAAGTTAGAAAGAATGTCAGAAAGAATGTCAGAAGATATGCCAGAAGATATGCCAGATAGAATGCAAAATAGAATGCCAGATAGAATGCCAGATAGAATGCCAGAAGATATGTCAGAATATATGCCAGAAGATATGCCAGATAGAATGCCAGATAATATGCCAGAAGGTATGCCAGATAGAATGCCAGAAGGTTTGCCAGATAGAATGCCAGAAAATATACCAGAAGATATGCCAGATAGATATACTAGAAGATATGCCAGAAGATATGCCAGAAGATATGTCAGAATATATGCCAGAAGGTATGTCAGATAGAATGCCAGAAGATATGCCAGAATGTTTGCCAGAAGATATGCCAGATAGAATGCCAGAAGATATGTCAGATAGAATGCCAGAAGATATGCCAGATAGAATGCCAGAAGATTTGCCAGATAAAATGCCAGAAGATATGCCAGAAGATATGCCAGATCATATGCCAGAAGATATGCCAGATAAAATGCCAAATAGAATGTCAGAAGATATGTCAGATAGAATGCCAGAAGATTTGCCAGTAAGAAAATGTATAAATGTCATGGTGGGGATCACACGAAGTAAAGTAATTGTATTTTTTTGTTTGGCTAAGCTATTTGAGAATCTCGTTTGCTTCAACAATGGCTGATTTGGAATACCCTTTGCAACCCTAACTTGTGACATCTAAGACATGTACGGAACATGTTGTTTGTTTCCTTGGTCCTTTCCTTTGCAAATTTCATACATATTCGTACACTTTTTTTCACTTTCCATTGGCTCTTTCAATTTTTCTCGTCGAGGCAGCTGAAGAGGTATTTGAAATTATTGCTGGTTTATTTTTATTTCCCGTTTGCAATTTGGGTCAGTAGCTGTCAAACACAACAGCAGCATTGCTGCTTTTGCAATGGCAAATGGCTTCGATCCAAGTGGCATGTCTTGGGCTTGAAATGGGGCTCACAGTTCCGTATTTCGTGTCATCACCCAGAGCTGGGAACTTGGTTGCGCACGCCATGGGGTGTTGACTGCAGGGCTCTAGCCAAAGCGGATTGACAAGCGTCTGAGCAAACAATGAAATCACAAAGCCCATTTACATGCAAAAAAAACAAAAGCATGAAAGGACAAAGGCGGGCTCTGGAGCTTCAGGAGGGCGGTGGCTGTTCGGCTGCTTCGGCTCAGCATGTCCACGCAGCGAGGAGGGCTGTTTCGGCCCTTCAGACTCGGCTCTTGCTTGCGAAGTGTTTTCAAATTTTGACCTCAAGTGAGGCTGCTTCGGCATTAGCGGTAGCTGTTTCAGCCAAGCCCTTGCAGCATCAGGTAAGCTGCTTCCGGCTGTCAAAGCTGCTTTGGCTTGTTTTGACGCTGTTCCGACTTCTCACTTTGAAGCTGCCTTACATACTTAGTCAGTTTTTGTACATAGCAGGTCGCGATGGACTTTTCGCAAAAATAGGAATTGGCTGGGGTGGGTTGAAGCGTCAGGGTAAAGACTTTGTGTTTCTGGTCGAATCTACCAATGGATTGAATCTAAGAGACGATTACCCACAAATATTGGGAGATTCAACGAAAGCTTTGATTTGGAGACAGTCTTGGCTACTTAATATGTGTTTTTTTGTCCTCTCCTTAGGAGCATCAAAAAAATTCAACGGACCTCGAATCAACGGGTGGGAATGTCCTCTCCTTAGGAGCTTCGGGGTTGTCCTTGAACCTCCTAAGGGGAGGACGACAAGGGGACGAAACTGGAATATTCTTAAGTATGAGTTTTTCAAAGGCCTTTGTCCCATTGTTGTCCTCTCCTTAGGAGCCTCGGGGACGTCCTTGAACCTCCTAAGGACAGGACGAATTGTCCTCTCCTTAGGAGCATGCCTGAGATCCGCTTCGCTTCAGGAGCCTCGGCTCAAGCACTTCACAGAAGCTTGTGGCTGAAAACTGGCCACACCATCTCTACGCCAAAGAGGTGGCAACTGTCTCGGCTACTGTAGCTGTAGCTGCTTCGGCCACTTAGCTGCTTCGGCTTTTGGTGGCTGCTTTGGCCACAAGTATGCCACCGCGGCATCGACCAATGTCAGATCAGCTGGAAAGGGCCGGATCTTAGCCACATAGACTGCGGCGGGGTGCTGTCTTCAAAGCCGGATGTGAGATGCAAAAAAATGACAAGTGGAAAAGTGGATAAACATGCGTTGCGGCAGCTGCAGACACCCTGTAGACTTAGTTCAGCAAACAGCAATTGATTTATAACAGGTGCAATTTCAATTTCAATTTCAAGGCGTTTCCTTCTGCAGCTGTTTCAGCCCAAGAAAGCTGACTCAGAATCAGCCAGCTGTGCACTCTGTAGTGCTAAGGACCCTGAAAATCAAGCAAGCTGAAAGAGATCTGCGCTTAGTCCAAATACGGATAGTTGGAACTTTGGGGCTCGAAAAGCGGTTTCAGAAGCACCGCAAGTTGAAATGCAGCAAGTGGGGATCTCGTGGGCCGCCCATATTGCATATTAAGAAAGAGGGGCCAAAGATGACTTTGCCAAAGCTGAAGTCGGCTTGGTATTCCAACCGTGGCTGTTTCAGCCAAGGTCTGTGTCGGATTTGTTGGATGGTGGCTGGTTCGGCCATCAACAGGTCTGTTTCAGTTTTTAACCCAATTGCTTCAATCAAAACGCAAAAAGGTATTTGCAAAACTCGTCTGCTACCGGGGGAAAAAGCGTGGCCACGGCTCTTGAGATATTTTTCTCAAAGTTGGTGTTGAGCACTGTGTCGCATATCTGTGTCGCGACTAAGTTGCAGTCTTAAGTTTGCGTTGGTCTTTTACATTCTACTTCAAGGTTGTTTATTGTGAAGCCCCTCTTGTTTTGTTGCGGCAAAGTTCAAGGAAGAAAGACGTGAAAGGTATTTGTTATTCTCGTTTGCACCTCTTCCTTTTTGTCGGATTTCTCGTTGACGGCCCAAAATAAAAATTACTTTACTTCGTGTGATCCCCACCATGACATTTACACATTTTCTTACTGGCAAATCTTCTGGCATTCTATCTGACATATCTTCTGGCATTCTATCTGGCATATCTTCTGGCATATCTTCTGGCATATCTTCTGGCATTCTATCTGGCATTCTATCTGGCATATCTTCTGGCATTATATCTGGCATTCTATCTGGCATATCTTCTGGCATATCTTCTGGCATTCTATCTGGCATATCTTCTGGCATATCTTCTGGCATTATATCTGGCATATCTTCTGGCATTCTATCTGACATATCTTCTGGCATTCTATCTGGCATATCTTCTGGCATATGTTCTGGCATATCTTTTGGCATATCTTCTGGCATTTTATCTGGCAAATCTTCTGGCATTCTATCTGGCATATCTTCTGGCATTCTATCCGGCATTCTATCTGGTATATCTTCTGGCATTCTATCTGGCATTCTTTGTCCCATATCTTCCTACATGAGGTCCGGCAGGGAACACTTGGCGTGGATACTCGCGGTTGAGGTCCGGCAGGGAACACTGGGCGTGGATGGTCGTGGTTGAGGTCCGGCAGGGAACACTGGGCGGGGATGGTCGTGGTTGAGGTCCGGCAGGGAACACTGGGCGTGGATGGTCGTGGTTGAGGTCCGGCAGCGAACACTGTGGATCGCGAGTCGCAGTTGAGCAGGAGGACGAGGAGGACAACGAGGACGACGAGGACAACGAGAGGACGACAAGGATGACAAGGAGGACGAGGAGGACGAGGAGGAGAGGAGGAGGAGGAGAGGAGGAGGAGAGGAGGACGAGGCAGGAGGAGGAGGAGGCAACTGACATAAAATCTAACAACCCTCACCTGGCAGGTGGGGAAAAAATACAAAAATACAGCTAAATATAAGTAAGATAACATACCTATCAACCAACTTAGCTATGGCGCACCTCTTGGACATTTCGAACCTGTAGAGGTGGCACCGACAGGGTGTCCTTGGGGGGAAAACAAAGCCAAACAGAAACAACAAAGGACATAGTGAAGGGACCAAACACTTGCAATGACACAAAGTAATATAATAACATAATAATAATAATAGCAGTAGTATATAATAATAATAATAATAATAGTAATATGTAATATGTATATACATATATCGTTTATAAACCATATATAAATAAATGAAAGCACAATATACACACTACACACTTGAACAACAGCTATACAAATCCCCAGGGTCAGCGGCGCACCTGGTGACGCTGGAGGCCAAAACGCAATGGATTAACTTCACCTTGGTGTTGGCCCCGTGCCTGGCTGGGTTGATGGCACTAAGGGTGTGTGTATCATGTTAATGGACACCTATTCGTACGCATCCAATTTCATTGTTTCGCAATATATATATATATACATATAATCCTATTATAAATATGAGTTCATCGCAGGGCAACGAGGTTCCACATTTCTTCTGGTCAGCATGACTGCCATGACTGGCACCAAATCTTGGCAGCGTGCACCAAGACAACTGGGGCCCAACAAGGCCCTAACAGCTGGGATATTTCATGGGATGCACCCCAAAAAAATCATGGATCTCAATAAATACAGCCACAGAATTCAGCTACAGCGGTGCTACTCCAGGACATCACGACCCAGTGTCAGTCACCAACAGGATCAACAAATTCTTCCACTGGCATCGTGGGGGGATACCTCCTGATTTGAAACCAATGCCAGCTTCTCATCTGTTGTTTTTTTAATTAAAATGTGGTACCCCAAAATCAGAACATAAGTTTCCCTGTTTAAGGAGCAATAAACATCAACAAACTGTGCATCCTAAAATGGTATGGTGATGACCGTGTAACCAGCAATGCAAACAATATCATCTTGTTTGCTTTCGAACACCGTGATCTCTTAATGGTCATGTACAAATGAAACAAGCAAACAAGCAAACAAGCAAACAACAGCAAACGCAATTTTCACATCTCACTTTAATTGTTTAAAGTGTTGATTAACATAAAGCATCCATCTTTTGGTCAAAACATGGACAGCAAAAAAGGCCCAATCTTCTCCAGCCACCTGGTGAAGTAAGCCACGGCATCATCTCCTCGTCGCTGATCAAGTTTTTGGGTAGAACTGGGATGATAAGTGATGATAAGCATCAACAATAGGGGTTAAACATGGTAAAACTATCAACAAAATGGAGTTTAATGGCATTTAATGGGAATTGACAACCAACAATTGATGTGTATATATAAATATATGTGTGTATACTGTATATGTATATGTATATGTATATGTATATGTATATATATATATATGTATCTTTATATGTATATATATATATAATGCATGTTAGTAAAGCAATAGGATCTACCATCCCCAAACTTACCATAATGGCACACCACCTCCAATTTAATTACACTTGAGTTGGGGTGAGAATGCTGAAGTGGTATACAATCAATCCTCACTGCGGATAGAATATGAAAGAAAACTGAACCGACCAACTGGCATGATTGACCAGGTAGTAGGTAAATCCCATGAAATCCCTATGGTTGATGCTTAAAATCCCATGAAAATCCCATGAAAATCCCCTGAAAATCCATTAAACATCAACAAAAACATCCATGAAATCCACTGAAATCCCATGACAATCCGTTAAAGCGAATTATGCGAATTTTTATGCCAGTCCATCGCGCCATTGCTCGCACCTGTACGCATGGCTCGTAGCTGCTGTCTCAAGGCCTCCTGGTTCCTCTCCTGCGGTCTCTACACGAGCAAAAGGCCAGAAAAATAACGGGACTTACTAATTTAATGGGATTTAACCAACAAGAATGATGATTTAACCAAAATCCAAAACCATCAACAGTAGGGATTTTAAGCCCTTTTTGGGATGTTTGCTGGGATTATTTTTAAGGGATTCCACCATCAGGGATTTAAGCATCAACTATATAGGGAATGAATCAAATGAAAACAATCAACACTTGGTGTTAAATTGAGATAAGCCAAAAGTTTAAGGTGGTATAATTGGATGACATGGGTATAGTTTATGTGCCTAAATATGCCTAATGGGGGGCTTTGATATCCATACGGACTTAGCTCTCAGGAGGGGGTTCATAGAGATTCAACGACCCGACCAGCCAATGGATGTTGAAATTCCATTAGTGGTTGGTTCTGGTTATTACTCTCCTCCAGTTGAATTGTTAGTGGTTATTCTCTCAAACCAAGTGGAGAATAACATTCAAACGTGGGAAAGCTCCATCCAATGTTGGCTTTTACAAAAAGGGTACCTCAAATTTTCGATGGATTATCAACATGTTCTCTATTGAATTGAGTGGCAATTTGGCGACTATACCCTAATTTCAGATACAATCATGCCTTTTTGTGGCATTGCACATTCGACCGTTTGATGGTTGAAAACTCCAAACTTCAAACCTGGAATGGAAGACTACGGAACATCTTACCGTCTAATATGTTACGCTCACCGATTTGTTCTAGTATCTGCTTGGAACCGACATGGAATTAAAATGAATTCCACCCAACTTTGTACTTGGGTTGCCTTACCAGTTCATACATGGGACAACGCGTGTAAAACAAAACACATGATCGGGCCAATAATTGGGCATTTTTCCTTTGGCAGCGCAGTAGTGCAAACCCCAAAGTGCTTCATTTACCCATCTGGGTAACCCGTATGATCAATCAATCCCCTTGAAACAAACCCAAAAAAATCGGACGGTCCCAAATTCGAAGATTTCTACATCTGCAACTGGAAAAATCAAACATCATAAAACATCATAAAACCACGAAATGCCCCAAAAAATCATGGAGCTTTCAACGGACCATGGTGCTTCGGACATCCTGGGCCTCTTGACCACCCAACTCCAGGGCCTAGACGGATGGGACCGCTGGGACCTTTGGGACCCCAAAAAGGCCTACGAAATCAACCGTTGATCACCAAAAATATGAGGGAGAAAGGACACAAAAACAATATCTGGATTGATTCAAATACTTGTGGATTTGATTTGTTGTTTCTATAACTCGATGGATTCAAGGATGTCTACAGATTTGTTGATTTGATTACTTATTGTTTCTAAGTAGCAGGAAACCACAGGTTTTGAACTTTGTACGGCTCGTGTTTCCCCTCAACCAAGCACCTTTCTTGAGGTAATGTAGCTGCGTAGCCGTTTGCCCCCAAAAAACCATACAATAAATAAGGGTTTGAAGGGTTTGAACCACTCAAAAAATCTATACGTATAGTAACATCCCCAGGGTTAACCAACAAAACATCAAAATCCTTTGGCCAGAGCCAACATTTACAGCCATTTTCTGGATCTCTCAAGGGCCCAATTTTCGATTTGTATCCATGTCTGCCTCGGCCAGGAAAACATGAAGAAATTCCCCCACCATGGCATGGGGCCCAATTAGTGCTGGTGAAACAGAACTGCATCCCTAGCACCCCACAAAAAACAGTCCAGTCAAGTCGCGTGAGATCAGGAAAACTTTTTCATAAACATCCCAATTACTCAAACCCTTAAAAGCCGTTCGATTCAACCAGCAAAATTCTATCAAAACAATCCAAAAAATGACTATTCCATCTAAGATCCATCTATGTTACCTTACCCAAGGTCCCCAGGGTATACCCTCTGGTTATGGCTAACATAGCCATGGTATAGATGGCCCATAGAAGTAGATGATTTTCCCATTCATACCTCCATTTAGTTCAGGGATTTTCCATAGCTATGTTAGTCATAACCAGATGGTAATCATTATTAACCATCATTAACCATATATTAACCATCCAGTTCCATCCAGTTCATATACCCAAAACGGCCCCATGATACAGCCCTGTGAATCACCTCCGTTTCGGGTGAGGCCGGGCGCAGCTTGCCATCATCTTCAGGACTTGGCACCTGGGGAGCACAGAAAGTGTAGGTTTTTGTATGGTTAGCATAGGAAAGTGTATGGGAAACCTAGGTTTGAGTAGGCTTTGCACTTTTCGATCTGTTTGGACTTTTTTGTATACTCTAGACACGACTACTCTCTGATATCTTCTTTACAGTTTGCCACGGGAAATAGCAGCCTTGAAATACTAGGACAAACGTCCAACTAAATAATCAACATGTCCAAACTATCCAGAACTATATTAAGTTGACGAAGGGTACAGTCCTAAATCATTTACCGGCTACTTCTATATCTTTTATCAGTTGCTAGACTTGAGATGCTTGATGCCACCTGGGTTCAACAGAAATCAGGAATCAAAAACAAGATGTCAATTTTGCATGTGGGAAATATATGGACATATGGGAAAGTGATGCCAGCCATGATATGTAAACCATTGTATCTTGGTGTTTCTTAAGATAGTGGTCCAAATCATGGGTCTCCCTCAAATTGGGGAAACTGGATGATGTTGGGGTTCATTTTCAGAATTGGACAACGGAAGCCTTTTTAAAAGTCCTGGGTAATGAAAAAAACACAAACTGTAAGGTTGATGACACTTTGACCAACAAAAAACGGCATACTCTACCAAGCGCGTGCTCATGTGGCCAAATGTAATCCTTCCCTTCCAAAAACATAGCATGCTGATGGATTCTGAAAGAATAGTGACTAGTGATATATATATATATACATATGTATGCGTATGTATGTGTGTGTATGTATATATTGTAATTAGAAAAAAACCGTTCCACTTTGCCTATCTCATTCGTGTTGTTCTGTGAGCATAGCTTCTGGAGTAGGACATGTACTCGCATTTAGGCCAATAATGGCCAATGTATAGGCCAATCAACATGCAACACGTCATTCCTCAACACCAATGTAGAATAAATTGCCCTGAGTTAAACGGTTCATACGGAATTGGGTGTTGTTCGGTACTCAACATGTCTTGCTCATCTGACGGTTTGGGACTTCCGCTGTAGAATGACAAATGCCCAATCGCCGAGCTTTTCTTATTATCAAGCCACAGCCGCGTCACAGCTGATGACAAGAATGCTAACGCCTACCTTGGCCTTACTACCGGCCAGCGGTGTTCACACAAACCAATATTGTATGAAACAAGCACAGCGACTAACAATCCCGCTGTTGTAGACTGTACAAACATGGATATCCATTGCCTTCGTGGGTTGCCAGAGGGCATACGTTTTCCAAAAGAAATGGCAATATACAGTTTAATATATGATAACATATGTTAATATATTATATAAATATAACCTTCAACTAGCACATGAGATACAACGTCAACTCATAAAAAAAATAAACCCATATAAATCCAAATCAGTGCAGGGTGACAGTAAATGTGGCTTTTAATTCACTTGGGAAGATTGTTATCACCTTGGAACCTGTCTTTTCACCCCTGTCATGGATAGGAATAAAATGGAATACACATACTCGGAACAACCCGGCCAATGTACTCCGATGAACCAAAATCGCCGTAGAACCTGGATAGCTTTCGCGATATATTGAAAACATATATGTTGATCTACAACCAAGGTTTACATTATTATATAAAAAATCGTAAAAATATCATCAAACAAAAACCAATATCATCGACATGTCAATCTGCTGGCTCCAGTGATATTGGCTTTGTCTGACAAAATGGTACTATATGGTACTCCTCGGACGAGTGAGTATTCTCATCATCTTCTCAGAATATCAGGTTGATGATGCTTGATGATGAGAACTCATGAGACTTTCTGGTATTTACTATATGTATATATTATATTCATCTCTTTATGAGTGAAGTAGTTGATGGCAACCCGTTTTTTGTTAAATCAATGCTAGCTTACCACCCACTATTCAGACAAACCCATATACCAAAACGATCTATCAATAAGACTTATAATGAGACCATGCACAGGCCCATCAGATTGTTCTCCGCATGTCTGATTGGAATCTCAATCTGGTCTGAACTCCCTAGACCTGATGGTTTCCGTCCACATTTGGGGTTCTCATGGTCATGGTTTCTCCAGGGCTGGTGGTGTACTGGGCACCTTCCAAAAGCCAACAAAAAGTCCTGGCTTGACATATCAATGGCTTGTTAGGATTGATAGGTGCCGCCCATAGAAAGGCTCAGAACCAATGTAAGCAAACCCAATGATGAAACCTCTTGCATGGCCAGGCTTAGATATGTGCGCAAAAATATGTTGTGATATGTTGTGAAAGCTGAGAATGAACTCTTTCACCATTTTGATGACCAAGAAACATGAAACTACCAACCAACCCAAGGTTTAGCCAAGACAGGTTACACACATGTACAGCACATTTGATAAACACTTAGCAAAATGGAGATGTTTCCAGGGATTGCGGGATTGTCTCATGTGGCTGTGCACCATCAAGCTCCAACTCAGATGCGCCAACTGTAGAGGATCTAAGAAGGTTTCAAAACTGGCAGTTCTGCCGATTCAAACTGCCCCATCTACGCGCAGAACACGCGCGCGCATAAGAGGCCCATCTAAAAGTCCGACTGCCCCATCTTTGGGACTCGTGCGATCGGATCATGGAATCTTGCGGTAGGCTTCATCGGCATCATCAACCTCGCTGTGTCACACTTGAAGCGTCACAGGCTGTTTTGTTTTTCACCCCCAATTCTGCTGTTCTCATCTATATGGTCAGTTATAAGGAGATAGGAGAAGAGGGATGCAGTCCTCGGAACAAGAACTCCACACTTCCATATATTCTTGATCGGGGATCAGAACATGCTGGAGAAGCATGGAGGAACCTAAACACACTGGCACAAAGCACAACGCTACGACTTTCGATACGACTTAGCATAGGGAATGCAACTGATGCGACACCCACTCTCCACGAAATATGGAACCCATCCCACGCCCGGCTGGCAACCCAAATCCCATGAATCCTTCCAGGCTGAGATTGAGAACGGAAGCCCCGTTTGGTCAAGAGATGATAGGTCCAAAAGGTAGCAACGTGGCCTTTTGGCTATATCCAAAGTATTCATCTTCATTGTCTAAAACCATCAAAACAACCATCACCGAACCTGCAAAAGCTACTCTCTGCAAGATCCTTCAAGATGGTGCCCATTACGTTGGTGTATAACCGCCATGAACTAGTTCGATCCTAGTGATATTGGAGGTCCAGCCGCGTCCTTCTCCGTTGCAACGGTGGTGAGCTGCTGCAGCTGGTGGAGCGGATACAAAGCCATCGTCCAGGACCACATGGTGAAGGCAAAGACCGCGTAGCCCCAGTAGCAGTCGTTGGTCCTGAGATTCGTCGCAGCGGTGGATTGCTGCGAAGAATCCCATGGCCCGTTGAGCAAAAAAAGGACTTACACTCCGTGGTGAATGGGACATATACCCTCTGGTAAACTAACATAGCTATTGAAAATGACCATTTATAGTGGATTTTCCCATTAAAAATGGTGATTTTCCATAGCTCTGTTAGTTTACCAGAGGGTAAAGATGGTCCCAAAGATGATAAAGATGTGGTTTCATCCCTTCCTCCCCCATTCATTCCTGGTTTACGCGTTTCATATAAACTGGGGAAGTGATAAGATACTCCTCCAGTTCTGGCACAACTGGTACCTCCCCAATCACCAACCGCTTCAGCCAAGGGTCGCGAACTGCTGCGCCGGGAAATACTTGTACATGGTGAAGATGGTCAAGGGCGACACAATGTAGAAGGAAGCCATGTTGTGGCTCAAGGAGATTGTCCAAAACATTCCTAGGTGCTCCTAGATTTCCACGGAATCGCCAAGTTGGGACATAGTTGAGTAGCTTAACTGGGAATTCTGGTAGACATATCCTATAGCCTGATATAATATAGTTCACTGGGGGTCCCGAGCACCAGGGACGGACAAACCTTTCCAAGTGACCCATCCCACAAGAAAACACATCAATTTTGGGATCAGTCGAAACATGAAATATCCAATAGTTGATCCACCAACTTGAAATGATGTGTTTTGAAACCAGCAACTGGTATCCATTGGTATAGTACTGGCTGGATCTGGTTGGTGGTTTCAAATATCCAACATCTTTGAAACCACCAACCAGTATGGCAATAGATGGGCTGGGATCTTGAAGAAGCTGCTGCTTCCTCCCACATCCTCTTGCTGACGTCAACCTGTATTCAAGGTCTCTTTTCATAAAACAAAACATGGACGTGACATGATTACACAGTGGGAATGGCTCACATTGACCCACAATATTGGATGCTTTGAGATCATAAAATAGGCCAACGTTCACCAATGTTGTGGGCACATTGGCGCCTAAAAACCAAAGTTGGAGCCTTCGAGCGCACAAACATAGCTGCTAGTAAGTAATCCCATCCCCTAATACACCCCAGTATGGGGCCGCCAACATAAACAAATCTTATACTGAAACATGCTTTATTGGGGTGTATTTAGAGGAGATTATTCCTCCATCAACATGCCTGAAAGTGAAACATGTTCACCCTTCATTCACCTTGCGGTTTTCCTAGTCACGGTCTGATTGAGCAAACGTGCAATATTGACGTCTTCCACTAGATAAATGCTGCGGGTGAAAATCATCACAACATCACCAGGTTTGATGATCAATTGACTCAAATTCCCCTGATTACACATAAGGAGAGACCCCCAAACGATAGTTAAGTTGACGCAAATATCTTGGTGAACGTTTGGGTTTATGGGGATATGTATATATATATGTATATATATATATGTATCAATAAATAAATAAAATATAATTACTAATGAATTTAAAATTTTAAACCAGCAAACATCAATGGGGGGCCTCGCATTCCCAATTTTGGATGCTTACATTCTAAAATTCATGCAAAGATCATCATTTTTTTCATGCTAGATCATCTATTTCTATGAGCCATCTATACCATAGCTATGTGAAAGTTCCCCCAATTTTCCAGGCGAAATCCGCCCGGTTGGTGTTTGTCCCAGCTTCGCTTGTAATACGCGATCTTCTTCGCCACCTCGTCGCTGCCCCGGGCTTTGCGGGTAGACCACCAAAGGCAATAGCCGCCATAGGCCAAGCAACACTCCAGAAGAAATGCCACCTGAGGCTGGTCGAAATGGCCTTGAATAGAGGGAATTTAACGATCTTTCTGGGGTTTGGGATGGGGATTTTGATTTTTGACCCAAGGTACCGGTATATAGAAAATTCATGATTACATATGGTCAATTGAATAAAAAGGGAAATTGAGCAACACAATCAATGTAATGTGGTAAAATGCCAGAAACCAATGATTAATAATGGTTAATAGTTAATGGTGATAAATAATCATTTAGATGGGGAATTTGGATTCTACCATATTTTACCCAACTACGATTATATATATATATATATGCGTGTGTATATATATATATGTATAATATAATACTCGTGACTAGTGTGGTAAACCCCATGCCATAAACCATCCCCAAGTCATCACCATCTTTGCAGCTGCTGTGCGATTGAAACCATCCCCAAATGGATCCAAATGGTAGTTTTAATGGATGTTTATGGATGTTTAGCTTCCCACATTACAAAACCATCTTAGACTATAGATGACTATAGTAGTTGTTTGTTGGATGGCCTGCAGTAACATTCCACAATTTGCTATGGAAAATGGATATGATTTACCCGTTGAACGCAGTGATCTTCTGGCATCATGGCGAACGAAACCAGGGCGGGGCCACCATATGTTTTACATTACCCTCCAACATGGACCCCAAAATGACTTTCATGAATTGGGATTGGCAATTCTGAGGGCCCTGTGCTGGTTGGGTTGGTAGCTCTTGTATCGTTCAGCATGTAACTTGGTGAAATTTTGAGGCCTTGAAGATCACGAAAATATGTCAAGATTGCGAACAACTCAAGAAGTTCTTCATTTTACCGGCCACAAAACTTCAAAGTGACGTAGCAAACCTACCAAACCAAGATTTGCCCCCCAAATGACTCAGCGGTTGAAAAGCTATTGGGGTTGGGATCGTTCGGCTGCCAATGAGTCCAGAACATTCCACGCAACATCTCTCAAGCATAGTCCTTACTTGAAACCTGTGGGAACCACTCAAACGACTGACGCTTTAAAGCAGGGGAAGGCAAGCCTCAAACAACACAGCTACTTGTACATGTATTATATGTATTATACACATAAATAAACAAATAAATAAATAACATCACATATGTGTGTGTGTGAGAAAGTATACGAATAATACATAATAATAATAGACTCCGATAGTCCAACATGGAGGAATCACCAGATCCAACAGGTAAATCATCTTTAGATGGCCCATCTATGTGAACGTATACTATCCAGTCCCAGGACCCACTCTTTGTCAAAGCACGGGCTCCATATAGTAAATCTGCCAAAAGTTGACGGTCACACGACTCACCGCGCGGTTCCCGGCAAGGACATACGCATCGTGGAAGAACATGTCCAGCACGGGGTGGCTGATGGCAGCCAAGAAGATGGCCATGGCGTAGGCAAATCCAATACCTGACGACCGGAAGATCCGTAAAAGGAGCCAAATCTAATGGAAGAATCATATGCGAGTCGGGTGATTGGTTGTAAGTTCTAGTCATCAGGTAATAACTTTCAGGCATTCCCGTACTGCCAGGTACTTTACATCATCTCATTTTGAATCATCACAGCGATTTTTCGGACCGATCACCACCATGATTACACCATGAAGATTCCATGTCCATGCGGTGTCTGAAATGGAAGGGGGCATTCCCGAACCGTCATCCAGCATCTGGGCCCAGGGGGGTAACCGTTGGGTTGAAAAGGATATTTCAACATGGAAAAATTGCGCCCTGTTGCCATAACGTAGCCATGCAATGATGGCAACCAGGAGGCCAATAATCGCCATACCTCAAGTCTTCAGAGGTCAGTGGCTCACCCGTCAGTCAGGATTCGGATTGGATTCAGATGGCTTCACCAATTCTTTTCCAAAAAAAAAGCATCCCCTCTCAAGGGTCAAGCACAAGTTAACTGTTAAGTATAATAGTTAAAGGAAACATAAACCCCTCACAAAAAGGAAACATATGGAGACCCCTGCCAAACGTCCCGCCAGACCACTCGCATCAACAAGCTACCTAGCACGCTGTGGGAGTAGGGGATGTCCAAATACATGGGAAACAGTGCCGCAAAGCCGAGAAACCCTTGTGACGCCTGGAGAAAGTTGGCCACCACAAGGAAAAGGCTAGAGTTACCCTCTGGTAATTTAACGTAGCTATTGAAAATGGCAATTAATAGTGGATTTCCCCATTAAAAATGGTGATTTTCCATAGCTATGTTAATTTACCAGAGGGTATACCTTTCGGTACTCACAGGTAGCATGAAAAATCCTCCAGAAACATGGTGGATTTTCCGGCAAGCCCATGATGACAGGAGGGTATCCCATCATGGCTTCCACCAAGGTCAATGCTTTATTGGTTGAGCTGGATAATCCTCCATGGATGGCTCAATATTGGCTCATGAGTGGCCAAGGTTTTCTCAAGCATTTGGAGTTTGGGGTACTGATGAATTGTCGACGTAACAACATTGGTCATGCGTTGGATGGAGCATCCCAGTGTTGGGGTAAATCTTGCTCAGCCATGCTCAGTCAGAACCAATTCCTACTGTAGGTCTTTCAAGAAAGGCCACACAAAGCCCGCAGCACAAGAGCATCCAAAAGCCACACCAACGATGCCAGTGGTTCAAGCATTAAACAAAGGAAGTGAAACTTCACTTGGAACCCACGCAGGTCTTGAGGTGTCCATCTTAGTTTCCAGTACTGGCAATGATGTCCTTAAGTAAAAAAAATGTTGGACTTGGCAAAAGCCAGCATTTGCCATCATTTTCCAAACCTTAAAAAAAGGTGTTACCCCTTCATGAACCTAGTTTTCACACATACCCTCTGGCAATTTGTTATATAGTCATGGAAGCAATGGCGGACAAAGGGTTCCCTCAAAAATGTCAAGCCTTGCAGTGTTCAACCGCACCTGTTCATCGGTTTACCCATGAAAAATGGTGCTTTTCCATGGCACACCCTCAAGTGACCAGAGGGACATCCACCAAATCTACAACTCAAGCAGGCTGAGGTGCAGTTTCATCCACCCCCGGAAGCCACTGGCCGCTTTCTTTCCAGTACTGGATGGTCGCATTGGCGGCCGGTGGAGGTGTGCTCAAGTACCAGGGGAAGACCGCCACACCTTCCACTTTCGCTAAGAGTAAGAAGCCGCAGGTGAAATCCGACATCATGGCCTCGATATGGCCCCAGTTTTGGTGGTTTTGAGAAGGTTCCAACACTGATAAAAACCAGCCCAGTTGGTGAGTTACCAGCCCAGTTGTAAAAAACTATATGGAACATCACCATGTTTCATGGGTAAATCAACTATTTCGACTGGGCCATTTTCAATAGCAAACTGTGAATGTTTACTAATTTTCAATAGCTATGTCAGTTTAATAGCTATTTCTATGGCCTTTTCAATAGCTAATACCAGAGGGTAGTGACTTTGAATGCCAAAATTCATGGGGAGCCTCTGGTAATTGTCAATCATTTCCTGGAGGCATCCCCAATATCCACCATCGTCTACGCAAGGTGTCCCAAAATGTGAACGCGAAATTGATTGAAGTACTAGAAAATACAAGAAAATCAGTGGGCCGATTTCTGGATATTTATGGATAATTTATGGTATAGATTTGTATCTATATATATATATATATGGTATACAACTTCTATAAATATAGATTTGTATCTTCCATTTATAGTGTTTATAACCTCTATATATATATATATATGGTTAATGGAGGTGATAAACCAACAAACATGACTGTGACGGCCTACCTTGTAGAGCTTAGTCTAGTTCGCTATGACTCAGGAGGATACAGATCTGGCTCAGTGCCCCTTAAGATTCGGCTGTCTCAACCAAGCATCCATCTTGCATAGCAAAGTCACCTGGTTAAGCCGCCCTCTTGGGCTGTCCATGGTGGTGCCATGAATCTCCATGAATCACACATCGAAGCACCGCGAAAATGGGAGACCCAACACAGAGATTTATTTATGTGTATATATATATATATATGGATGAAATTTGGTTGCAAAGATTTAACATCATCCGTGCAACTAAATCCATGCAACAGCTTTGGTTTCACCGGGACCTCAGGAGCCCACAACTGAATAAACCAAGTCGCTGATGCTTGAGGTACCAAGTAACATAGCAGGAAAGAAGCCACCCAGTGCCCAATCACTGCCATGGCACTGCACTGCTACCGCCGCCTACCGGCAATCTCTCAAGCCCAAAATGCTGAAGATCAGAGTTGTTGTACTAGGGGAAATCATCACAGTCAGACTGAAGTGCGAATTACATCAAGTGAGACTGAACAAAAGCTGATGTTCAATCTCCTGATTCTTCTAACTCAACAAATGGATACAAATTCTCCAAATGGTATACTATGGTATACTTGGCTTAACCATACTTGACCCAATGAAAAACATCCAAATGATTCCCCCTCGTCCACTGGTCCATCCGCTGGGGCACCCGGTAAACCGCCCGAATGGCTCTCAAGGTTTTGGAGCTTCCAGCCCGACGCGAGCTGCCAGGCTCACTGGGGGCCTTCTTTAGGGATGACATGCTTGGGAGGGCTTCCCCCCCTCAAAATAAAGTTGAGATTTTGAGATTTTCTTGGGCACATTTTTTGGGGTTGAGGTTGAGTTGAGGTGGTAGCATTCTTGGTGATTTTCAGGGTTGGGAGAGTTGTTTGAAACTTTTACATACTTTTATTGCATGCTTCTAGGGCCTCTCAATGTCACCAACCCTAAAAAAACATCGGTACTGGATCCCAGAATGAAACCCAAACCCAACCTAGGTGGGGTTCAAACATGTTCAAAGCTTCAAATCCAGAGCTTCCAAGACCATCCAAGACCTAGGGTCTGAGGGGTATGATTGTCCCTCCTTCCTATCCTTCATGGTGTCCACAGGGAGGTCGCTAAAATCTGCCAAAAGGCTATGCCTTTTGATGGCTTGACCAACAGTATCAGCCATGAACATATGCCCAAAGCTGAAAAAGAGCGGCAGGTACTCGGTATGCAAAGAAGTTTTTGGGCTGATTTTCCAAACGGCAAACTAGCTTTGACGATGGTTTTTATGCCAATAAATTAGCGCATGTCCGACATGTCCACTTTCAGAGCAGGCAAATGACCCATGATAATCCCATGTTTCACAAGGAAAAACACCTCCAAAGCTGCGGGAAAATCTGGCCTGTTGGGTGCCTTCCGTTGCGCTCGGCCGCATGCTTCGCCTACTGGAGCTTCGAGACATCACCCCCACAGAGTGGGCTCGCCTCGAAACGCAGGGGTCCAGTTTTGGACGAAGACAAACCCAGAGGGATCAGGAAATTTTATGGAAATTTGCTTCAGCTGATCATCACGTTTTTTTTTTTGAATCTCCGCAGTTTCAGCAATGGCAGAGGCAGCATTGTCAGCATTTTGCTGGGGTAGACAAAAGCCAATGTTGTTGCGCTCATGTTTTTTTAATCTGGGAATGTTTTGTGTTTTTTTTTGCTTGTTTTTTAAAATATATTACCACCTATAAAAATGGTGAAATTGGGGATGGTTTATGACATTGTTTTACCACCATTCATGGGTTTTCCTTAAATGCTGGTGATGCCAGCAGGCCCACCGCAACATGATCTCGGGCACCCTGCCCATCGCTCCGATCGAGGCCTCGGCCCGGTGATGGTCTGGTTGGTGGTTGAGCCCAACCCCTCTGAAAATTGATGGACTTCGTCAGTATGATGAAATTCCCAACTGAATGGAAAAATATTGGAAAAAATGTTCCAAACCACCAACCCAGTAATGGTTCCTACCTCAAAGTGGGGATTGCCTAATATCTCTTCCCTTCCAATTCTTGGAGACAAGGAATGTCCATGCTCCGGCCTTGCAGCTCAATCTTCGGACGCGGCACGTCGCCACGATGCCTGACGCAGTAAGGCGAAGCCTGGTCTCCAGGGTGATCTTCAGCAATCAACGTGGAATTGATGAGAATCTTCAGCGTACAAAAATCGTTGCTTTTTTTGCACAGCACATAAATGCTCTTGAAATGTGGGTAGCACATGGTAGCACTGTAGGATTCCAAAGGAAAGGGACTTGGCAACTTGGAAATTCACTCCCCGGCAACCCCAGAGTAGGGATTTCTTGTTCATGATGGTGGCCCATGAGGTACCAACCATCAAAGCCCGAATCAACAAACCTGACTTCACACCCTAGAAAGACCAAGTTCGTGAGAACAGAAAAGGATTATATGGATGATTACGGTGAAAATATCTTGCCATGTACCCTCTGGTAAACTAACATAGCTATGGAAAATCACTATTTTTAATGGGTAAATCCACTATAAATGGCAATTTTCAATAGCTTTTTGTATGTTTACCATGTACGTAACCATCCCACTTCAAAGTCCAACCTACTGACGACTGACAGGATTCCACATTCCTTATTCGGAGTCCATCTGTCGTCCGCATCCCGGAACCCCCAATCGACGAAGAAAGAGATACCCTCTGGTTAACGTTTACATAACTATGGAAAATCACCATTTTTTAATGGGAAAACTCATTATAAACGGCCATGTTCAATAGCTTTTTGTTCGTTTACCAAAGGGTACCTCACCTTGGAAGAACTTTGGAATTGAATCTGGATGACTCACCAAGCAGAAAACCCATGGTATTTCCAACACCTGGATGCCAGGAGTGGAACACTCATTGCCAAATCGGTTTCTCCAAAAGTATCCAAAAATAGAATTATATATCCCAAGATCCATCATTTGACCAATATATTTGCTCCTTAAACAAAACTTGCGATCATGGGGTATTGCCATAGGTATTGCCCTCTGGTAACCAAACATGGCTGACTGGAAAAACAAAACTTGTAATGGGAAACAATGGGAAAGTGAATGGCGGGATAATCATGGAACCAAATGGGTGATGTTCCAAGCAGCCATGTGAAATTCCCGGACGGTACCATCCAGCAAACTGACATCCAGCAAACTGACATAATTATGGAAAAATCACAGCTTGAAGAGGTAAGTCATCAAGTCCTCTACAAATGAGCCATGTTCCATATAGGTCCATGGGATTCCATAGGTATGTTAGCTTAGCAGAAGGTACCCAAAACGTCTGGCTCTCGCGCACCCGGGGCTACAGCTCCATTCCTGCTGACCTCAGCCCAGTTCCAAAGCATGGGATGCAACGCCAGTTTCAACTGATGAAGTTCAGGGGTTACCCTCTGGTAAACTAACATAGCTACTGAAAATGGCCATTTATAGTGGATTTTCCCATTAAAAATGGTGATTTTCCATAGCTATGTTAAATTACCATAGGGTATTCGCAAAGTGCAGGGATCTGCCACCAGTTTCAGATGTTCGAAGAATATGACACATAAAGAAAACCACAACCAAGTTGATCCATGTTTGAGCAGCAGGTTAAGCTTGTGATATGCTCAAATCCATCCGAATCCAAACCATGCCTTTGGGGGACAAAACAAGGAGGTAGGTTCAGTATAGCATTATCATCATTAATGTTGTTCAATCCCTCAGCAACCACCCCACCAAACTACAAAAAAGTAACATCCCACTATCACTATCCACAACAAAATAGTTATAGTCATTGAACCTTTTCTGTTTTTTTTTGGGAGGGGGGTCCCTAAATATTAAATACGGGTGTGTCTGAAAATTGGGTATACCTCCAAACAAATACTTGGTTAACAGGGAAAATGACGAGTAACCAGTGGATTTTGGATACTATGTTTTCGGGCAAACCTATCAAGTGAAGACTTGAAGGAATAAATTGGAGCCTATACTGGATATTGTTTAATGAGGGTCTTTAGTCCTAGATATGGCTGATTTTCAGACAAAACCGTATCTATTACTCAATCATTCGATTCAGGTTTGCTTGAAATAAATAGAGGAAACCCCTCTCATTGGTCAAACAAATGCAAACAAAAACATGGTAAACACACTGTAAAACCATGGTTTTTAATAAAGTAACAAAAACATGGCTTCGGATGAAGATGTTCCCTTCAATTGAGGCCACGGACCAAAGAGCTTGAAGCGGCGACCGCTGCGACCGCTGGGTGGTGGCCCCAAAGCTCTGGCGAAGTCAACCTGCGGATGTCGCCGGTTTGGTATACTTGTTGTCATGTTTCTCGTATCTCTCTCTCTCTCTCATCGTATCGTTTGTTATATCTTATACTATTCTATATATAATATTATATAATCACATCCCCTAAAGAATAAAGCCTATGGGATCCAGCTTGACCAGGGTGGTTCTTACTAACACAGCTCCTTCCACAGACGCTTGGGCCCCCCGGCTATCGCAGGGTCTCGCGAGGGGCGTGGCCTGAGTCACCAGCAGCTGGGTCGCCTTTGGGGGCACCAAAATGGCTCCACAATGGGAGCTGGGACGGTTGCGACTGGGTTTCCGCGCAAGGGTGGCAACCTGGCGCCGTCAAAATACGGGGAAAGGTGATCCAAGCCCCATTTCAAAGGGTCTACCCTGCAAGAAACTAACAGCTTGCGAACTGGAAGCCATGGCCATTTCTCCCGAGGATTTTCCTATAGACACCTGCTATATAGAGGATGTTCAATTGTGTTCTGATTTCTGGAGGGTACATTGGTTGGAGGAAGTGTAACGTTCCTTGAAGATCCTTGAAGGAGTTGCTTAAACCTGTGATTGGACAACTCTACAAGTGGATGATGGAATTGCTTTAGGTTTTAAAATCATTTGCACAAACATTGGTGCCCATCAAATGGTGACACTCCACCATTTAAAATATATCCTTCAGTAGAGTACCTGATGAGCAACTGGACAGCTATGTAGATGGCATCCAGCATGTGAAGAATGTACTCACTGGCAATTCAACATAGTTATTGAATGTTATTGAACACCCTCATGTTTGATAGATCGATCAGCAAATGGGCAGTCCGGGGTAGATAATCACCCAAAAAATCACAGTCTACCCTACAGCAACCACTAGATCTGAGCATTGGCTTGGACGGAATGGAAGCCTCGTAGATTCCAACAAGTCTGGTGGATACCCGATGTTGAACATATCCTGCTCATTGGTTCCCTTACCCTATCAAGATCAATGCTTGGCATCTGATTGCTTATGTATGTACATCTGCGCATTGTTTTCAAACTATCCATCAGGAAAAATATATCGCGAATTTCATTAGTGATTAACCCCATGTGAACTGATCACGTGTCAGCTATTGTAGCTCAAAATTCTTCGGTTTTAGCTCTTAGACACAATTTATTTGCACTATAATAATGTCTCTCTCTCTCTATATATATGTATGTATATTTATTTTACATTTCTACAGTTATGATAATTTAGATAATTCACTGATTATGTTTAGTATAGAGCTACATTATATCCATAAACAGAATAGTTTAAGTTGTCCATCAATAAATTCCAATAAACAATCAACAAATTTCAATAAATTTCAATAAATCCCAGTAAATTCCAAAAAAAAAACAAAAGAAAAAGTAATGAAATCTTCATCAAATTTCAATATTCCCACTAAAAACCTCCAATTTACAACGGAATTTTCAAACTAAAGCCTAGAAATTCATCACTTTTTAAGGGCTGCAATTTTTTTGGGGGATTTTTTTCCCGTTTTTCTTTGGGATTGTTTTCCCGTTTTTTGGGGTTTGATGGTTTTGATTGGTATTTGCAGCGTTTTGCAGCTAAGCTCTCTGATTTGCATGGTGTTGTTGTTGTTGTTGTTGTGGTTGGATGGATGGATGGATGGATGGATGGATGGATGGTTGGATGGTTGGATGGTTGGTTGGTTGGTTGGTTGGTTGGTTGGTTGGTGTTGGTTGGTTGTGGTTGTTGTTGTGGTTGGTGGTTGGTGGTTGGTGGTTGTTGGTTGTGGTTGTGGTTGTGGTTGTGGTTGTGGTTGTGGTTGTGGTTGTTGTTGTTGTTGGTTGTTGGTTGTTGGTTGTTGGTTGTTGGTTGTTGTTGTTGTTGGTGGTTGTTGTTGTTGTTGTTGTTGTTGTTGTTGTTGTCGTTGTTGTTGTTGTCGTTGTTGTTGTTGTTGGTGGTGGTGGTGGTTGTTGTTGTTGTTGTTGTTGGTTGTTGTTGTTGTTGTTGTCGTCGTTGTCGTCGTTGTCGTTGTCGTTGTCGTTGTTGTTGTTGTTGTTGGTTGTTGGTTGTTGTTGTTGTTGTTGTTGTCGTTGTTGTTGTTGTTGGTGGTGGTGGTTGTTGTTGTTGTTTGTTGTTGTTGTTGTTGTTGGTTGTTGTTGTTGTCGTTGTCGTTGTCGTTGTCGTTGTTGTTGTTGTTGTTGTCGTTGTCGTTGTCGTCGTCGTTGTTGTTGTTGTTGTTGGTTGTTGGTTGTTGGTTGTTGGGGCTTTAAAACAAAAAGGCGGGAGGGGGGCGCAGCGCCTCCCCCCGCAAAGCGTCACATGGTCATGATACATTCATTCGCAATGTAAGTGGGCCTTATCATCCACCTTTCTGGCGTTGTCACAAGCCTCGGGGGGGGGCTTTAAAATAAAAAGGCAGGAGGGGGGCGCGGGGGCGCAGCGCCTCCCCCCGCAAAGCGTCACATGAGTGGTGTCCACAGGATTACTTTATATCTCTCTTGAGCCTTGACAGCGTATATAAATATGCTCAATACTCATGCAGTACCCATGTAGGATTCAAGTTAAAACAAAAACAAGGGCGCAGCGCCTCCCCACGCAAAGCGTCACATGGTCATGATACATTCATTCGCAATGTAGGTGTGCCTTATCATCCACCTTTGTGGCGTTGTCACAGCATACAGCGGTAGCAGTAATACCGTAATACTAGACGTAGCAGCTGGTGGGCCATACCATCCACCTTCTTGTAGCGGCAAACATGGTGGGCCATATCATCCACCTTTGTGGTTTTGTCACAGCATGGCAGCAAAGCACGCATATCATCCTTCCTTCCTTCCTTCCTTCCTTCCTTCCTTCCTTCCTTCCTTCCTTCCTTCCTTCCTTCCTTCCTTCCTTCCTTCCTTCCTTCCTTCCTTCCTCGCACCTTCCTTCCACCAGAAAACGGGAAAAACATCCAAAAAAAAACGGGAAAAAATTCCCCCCCCCAAAAAACCTCCCTTTTTTTGGATGCTTTGGCATCCCCAAAAAGCAGTCTTATCCTTTTCCGTTCACCACATCAGTTCCGGCCGGCCTGGCCGCTGGAGCCGCCTGGCACGAGGCAACCCGGTGTCTCATCTACGATTTTTGAACCATGAAAGAAACCAACAAAGAAACACACGAGATGATTTAACCAACATCTTGAAGATATCTATTATCTATCCCAAACTTTTTTAAAACAAACAAATATCTAGATTTGAGGCAGTTTAAGCATGTTTAAGCCAGACAAAAACACTTACAGAGCACTTGGTCCAACTATGTGGCCTCCAAGCCTCGCAGGATCGGCAACAAAGCTACCGTGTTCCACAGCTATATTAGGTTTACCATGAAGGCAAACATCATAAAGTCCATGAAATCTTCTTAAATCTTATAGTATAATCGTATTAAATAGATTTAAATAGTAATAAATTCCACGACTGTAAGAACGATGAAATGGGTACCATTTTCTCCATCTCTGAGCCGCGCACATGGGGCCATTCCTCGTTCATGGACCCAGCGTTCCCGGCGGGCCGTGGTAGAGCTGCCAAGCGAGCCACTGCGAGCGAGCGGAGGTGTGACATGAGTGGCATGAGATCACAACCTGATGCAACAATTATCTTCATAACAATAAGAATATGCATGAATATGTTATAGAACAAAAACCAGCTTGTACATTATAGCAAAAAAATAACAATGATTAACAATGTATATATATACGTATATATATATATAATTTTAATATTGACAACCATAGTCACAACATGTGCATATATAGTCAGTTAAATCTATATGACATATATAATATCCCTCCAGGGCGGACGTTAGCCCAAAATTCCATTGGAGGTTCGGTTACTTCAGGATTCCATGAGGGTTTATTTAGGGTTGGCTTGGGGGTTAGTTTGGACTTGTTTGGGGTTTATTTAGGGTGAGATAGGGTGAGGGCTTTACAGTTTGTTAAGGGTGTTAGTTTAAGGCTCAAAACATTGCACATTACAGAGTATGTGTTTCAGACATTGCTGAAAAAGTGATTTGGGCTTGGCCTGAGGTAAGCGCGAGGCAACACAGCAAATTGCAGTCCCGCATGGAATTCCGTCAGCCCCGTATAGCGTGTTAATATATATATATACATAGAACTTATAAAATACGCATAGATTCATGTAGATACATATGCAGATACATGAAGATGCATATGCATATTATATAATATTATATAATCTACATATAATAACACACATATACACTACACACACACAAAAAAAAAAAAGATACCAAATACATGTAGACACATGATAATTATGTGTGGATCTTGGCAAGAGTACGACCATGGGACGCTGCCTGCTGTCTGGAGAAGCTGCACCCTCGCCACTAGCGACTCATCGGGCGATAACTTTTCTCAGCGAGGCTGTTTGTTCACCGTCTTGGTGTCGAAAATTCATTGAAAACGATGAGATTTTCGAGGATTTCTCAAAACCACAAACACAAAAAGTGACTGAAATCTACAATCCAATCTCAAGGACCGATGATCAAACTTAACACATGAATTACGTTTCGAACTGGTTCTGTCGAGTCCCAGGTCTCACTGGCCAGCTCAAGCCTGGGAAAGTCGCTCGAATCTCCGTGTGAATTCTGTATGAAACAACCTGCAACATACCCTCTGGTTATGTCAAAATAGCTATTGAAAATGACCATTTATAGTGGATTTTCCCATTAAACATGGTGATTTTCCATAGTTATGTAAACGTTTACCAGAGGGTAATGTTGCAAAAGAGCTCTACCTGAGAATCTCCATGGAACATATAGCATCCTTTTTGAAACGCGGATATCTATGGATATCTGCTATATAGATACGTTCTCCGGTTCCTATCTGAGGCCTCTGTCAAGTCCGTTGGCCTTTGCAATCCTCAAAGCTGGAAAACTCACTCACCCAGAACAATCATGCCAGTCTAACATGCTAGGCTTAAATCCCATGGAAATCCACAAGGCTAGAAACAACATCATCCATACATGGGTCATTTCAGGAGCCGATTTATTGGAGGCACCTACCATATATAAGGCCTAGTTGAACCGGTACAAGATGGTGCTCCAAAAAATCGCTAAGTTGGATAATTAATAGGTCAACGACTGGATTTATGATAAATCGAATGATTGGGCGTTGTAAAGCAACACATACATATAGCTTAACACAACTCAACTAGTCACTGTAGTAAAATCCCAATTCTTCTTGCTTGTATAAATCCCAATGTTTAGAGGTGAAATCACCATGTATACACTCCTGTAAAATAGCATAAATGTATATGGCAGTGTGTCAAAACCTTGTACCCCTGGTGAACATCAAAATAGCTGGTAAATGGATGTTCATCCCACTAAAAATGGTATTAATAGGTATTGATCCATATAAATGTGGAAAACCCATGCTTTTTTTCCCATCTGTTTGTATGTTTTAAACCCATGCCCCAGGCGAACGTGGAACAACCACACCGAGAAAAAGCAGCTCACCTTCAACTTGCCGATGGAGGTGCTGGCCGGGGAAGATAGGAGGAGTCATCACAAAAAAGATCCTGTAGTAAACCACCCAAAAAAATGCTATAATTGTTGACATTTGTTGACTGCTGATTGATCACTATTTTAGTAGAATAGTTTTTTTCTCTTTTTTTTTGGTTGCTTATAAGAGGAAACAATAGATATAAAAGAAAAAATCACTTGGAACAAGGGGGCACAACCAGCAACTTTTTTTGGCGCCACTTTATTCTTTCGGCGAAGTCCCCGTTTGTGAGTTATAATCTCTAGTTGGTGGTTTCAACCCCTCTGAAAATATGAAAGTCAGTTGGGATAATTATTCCCAATATTTCCCAATATATGGAAAAACATTTTTTCCAAAACCACCAACCAGATCTGTTTCCCAATTGAAATCAAAGGTGCTTCCAACCAGTCTTCTCGGATAATTCTAGCTGGTTGTTTCCGACAGTTTGGCCAGCAGAGTCTCCATTTTGACTGCCATAGTCTGCCGCACTTTTCAATTGCCAACTTTTGGACTTGGATGCTGGGGCCCCTATTTTTGGCGGCAAATCCCCATGTGCAGTAAATCACTCCTAACTAACTCTATCTTCTCCCATGCTGCTGGTTTATGCCACTAGTAATGGTTAAACGGGTAAATCATTACAATACCCTAACCTTCCAGTTCCCTTTGGGACGGGTAACCACTTCAGTTACCTATGAGACAGGTAACCAAACATAGTTTCCGGAACCAAGGTTTGATGTAGCGATTGGAACCGTGACAAAACAGGTCGGAACCATGACAAAACGCATTGGAACCGTTATAAACTATAGTTGCTTCTATTTGTGGTTCCTCCCTGGCAGCCTGGTTCCTGCAACCGTCAGGCCTAGTTAGCTATGGGATCCAGCAAAGGACGGGTGACCAGGAAGACTGGGCTGCAAATCGAACTCGATGGGCCATGGCGGAGAGATGTGGAGAACTGGCTAAAATCCCCATGGCAAACTCAACTGAAATCCCGATTTTTGATGGTAAAATCTCTATTTTGTTGGTTCAATATGTTCAATCCCATTACATCCCATGAAATTCTCATCTCACCACCTTTGATGGTTAAAAGCAGGGCAAGATCCATGCCTACCCCAAGCAAGGCTCCCAAGATGGCGTTCAGAGCGTAGGGAGCCTCGGGCGTCTTCGAAGCAACGAGAAGAGAGGAACCTTGAGCGACAAACATACCCTCTGGTAAACAAACATAACTATTGACAATCACCATTTTTGATGGGTAAATCCACTATAAATGGCCATTTTCAATAGCCATGTTAGTTTACCAGAGGGTAGATTTAACACGAGTTTACTCAGAATATGGGGACTTAACGTGATTTTACTCAGAGATATGGGGATTACCCACATTGGGATTTGAGTCACAGTAGCCCAAAAACAGCTGGCTTGTAAGGAAGAGTGATTTGTTTGAAACGCCCATCTCATTCTGGGGAATGAAGCTGGTATAACTGTCATGTGAGGTTCTTGAACCAACCACCTGGCCTGATGCCTCATCCAAATGCTCCTCTCCGTTCCTTGTCCATTGACTATATTTGACTATCCAGCTACCATTTGTTTTTTTAACATAGCCATGGAAAATCCACCCATTTTTTATAGGTAAACCATCTATAAATGGGTCATCTATACCATGGCTATGTTTATCAGTACGCGCAGCAATCAACGTGACTCGTGACTTGGAGGTTTGGCTCCGCGGTTGGGGAACCCAGTGGACCACCAAGTCAAAGTGACTGGGTGAGTTGCCTACATGGCGATCCAAATCAACAAACGGTTTCAGTGCACAACAAACGCTTACCCTCCGGACCCCCTGGGAATCAAACATGGCAATCGAAAAGTCCCCTTATTTATACTGGTTGGTGGTGCAATAACCATCTTGAAAAATATTAGTTCGTCAATGGGAAGGATAACATCCTATATATTATGGAACATAAAATTCCATGGTTTGAAACCACCAACCACTTATAGATATCATGTTCTCAGCATTTCCCAGCTACCATTGGCCTCCATTTAGTTCCAGGATTTCCATTGTTGACCGAAGGGCGAAGAGGAAAATCACCACAAAGCCACCAATCCTGGTGGGAACCACATCAGCTCCAGTTGTGCTCCAGGGACTGGAGAAAAACCACTAAACATGTGTTTTTTGTTAGTGGTAATACCATATGTAATACTTATTCTATTGAGAAATTGGAAATAGAAAGGAACACCATGTAATACTTATTGGATTTTATGGTACCATGTAATACCAGTAACCATCTGTGACATCATCTGTGCTCAAGAGAAACCTATTCGCACCACTCATCCACCATGGCCTCATCATGGGGAACCTTCGTCACAATGGCTACCAGTTGAGCTCACCAGCCACTTTTCACCAAGATTTGCTCAAAATCATTCCTTTCCATGAACATATATTATAGCTCTAAATATCTATGTATATATGTATCATAATATATATATATACAACTATAATATAGCTATGAAAATCTCATTTTTTCAATTTCCGGTCAATCATCAAACTCAATGGACCATCATGAAAACCAGGCCCTGCGGTAATTAAAGATGACTTCCTGGAAAATCCTCCCTGAAAATCAATGGCTTCCCTATAAGAACATATAAAGACCAGCCATATAGTCACATATAGTCACAGGGCATTCCCCAGCCAGCCATGTTACCGGGTAGATCCACGAAAATCACAGCAAGGCGCAGTGTGGCGGCTTGGAAGAGCGCAATGAAGACGCCCTTCTCATAGAAGGCCTACCGAAATCAAAGGAAGTGGCACCAATCCACTTGGAGGATATCACTGGATCCTCACCTTGCAGGATCCCCCGTTCGCACCTATATAAGAGTGCATTTTTCTATCAGAGGGAAGCTAAAGCAAACGTGGGGATCCAATAATGATATTTTTTGGGAGGGGTTGAATTTAAGCAGCTAAAGCGTGGATTGCAATCAATTAACGGTGCGGTTGTAGCAAACCAACATGCATCAGAATGAAGCAATCTAGCAGAAGGGGAACAAGTTGTTTTGAGAAATCGTTTCAAACTACAACCCCCAGGCCCCAGGCACATGAAAATCACATCAAATCATCATTCACATTAACCAAGAAGAACAGATTTAAAAAAAACTCCAAGAACCCCATTCCGTGCCTCCCAGAATTCGGGTGGGAGAAATCCAGGTCGCGGCAGGCTGGACAACTTGATATCCTTTTCGGCAACCCGAGGTGGCGAACCGGCGAACCCCCCAGTGGTGTGAACGTTGGTTTAAAACAAAGATGAATGCTATAGATATACATAGATATACCTACCAGAATTAGGATTCACCGTTGTTTGCAGCAACTTAGCCAAGGAGCTGGGGCACTACCTTGGAAGGTGAATGCTAACAAAGGAAAAAAGTAACACATAATAACAATAATGATAATAATAATAATAAATGTGTATATATATATATGATAATATATATATATTATGATATATGAATATATAATGTGTATTGTATGTATAATTGTATGTGTATATATATATATACACCATAAAAAATGATGGTGAAAAATGCCAGAGTCAAGACTTGCAAGAGTCATCCAGAAAAGATAAATATTGAAAAGGACGGAAAAGGCATCCCAAAGATAGAAAACAAAACTGCTTGCTGCAATATGCCACCTGGCATGAAAGTAGTGGAGAATTTTTCAAGGAACAACTGTTCGATATGTTAAGTTTTTTCAGAGCCTACAGTCGTTGGTTGACCTCTTCAAAGAGCTGGTTTCATGCGAGACATAAGTTTTTAAAACATCCGAGGGTTTGTGCCACTTTGTCTCAAAACTAGGATTTCTATGGATTTCGATGGGTTTCCTCAAAAAAAAAAACATCATGGTTAAGCGGTTAACCATTGAATTTCTCCATGAAGCCTGGCTCATTTTATATGGGTGTCCTCCTCCTTCTCGGTGAAAAACCACTCGAACTTCCGACCCTTCCATCGTTCATCATTGGGGTCCTGCCAGTGCCAGCGTGGGATCTTGCGGGGTTGTCAACTTGCTGACTGACTATTACAATGAAGAATTGTTAATACACAAAGTAAATCAAAGAAATACAATACATATTATTAAATATTGTACAAATATCCATGCATGAAGTAGCGAACTGAGAATATGACATATAATGTTTGCGTAAAAATATTTATGTAGAATAATTAACACATGCCCATGGTCTACCAGCACCCCAGCCCACATTTGACATGAGGCAATCTGCAAAAACATGGCTGATGCGGCTGATGTCGCTGGTGCCACCGGTGTCCTCCTTCCATTTCTCGGCATACTGACCTAAAAGTCATAGAGACTGCAGGAGTGCCACGGAGGTATCATTGGAACTGGTGTAGAAACATTTCAAGACTATAGCATCACCCTGGTGCAGATAGAACTTGACATCTTAAATTTTCAGCAATTGCTGACGTGTTGTTGAATTAAAGTAATCAAATGCTGCTTGTAGTCGCTTCTAATATCCTGTGCTGATGTGCTATGCTATGATTTTGAAGCAATTTCAACAGGTCACCGGTTGGAAAAAACACCACGGGACGTCAGCCTCCGTCAGCCTCCAAATCCAGCTGTCAAAACACTAAGGCTGCGCACTTGTGCGTTGTTTACTGGGATCTCCACCCTCAGTCATGGTACAGGTGATCGGAAATGGTCACCAAAAGACATACTGGTTTGGTGGTGTACCAACCCCTCTGAAAAATGATGGAGTTCGTCAGTTGGGATGATTATTCCCAATATACGGAAAAAAATGTTCCAAACCACCAACCAGCATATATACTTTTCCCCGAAAGGGATGATGTTCAAATTTCATCAACTTTCAAATATCCCGTTTTCACCCGAAAATCCTATTACCGGACAGTCTGAGCTGAAAAAAGTGCACTGTATCTCTTCCATTGTTTAGCCAGAATGAAAGAAAAACAAACGTTCATCATCATTCACTAACATTGTACATGTTTAGATCAACATTAATTATCATTATAATTAACATTCATTGACATTATCATTATACGAACATGAACCACCACTAACATGTCTAGTTTCACATCAGTGTCCAAGGCGCCATAAAAGCCAGCTCCGCCGAAGCAAAGTACCAAGTGAGTGCCAAACTCAAACCTAGGCGCCATCTTTTCGCATCTTTTTGGGGAAGCCAATAAGAAACTGAACCAATTTTGGAGGGTTGACAATTTTAGGATATTTCTGATATTGAGGATATAAAATTATTTAGGATAGTTTATCAATGTTTATCATAATCCTTCCATTTCTGATATTGAGGATGATGAGGATGATTGATTCTTGCGGCTACCAAATGAGTAGGTTGGTAATATATCATGGTAATACGGTGGGTTAGTATCCCAACTCATGCAAAATTAGAGTATGAGATTATGCAATTCAGATAGTTTTGGGGGCGGTCCGGGTGCAACAGGCTTTTTTGCAACAGCTGATGTGTGAAATGCTTGGAACCGCCAAGCTGAATCAATTGGGTTCATCTCCATCTAAGCTAACATAGCTGTGGAAAATGGCCCATTTAGTCAATGGATTACCTGCTCATCCTGCTCGATGGCCCATACTAAAGCCGCAGAGCGTTCCGTAACCAAACGGAATGTAATGTTCAACGGGAAAATCAGTTGAGTATCCAATGAAAACTGGGGTGATTCTGATTCTCGTGTGCCACTTTTGAGTGACCAATGATACAGAATACTGGAGGGAGCTGACAGGTGACCAAATGGTGCTGAAGCCTTTTTGTCTTCCCATCGTCCAGCTATTCTTTTTCATGAGCACTTTGGCCGCAAGACGTTGGACACATGACGAGCAACCGATGGTTGCTAAGCGCTCGCAGGGAGGCTTGGATTTGTTGAGTTCAAGGGCCCACAAAAGAGTTCAGGCAAATACTGGCTGGTGGTTTTTTCACAATCTTGAAACATATTAGTCAATGAGAAGGATTATCCCATATGGACAATAAAACATGTTCCAAAACTACCAACCAGGTTTCAAACCAAAGCTTTTCCATCGAATCAACTTTGCAGACTTTTAGCCATATCTCCCCAGTATCACAATTCTTCAGCGGCTGGTCGGAGGGTTCTGAACGATTCTGAACCCACCACCTGGGAATCAAACCCAATCAGAGAAACATCTTCCCTGCCTGCAGTTGATCTGGACTGGTGCCAGCTTCAAGGTTGTTTGTGGTTGCTGGTAACGGTAACTTGGCCTTGCGGAAAACCAAGTGGGCCAAGGGTGACATGTCGTCCTTTCTGGACGGCATGTCCAACAAGCTTTCGAGGAAAATCATTCCCAACAACCAACAATATTACAATTTGCTGGTCTTTCTAAACGGTTCTTCTTCAATTTCATTAAATTTCTTCATATGGGGATGGGTCAAAACCCTATCCCCCTGTAGTTCACATCAAAATAGCTGGGATTTATGGATGTTCATCCCCTAAAAATGGTATTAATAGGTATTGATCCATACCCATATATGTTCCATGGATTTTTTTTCCTCTTCCCAATCGTTGCCACCGGCCGAAGCACCACTGCCTGGGAGGCAAGGCCGCCCTGTGCGGAAAAAAAAGCAGCCGGTTCCTTGAAGCTTCACAGGGCGTCGTTGTGGTTCATGGCCTGAAGCTCTTTCCAAGCAGACCTTGGCTCTTGGAGGTCTTGGAGCCGGAAGGTTTTGTGGTAATTTTGGCAGTGGAACATTGCCAAGTAATTATTGATGGGAGAATCATGCAAGTAAACGGGAGAATCATGGTAACTGGATGTAACTGGTAACTCCTCAGGATGGTTTTGCTGTCAATGTGGTCTAGGGGATAGCCAAGCACCATCGAGATGTGCGGCCTGCGTAACGTGCTTCACTCAATGGGAACACATATTCCAACAAAACATCCAGAAGGTGATGTGTGGATCATGACGTAATTATATTGGATCATGTGTCATGGTAATGAAAGATGTTTGAAAAGGATTGAAAAGGAACATTTTGGTGGTGCTGTCACAGAAACAAACACCAGTTGGCTGGCTTGTTTACAGGTTCCGATGTTGGTAGTCTCCCACTGCGCCACGGCAACTATTTCCATTGAGGACAAGTCAAACATGGGTGTGTCTGAACATAATGTATACCGCCAAAATGAGTGGCAACTAACAAGACAAATAACGAGAAACGATGATTTAAGTTACATAACCATATGCAATCAGCAAATTTAGGGGTACCGGGGTACCCTATTTTCAGACAAACCCAGTTCGGAAAAAAAAAAAAAACGATATAGCACAATACCATCTGAGACCATGGCTCACGGCTCATGGTAGCTATCCTAGCGTGTCCCATTTAAGGCAAAATTTCAACATGTGACATTACTCTTCACCAAAATATCTCTCATTTGTTGCAATTTGTGAGCCATGTTTGTTGATGTCGATTCTATTGATGATGAGTATCCCAATTTGGTGAAAACCTCAAATGCTGTTGCCAATCTTTTGCCAATCGGTTTCATGGTCAGTTTTCATACTCTGTCGGGTGGACCACCACATCCCAAGATTTGGTGCTTTAATCATCCCTCTGATGTTTGGTAGAACCCGATGAAACCTATGAGTTTTCTGAGGAACATGATCTACCAATGATGGGCTTTCCTACTAACTTCCTACAGGGATCGCTGGGTATTCGCCCAGCGGCCCGATATGCTTCAGCAGGGCGGCTTTGGGTGGCTGGAGATCCCAACCTGGCATGAACCATCTCTGCAAACCAGACATGGTTCAACAGAAACTTAAAAGGACAAAAGAACACCTAGCTATAAACATATATATACAGTACATTTTAATATGTATATATATGTATATATTAATCCAATAAGTATCTGAACACCAAACACCCATATTAAGGTGTGTCTTACATTAATCATGATGTCAAATGATGTGTAGTTACATGTAGTTACAGTATCAAGCATGGTCGGCATGGTGTTCAAAACATAGATAATACCGGTAAATATCCAATGCAGTTAAAACAGTAAAAGTACCTTGTATTCAATGGATGATGTTTGATTGATCACACATGGCTCAAGTGAGTATCTAAAAACTCAATTAGCCTCCAACAAAGAGCAAATCAGACGGTGTTTGATAAACCCTCCCGAGACATATCGCAAAACCATGCAAAACCTAGGAACATCTGAAAACAACCCGTGCGAGCCCATACAGGTGCAGGTGCACGCACACTATCCATCGTTTGAAAAGTATTCCTGCAACCCTGGGGCCCATAAATCTTGACCTTATATATCCCAATGGTGAATGAACAATTTACTCACCGGAAACCATGGCTTTTTCCCATCAGAAATGGACATGTACCGGCAACTGTTCCCATAAACCAGGTCCTCCCGACAAAAAACAAAACATCTCGTTTTTTTTGGATCCATGTATGACGATATCTCAGGGGAACCCCCCTCCATTCTTTCATGGGAACAACATGTTGTCATTATTAAAAACAAATGGGGTTACTTCTGCTCATAAACCCTATGAAATTTAAATGGGACAGGGATGGTTAAGTAGATGATTAAATGATCGAACAACCATAGAAATTCCCAACAAACGCACCTCCGATGGTGGTGACGGCTCGGTCCCAGCGCCGGGATCGGACGTGTCCCACCGACATCTCCACCGGCTCGCTGCGGCTGTCTGACGCCTGGCGGTTTCGACTCCGGGGCAACGATGGATTGAAACCACCGACACAGTCCGGCAGAATTTCACCCACCTTACCCACCTGTATGCTGAATTGGGAGTCGGGTAGGGCGGTGGTTGGTTTTTTGATGAATTGTGTGGTCAAGACATGTCAAGACTGCACAACTTTGACCAACTTTGATGAATTTAGATGAACTTAGCAGGTTGCAAACTATGGAAATGCACTTGATCACCATATATAGTGGGGCTTCTGCGGTACCGCGGTAGAGCGACCTCTGCTTCCGAGTCTTCCGAGTTGTCTGGCCCATCCGAAAGCTCCTGTGAAACAGGGTCTCTTAACTTGGGAAAATCTTGTGCAAAAACATGGGAATTATGGAAAATTATGGATAATGACTTGGATAATATGTTTTATACTCTGAAAAAGTATGGAACATAACCCTTTTGTAAGGCTGTCCAAATCCTTTAAAAAAGTGAAGCCACCTTAAGGGTCCCTTTTAGTAGAAAATGATGAATATTCCCCATAACATGGGTCCATTTCATGGAAAAAATATGAAAAAAATCCTTGACTTAAAGGCTTTCCTGACGAAGCGAATCGCATAGCCAATGCCAAAAGCACGAGTTTCTCGTAGGAATCATGGAATCGGGACAAGAGTGGGACGAAGATTCGCATCACTCAGATTAGGGTCTCATGGCTAGAATGACCAGAGACGACATGCTGTAGCCATCTTGATATCCAGTAACTGGGATAGTTTGGGTAATTGGATATCAAAATGAGGATATAAACTTCGATATCCAGTAGTGTAATTGGATATAAGTAACCCAGTATGTATCATGAGGATTCTCCATGATTCTCCTCGGATTCCTTTACCAATGTCCTCAAAATGACACAAAATAGAGGGGATGGTCTGGCATACCATCACCAATTCAAGCGGCTATACGACCCCCCATTAAGATCCATTAAGCACTAAGCACGCACCTCCTTTTGAAGGCTTACCTTTTGAGCCTTGGGGTTCGTTCTTCGAGACAATCAAGATCTCTAGCCAGTCTGAAGACAGAAACCCAAGGCCCAAAAGGTAAGCCTTCAAAAGCTCGTGATTGTCAGCTTTATCACATCAAGCCCTTCCCCTCAAACACAATCCACTCTTTAAAAAATAGCAGGTATGGCAGCTGGACATCCATTCCAGCTGCCAGCTTTACTTTCCACTAATTCCAAGATTACCGTCATTGTTTACTGAAAGATACTGAACGTGTTTGTTCCCTGTTCTTTTGCTTGATCCATCCTCAAATATCCTCTGCAAAAATCGATGCAAATATCGAAACAATTTTCTAGTCAGAAATCACCAAAATCACACCGCAAAAACGGGCAATTTTTCCCACATCAAATCAGAAAATGATGCGGTCAAATCTCAGGAATCTTACAGTTAACTCACCCATGTTGCCGCTTCAATCTCATCAAATCTATGTTTCTCTATGTTTGATAACTGACTCAGTCAACTTCCCAATTTTGCTGGTGAAACTCACGCATTTTCATGTCTCTTTGAGGACGGTGTTCCGGGTCTCCTGTTCACCACAGGTGAAGAGATGTGCATTCGCTCGGCGGTAGATCCCTGGCATTAAAGATCCAGCATGGGGTTGAAACCAAACCATATAACACCCAAATACAAATAAATAAAAAACAATATAAATATATCTATAAACAAATCTATATAGTATTATAACCCATTTGTTCCATCAAAATTGATCCATACTACCTTCTACTAATGGGTTGTGGTCATGGGTTCCGACCTCTGCCGACCTAGCAAACATGCCAAATTTGTCTAGCTCTTCCCTAAGAGTTGAACACAGCTCTGACAAAACATGCCATACATGCCCCTTCTTGCAGTAGGCTTGCGTGTAAATTGCTACCATTCCATGGTGCATTCGACTAACAGTGACCAGCTTAGGTCACCCTTCCTCAAATCAGTTCTGCACCAGCATGCACCTTGCCTTGCAAAATGTGTTTTTGGCGTAGGATGTTTACCTCGTCTTGCTTGAAAAGCTCCGAAGTATCCTGGGGAAAAGCATGCTCCCAACACCCCGGATAACAGGGCAAGAATTGGCAAATAAAGAAGAAAACTCATCAATTTCACCCCTTTGTGGCTATCATTGAGCCTACCGAAGTAGGTTGGAGCAATCCCCATCCAGAGCGCCAAAATATCTTTGTCACTTGGGATCTCAACTGAGTCATACCAAACTGGGATAATCCTTGAAATCAGAAGAGCGACAAGACAAGACAAACAGCATACAGAATCCAACATATCCCTTAATTGCAGAGAGGGTATGACCCATTTACAACTCCCAGGGTCATCCAAGAACAGCGCCGCGCTCTAAATGCGCGGGCGGTAGCGACCAAGGTCCTTAAAGTGAATCTGCAGTGGGTCGTTCTGAAAGTCAAGCAGCACGCCGACTCCTAGGGATGGGAAGCCGCACGCCGTCGCTTGGACGAAACACTACTGGTGGCTTTTCAAGCCATCTGAAGCAACTACCATCTGGTTATGACTAACAGTTCGCCATGGAAAATCCACCCATGTTCAAGACCGGTCAACCATCTATTTCTATGGGCCATCTATTTTCCATGGAGAACTGTTAGTCATAACCAGATGGTTTACATGTCATTGGGGATCATCGAATCCAACGCAGCCAAAAAGTCACCGCATTGAATTTGGGGGTATGGGGGCCAAATTTTGCATGATAGGGTTTGCTTTTTTTGTCCATCTACGGTAGGGTTGAAAATAGATGATGTTTGACACCATCAATCACTCAATAAAATTCATAAGGTCGATGGTGGCTCATACACCTTTAACAATCCCTTTATGCATATATTTTATATATATTTCCACAACTATTAGAGATTTGGATCACTTTTGGATACCTTTTTTTCACATCTCCAAATCCAGCTGTTCCGGTGATTTTCCGCAGCTTCAAGTTGGATCCCTTGAGCGGAGTCCAGCGCTGCCAAGGCTCTTTGGATATCTTGTGAAAGGATGGCATCCATAAGGCTCCAATCCTCCCACTCAGCCATGAACCTACGATCAACAGTAGGTCCAAGTCGCAGGGATGGGATTCCCAGTTATCCCAGTTTTTAATGGGATGTAATGGTGATCAACCCATCTACCATCTGGTTATGACATTCACAGTTCACCATGGAAAATCCACTAATTTTTATTAGGTAAACCATCTATAAATGGGCCATTTTCCATGGCTATGTTAAATAACCAGAGGGCAACTACAGTGTGCAGAGGTGATTGTAATGGTGATTTCATGGATAAATCATGTGATGTTCGTGAAATAAACCATCTCCAAATTTACCATGTCTCAGGGTGGGATTGAAACCATCATAAACCATCCAAATATGGCTGGTTTATATATCATTGCTTTACCAACATGACTTTGTTCGATTAGAATTGCCATGTTCGTTGGAGCTACGTATCCAGTGACGTTTTTTAATGATGCCTCCACAAAGAGATGTAAAGAAATGTTCAGCAGGCGGAATGTGGTGGATCCATACATGTTGGGGTTCTCATGTAGAGACATAGGAATGGATGCGTCATTCTATTAAGCTAATCCTGAAACAAGCATATACTAAATGTTTATCAAATGATTCTCTTAACGATCCATTGGCATACCCTCTGGTAAACTAACATAGCTATTGAAAATGGCCATAGAAATAGTGGATTTACCCATTAAAAATGGGTGGATCTTTCCATAGTTACATGAGTTTACCAGGCCGGGTAATTCTAACCATTCAAAGCTGTAGCATCAAACCATCAGAATGGTCATCCTCCGGGTGCGGATCCCTCCGCGGATCCCTCCGTGGGCCAAAGCTACTTGCGGTCGCTGTCGAAATCCATGATGGCCGCCTATGACCGACTGCCACATAGCTGACACACACACACACACACACGCACACATATATATATATAATATAATATTTATATATATAATATATATAATATATTGACATATATGGGAGCAACATATTTGAAATTTGAACCATACTCGATGAAGCTTAAAAACGTATGCAAAAAAATAGCATATGGCATCATATGCTACTGGTTGGTGGTTTCAACCCTCTGAAAAATGATGGAGTTCGTCAGTTGGGATGATTATTCCATTCCCAACTGAATGGAAAGTCATAAAATTCATGGTCCAAAGCACCAACCAGTTTTCCATATATGTTCCATATATTTTCCATATAGATATCCCACATATTTCATATGGCTATAACTATCAGTGTTTTTGGAGGTGCCTGGTGCCACAGTTCAACTCCCCTACCACTCCCAGCCTCGGTGATGACTCTCAGCTGTCCTCGGGGGAGATCTGAGATCTTTCTGCATGGATGGAACATGGAAAATCCGAAACACACCAAGGATCCAAAAATAAAGGATCCACATGGTGAAAATATGGTGAAAATATGGTGAAAATTGGTGAAAATAAAGTCCATCTAGATTTCTAGTTTCATGGTTTCATGGTGAAAATTGTCCATCTAAATAATTACTATAGTTTCATCTAGTTTCTAGATAGGTATCTTAACCTGAAGTATAAAAAAGGCTGCACATGGTTGGCAGAAACTGTTGGTAGCTTCAAAGTCAATAAACATGAGGTAAACAATGGGCATTCAGAAATATTCAGAATCCCTGTCTATTGGGGTTGCCAATTCTTTGATCTCTAGTGACTTTGGATATTCATTAACAGGCACTGGGATGGAGGACATGGATTGTCTGCAAGATTTGGAAGTGCATGACGGGAATTTTCCAGAAAAATGCATACGGAATCCACAAAAGCTCATGTTCAGAAAATGTCGAATCCTTTTCCAGCAGCAAATCTTCGTTTTTACATTATGCCTTTCTCATTTTTTCATCTTTTTTCCATCTTTCCACATCTTTCCACATCAGTTCCCTGTTTTAGCCATCTTCGGCCCGTTGAACATCCGCTGACCCAAAGGGCCCTTTGTAGGCAAGGGACTGATTGAAATCAGCTCTGCATCTTTGTAATGCAGTTTTAAGGCGGCAGCGGGATAGCCTTGGCATCCGGCTTTAAACCATGGCTTGATACCATGGTTTCTGATGGTTTCTGGTGTTTTAATGGGATATTTTAATGGTGTTTTAATGGGATTCAATGGGATATATTGATTATCCTCTGGTAAACTAACATAGATAATCACAATATCTATATAATAGGTAAATCATCTATAAATGATGGATCATTTTCCCATAGCAAACTGTTAGTTTACTGGAGGGTTATTTTGATCATCTTTTCAATGGGAGATCTTCAGGATCCAATTGATGGTACAGTACCTACCATATATAAGGCCTATATAAGGCCTATGTAAGGGGATATCCCACCAAAATATGGCCAGAAATATGGTACTAACGTACCTCCATCTCCCATTGATCTTTCACTAACCTGAAAAGTGCGGCCAGCTATGGGGATGATTCTCCGCAATCTGACCATCATTCCAGTGAGGTCACTATGATTCAACCAGATGTTTGGTACCTGCTAAGTTGTAGGATGGTGATAGGTGGTGAAAAGTTCAACAATGTCAAAGCAGACCCCGTTGACAGAAAGAAATATGAAACATGTTGTTATTGTGATATTTGGTTGCCAAGGTGTAAGTCAAAAAGTAACACACTCAATTACATCAAATGATTGCCGTGAAACTTCCAATAATGGGCCAATTGCGACATCCACATCATGTCCCATACTTCAAATATCTTCAAGTAGGCGTCTCCTTTTGGCAACCCTTAGCGGTTTGTGCGTTTGTGCCTGCGTCCGGGGGGCCCCTTACTTGTGCACCCCCAGCTTCCGCCCGAACGGGGTCAAACCCAGGAACTGGAAAAAATGCAAATGCCCTGTTCCTCGAGCTGTTGCCTGCAACGTCACGGGTCAACATGGGTCAACTTCTTGTTGCGGGATGCAAAAATAAAACAAATGCGATGGCATCTCAAAAGATCACAAAAGATTCGTGTGAATCATTACTGGTTGGTGGTTGAGCCCTACCCCTCTGAAAAATATGAAGGTCAGTTGGGATTATTATTCCCAACATATGGAAAAAGTAACCTATGGCTCCGAAGTGATCTGAAGTATATAACCCCACCATGCCACTGAAGCAGCCCACGTCCGGGCCTCCAATTCGGTGGCCGATGTTCTGGCCGTTCCAGACCCAAGGAGTCCATGTCTGGCTGCACCTGGTGCGCTTTATGGATTTCCATCATGTCATGATCCAAAGGGCGACCACCAATGTTAGACCACCAATATGGCAACCCCAAAATGAAGAATCATAGATCGGATCTATAATCCTGAGCACATTAAGATATAGTTTCTCAGATGTTCTCAGATTTTCTCACATTAAGAAGTGAAGATTGACCTATGATTGACCCATGTCTACTAGATATGGTTTCACCGTTTCACCTATGAAACATGCCCCGGTGATTCCAATCCTAGAAAACCGCCAAGTTGGGCGATGGTTTGTTCATGGGCTGGTTCCGTTTCTGCTTGGCGCGGCTTGGTGACGTGACGGTGATGTGATTCTGGCGGCTACCCTCCGGGAATCAAACGTGGCAATGGAAAATCACCAATTTATAGTTTTTGTTTCCCCATTTTAACATCTCCATTTATAGGGGATTTCTCGCGTTGCCACGTTTGATTGCCAGATTTTAAGTGGTAAAAAATGGTTCATCTTAAGTCATTAAACAATCGATTAGATTCCAATCAATACCCTCAAGTTAATAAAGATCCGGGTTTGCCCAAAATTAGGGTACCCTTATTGGTTTGCCATCATACTCGTTTTCTCATCCATTAAAATTGCCCGGAATTGGGGAGCATACCACATTTTCAGGCACGACCAAACTAGATTTAGATAAAATAGTATATCCCAAAGAATATCCCAAATCAATGTCCATTTCTGGTTGGTTTTTATGCCCATAATGTATCTATGTTCAAAGTTTCAAAGTTTCATACCCAGAAACTACACCTGCTCGCCTCATGAATCATCACGGCCTTCAGCTGGGGACCTGCCAACCAGAGAGGGGCTAACCATCAATAGATGGAGGGTTAAACCATCAATGGCTAGCTTGAGAATCGATTTTTTATGTTTTATTGGAACCATAGTCTATAATAATCTATGGATGGAGGTTTGCCTTCTGGTAAACTCACAAAACGCGAACTGGAAAACCACCTGTAGATTGGGGTGATCATCTTTCTCACTGGAGGTTTAGCCACGAAAACTTGGGCTTTACCATGGCTTGCATATCCAGCCAATGGATTCAATGGCCATTCCAGGAACCTAAATTGGAGCTACCTACCATATAATCACGGCCTAAATTTCAGGGAATATCCCCCCAAAATATGGCCAGAAATATGGTACTAACGTACCTCCATTGTAGGATCCTGAAGATCTCCCATTGATGGTGAAATCCCCAAGTTTCTTCGTAGATCACCATCCAAGCTGCGATTTTGGTCACCCATCGAGGCCTGCGATGGCCTCAAGTTGTCTTGTTTTTTTTAAGGCAGCCAAAAGATGCCGACAAATTATGAGTATATACTGTATATACTGTATATACTATACAAGTTTTAAGATTTTAGTGGACAATCGAAAAATAATGGCTGATACCCTGCAGAAAACTAATATACAGCTATCCGATAATATCTGGGTAAGTTATATTAAGTCACCAACCTTTGTTTGGGTAGAAAAAAAATAGAGTATCTATTTTGGGATACGGATTCCTGCAAACCTAACCATAAGTTATAGTGACGTCGTGGTGAGGTGTTTATTTTAACTGAATAAGTAAGTGTTCACATAGATATGGCAAAGCCATGGTTGTCCCTTTCCTATTTTAATGTTCAGTGTTTCTTGGAGTGTTTCTTGGAGGGTAACTTAAAGCAACATGAGATCTCTTAAAACAACATAGATTACCTGATGAGAACTTGGAGAGGTTAACTAATCCTGTTACTTGGAGATATCTTACCTGGATTAGTTACGCATACGCTTGGGGAAGCCAAACATCAACGGATCCAGCCGGATCGCGCCTTGTCCAGGTCGCCAACGCCAGGTTGGAGTCGGACTTTTCCTGGTGTTTTAAACCAAAAACCACCAGAAACACATAGCCCGGGTCCGGTATTTTTTTGAACATAGCTATGAGATGCTATGGAACATGGTGGTATAAATGGCCCATTCAGTGAGAAATTTGCAGTAATTTACCGATTTTCCATCGCGAACTATGAAATTATCATAGCGGCTATTAGCTCGAGTCATCGGGACGAATCTTCGCTAATGATGTGCGTGTCTTTGTTGATGCTATAATTACTCAAAATGATGACTTTGATGGGTACTTCTCAGTACTTCTCCCGCTGATTGTTGATTCCAACATTTCCCCATTTGCCTGGTTGAGTCGTGTTCAATTTCCATTTTGGCTCGTGCAGCAGTGCTGCACGAGCTTGCAGATCTTGGAGATTTCTCGGGCAGTTTATGGGAATTAAGATGCAAAAGTAAGATGTTTGGCTCGTTAAACCCACTTGTGTGATTCCTAAAAACCGCACAACCAACATGTGTTTTACTTATATATAACCGCCCATTTCTGGTGGTTAAACCCTTCACAAAGGTTGACCATGGTTGACCCAAGAATGGCCACAAACACACACACACACGCGCGCATACTTAGAAGAACAGCTGAACTCCTTCTAAAATAGTGATCGAGTACGTTTCTATCATTTGTGGTTACTATACATGTACATGCATATATGTATGCGTAAGTGTGTATGCATACAGTATAGCAACCCCCAGTAGGAACCTTTCAGAAAAATGCTGAAAAGTGTGTCCAGGATTGTAGTTGATGATATTGAGCTCATATTTCGAGGTGTTCAACCTTTCTATCTGTGACTTGGGTTGCTATACACTTATTTTAAAACACATATCCTATGACCCCCGTCAACCTGGGACTCTGCAACCCAGCCTCCTGCAAGGGCACCACGATGATGTCGACACCTGGCCGTTTGATCAGCAGAAAACAGAGTTTAACAGAGAAACGGCATGTGATTAATATTGATTAATATTGATTAACACCTGTAATGCCAAAACCAAATCCATCATGTGTTAATTAGTATGTGCTTTCCCTCCATGGCCTTCAAACAAGGCCATTTCGGAAGCATCGCATGACTACTGTAGGGAAAGCTGAGATGGTCACCCACGGAGCCGCCCGGTCCAGCCAAGATGCACTGTTGTCAGAACTCTCTTCGTCCTGGCGCTCAGTGGTACCAGCCAATTTGGAATAATTTGGAATAACTATCCTCCAGCATCTTCCAGCAATTCTTGACATAGCCAGTCTTATGGTATAGATGGCCCATTCATAGATGATTTACCTGTCAGAAATGGTAATCTCCCCTGGGCTTTGTTGCGGGTCCAGTTTGGGATCGAGTGATCTTAAGGCAGGCTTGGCACGGATAAATGGTTTCTTTGCATATCGTTACTGCTACCAGCCGGTGGAAAAAGATGGAAAAAGTATGCTAGCAGGCTAAAACCCGCAGGTAGCAAATCATCCGCTCATTCAAGTGTTTTCTCATTTTCGTGTTTCTTGTTTCTTTGAGTGGAAAAATCAAATTTTCAGTAAAACTCCATAATGTCACAATGTCATTACAGTAGCGGGAAACACATTCAGTACACCAAATCGGGTTTTATGAATCCGATTTTTATCGTACATTCCTGCATTTCAGGCTCAAAGGTTCCAAACACTTCTCCGCTAAGACTCTGCAAGAACGAAACGAAGCTGTACAGACTTGACATGACGACTTACAATGTAGGTAACCCAATGCCATAAACCTACCATTTGGGGATGGTTTCTGGCAGCTTCTTCCCCCTATCCCTTGGACAACCTGATCTGCGATCTCTCGGGCGCGCAGGTCCTTTCAAAGGAATGGGATTGGCCCATGGGGTACTGGGGTACTGGGGTACGGTGCCAAGGGGTAAACCACAATTTGACTAGATGGCTGTGACTGAAAATAGGATATATCATGCTATATTCATTGCTACAGCTTAATTAGCTAATTGATCAATTAATGAATTGACCAAGGGGTTCAATGTGACGTTTTTTTTTTCGGATAAAACCAGATGAAGATCTCAAATCACGGTTCAATAAATGCATGCTATACTTAAGCACAAGTCAGCTAGAAGTATCACCCCGTCATGCAAGCAAAATGTGAATGTAATTCTAACCCTAATTCACGGATGATGCATTGTGTCTCCCTATCCCATTTGGAAGGTTGTAATCCGTTCCCCCTCATATCAAATACCCCTTCTAGAAATTGTGGTGTAGTATTGGTTCTATTCGTGTCATAAAATTTCGCTAGGTTGATGATGGAGGGAACTATGGGTCGTGGAAACAAGTCAGCAAAGAATGATCAGGGTCCTTACTTATATAGGTTGCCTGCCTTGGAAAAACCACCAGCCCATTCGGCCCATTTGGGGGTGGCCGGTCGTGATCTCCTCCATATCCCTGATCCCCTCCAAATATGATGGATCCCAATTGGCCAAACATAATCCCATTCATCCCATAGTTTGATTGATTATATGATATTATATGATTGTCTCCCAATATTTTCTTGAGATGAAACGGCCGGCTAGACATGGTTATATATATATTATTATATTTATCCATCTCATCTCATCTCATCTCATCTCATGTCATCTCATCTCATCTCATCTCATCTCATCCTATCTATCTATCTATCTATCTATCTATCTTCTATCTAATCTATCAATCTATCTAATCTATCTATCTATCGTATCTAATCTATCTAATCTATCTAATCTATCTAATCTATCTAATCTATCTAATCTATCTAATCTAGTATCTAATCTATCTAATCTATCTAATCTATCTAATCTATCTAATCTATCTAATCTATCTCTCTATCTACCTACCTATCTAATCTATCTAATCTATCTAATCTATCTAATCTATCTAATCTATCTAATCTATCTAATCTATCTATCTATCTATCTATCTATCTATCTATCTGTATATTTCTTCCCATGTGTCCCAATTCATCCCAATGTGGAGCTTTCCTAAAATGGGGGTACCCCCCAAATAACCCCAAATCACACATGACCATTTGCCACAAAGGCTGCGCAAGGCGCCTCTGCTACAAGCAACTGACCAGCCAAGAGATCACCCTGGCGCACCAGGATGGACCAGCGAAATTGCAGAGATTCAGGGAATCATCTACAGGAAAAATGGTGATTTAAAGGGATTTATATGGAATTCAATCGGATTTAATTGATTTTAATGGGAATTTTGGGATTCGATTTAGTTAACAAAGTTGGTTTTTAAGATATTAACGGTTGGATTCTCATGGTAATATGATATAGATATATCAAATCTATGGTTAATGGGGCTTTCAAACCAACAAACATAACTGCGGGCCCCACGTTGTGACATGGGGATGTCAGTGATTCACACTGGTGCAACCCAATAAAACATCTCCGTATGGCGTTTTAGCAGCCCCAAAACGGTAAGGGGTATGGTTTCAATGCTGTTGGCTTTGCCAATCCACACCCTTTGGGGCTCTTCTTTTCTATATATGCGCGAAAGGATGTATCTTTCTTGTTGCCACTAGTACTTGGAACATGAAGCATGAAACTTGAAGGCAATTCATACAGAAAATAGCGCCCAGAGTGCCACGCTTTGCCATCCCCTTCCGCCCTTGTGCAGTAGAATGACCCAATGACCGTAAAAACAGATGGTGTCCGTAAACCAAGGGCATCCAATGGCATCCAATGCCTGGCCGTTGTCTCCAAAGAAGATGAAGTCGTACTCACCGTACAACGCCTGAGCTGGAATGATTCCAGTCAGCTGTTTGGCGGAAGTACCCTCTGGTAAAACTAACATAACTATTGACAATCACCATTTTTAATGGGTAAATCCACTATAAATGGCCATTTTCAATAGCTATGTTAAATTACCAGAGGGTAAGTTGAGGATTCTGGAAAAATCATGAAAAATCCCCAAAGTGAAACAAGATCTTTCCGGGATGATGCCCCTCACCAGCCAACATTTCCAGTCATGTCGCAGTGAAGCCGTTCGAATTGATCCAAAGGATTTTCACCCTCCAGTAAACTAACATAAGAATGGACATCACCATTTTTTGATAGGTAAATCATCCAACTAAATGGGTTATTTCCTATAGCTAGGTTAGTTGGCCCAGACAGGTATCACGCAGGAATCATTCATGGTAGCTCTGGGATATGCACCCCGCAATTAGAACATGCCGACCAAAATGGCTGGCGTTGAACTTCAACGGCATGATCGAAGTTTAATTTCAAATTATGGTAAACATGAAGAACAACGAACATATTTTCAAGAAAAATATCTATATAAGATGCAACCTGAGACTGTGCCACCTCCCCCGCTGCACCTTGTATTGCTCAAACATCTTGGCTTTGCGCTCTCCCACTTCACGCCAGCCGTGCGCCGCGATGAACAGAGCCTTCTTTAGAGGAGTCTTGAAGGAGGTCGGGCCCTCATCATCAACTATCCATATGAGGTACCCGCTGTCAATATATGTTATTTATGTTCTTGTAATTTCATTTTGTGTATCAATATTCATGTATGTAATTATATTTAAATATACATTTATGTTTATAGTTATATGTTGTGTCTGTGTGTTGATTAAGCATATGCATATCTTTTTATATACAGTATGTGCATGTGTATATATATATATATATTTATGTGTGTGTGTTGCTGCAACTATAACATGAGCATTTGTCATAAGGTAGCTTACATTGGCACTGGACGACGCTGCGCTTCAGTAAATCCTTTGCATTTCAGGAAATCCAGCCATGTCACTCGCCGGCCAACTATAGGTCTTATACTGTGGTAAAGCCAAGGTTTATGGAAAATTAATGGTTAATGATGGTTAATGACGATTAAGAATGCTGATTCATGAGGCAAACACGCTCTTTATGGTATAAACCATCCCAAAATGGTAGCTTTACGGCATTGGTTTGCCAGCCGAGGTGGGCTTCGAGACGAGCACAAGACATGAATCATGACATGGCCAAAAAGGACACGACTCATATCAAATGTATGCTATCTAGATCTATCTAGATCTATCAAGATTTATCATGATCCATTGAATCCATTGATCAATCTAACCTAACCTAATCGATTCGAATCTATCCATGCTTCCATCGGGAAACACCGGGCACCTTCACCACAGCCCAAAGGCCCAGTGAGAGAGAACCAGGGAGCAGGGTGGGAACCTCACGGCAGTGAGGATTTCATGGAGATTTAGTGATCAATCATAGGGGGTTTTAACCAAACCATCAACGATGGGGATTTCATGGGATTTCATGAATCCACCTATGGTGACTTAATGGTGACTTCATGGGGATTTCATGGGATTTTACGGCCCATAACCAGCAATAGATGTGGAAATACTGGGAATATAATGGCGGTATCATAGGAATGCAGTACGAGTAGGATATAATCAGCAACATGATATTGATAATATCTGGGTGTGTCTGAAAATCGGGTTTTGCCTGAAATGGCAATGTTTAAAATGGACAATTATGATCAATCATGATCAATCATCAAATGTTGGTGGTACCCAATCTTCGGACAACTCATGTTGAATCCACCAATAGGCTCACCACCGGGCCCTCCAACGCAATGGAGGCGTCCTGAGAATCGGTGCAATGACAGGAGACTCTCCCGAAAGTTTGGTATAGGTCATGGTCATGGCTGGTAGGTCCCCATGGTGAGCACTTATTGGCAGTAAAGTGATATAGACAAATATGAGTTGAACAGATTTGAACAGATTTGATGGGGGATACTTGCCGCATTTCAGGTCGCAGGATTTCTTTGGCATCCCCATCCGCGTCCTGTGGAGAAGAGATCGAGGAACTTTGCAAAGCTCTGGCGGTAGCAGAAGAAGTGGGGCCAAGAAAAATGGGATCAGATCAATCATGAAAAAATGGACATGCTCATTATGATGATTGCAGGCAAAAAAAATGTTATGATGGGATATGACATGGGATGTGACATCGGATATGGCATCAGATATCATCAAATATGATATCGGATCTGATGCAATGTGATGGGATATATATATATATATATACGTATATATATATATATCCAAATCATACCAAATTCATTAATATAATTTGGGTGTGATTGAAAACGGTGAATTCAACCCATCCCCTTCATGGCAATTTCAAACGGGATACAGTAATGATGGATAACCACCAATGAATTAGCGGGCACCCTCTTCTCAAACAACTCACTCTTACAGTGTCAAAACCATGAAACCATGGTGAACACCAAAATTACCAAAGAGCGGATGTTCATCCATTTTTTTTTAAGACTGTTCAAGGCTATAAATGAACGAGCCATCCCTCTAGCTCTATGGAGATCAAACTAGCCAAACATTCAAATCCAAGAGCCGTGACGTGCATGCAACCCGGGGCCCTAAACACAATGGTCTCCCATAATTCCTCAGCTATGAAGGCCCCCACGTAGATGACTTGTCTTTCCAGGATGTCAAGTTTGAACATATTTTGCCTTATAATTTCATAGTTTCCTGATTCCAACTTTTCATAAAGTGTCTATCCATGTCTATCTGTTTTCAGGCTGCTTAGATCCACTAAATCTCGATACATCCCGAATACATCCCCGTTGAATTCCCATGAATTAAATCCTCATCAAGTGCACCTGGAAAATGAAACAAGAAGAACCCCCACAAGCCACAACATCTGTTGCATTCTTGGAGCTACAACATCCGTATAATCCGACAACTGTACTCATGATACCCTGCACTTTATACATCATTATACAGGCAACAAAATCAGCAAATCCGGTTGAAATCCCGAAGACATCCCCAGGAACCCAGTCCCGGCGGACGAATCCTCGGGCCTTGCTTTCCGACACATCCTGGAGGCCGCGGCCATTGGCCATCCCGCGATGGACCCTCCAATACCCACTCTTTTTCCTGGACCTGAAATAATTAGTCAACTCAAATGGTGTTTGGTCCAGGAAATCGATTTGAGTCCAGAAAATAAATTGCTGGTCCACGAAATGGAGGCTAAATTTGAATTATAAGATTCCAGAAAACCCAATCGACATGTCGTGTTGGATTTGTTGGTCGCGGCAAACGCTCCAAATACTCACAAGAAAGGATCTTCAGCCTTTCAAGAAAAACATTGTTGAGTCTGTCAAATGGCTTTCTGCCAACTATTTCACCGGGTCGCTCCCTGCATAAACATAAACTCGTCATTGAACCCGCACAACATGAGTCTTGAAGATTTCAGCACCAAAAATTCCAGTTGTAGTACGAATATAAACTGTCGTGGTATTGTTGGTTCGTCGACCCTCCAAAAGTTCTGAAAATGACTTGCCTACAGAAATTTTAAGTGTCAACATCTTTTCGGGCTCCATATATTTGATTCACAACCAACCAAGGTCAAACAAGAAATCCTGCGGGGCGCCTTGTAGATGTGTGGCCGGGCCGAGAGGAAGGCTAAGTTGCAGCAGGGATCCTCTGGAGTCCAGCTCCTACCGGAGTCCAGGGCTGAAAACAGAGGGTGGAGGTGCAAATGTCTCTCCCCGAACGAAGATTCATGGGATTTATGATATCTATATGATATCTATATGATAGTTTATGGGGTTTTAATGGATGTTTAAGATGTTTATGATTGTTGCAATCATAAACATCTTAAATCCCATGAATCTTCAGAGTTTGTTCATGGGATGTTAATGGATAATGTGGGTATAGAAGCAACCTCATCAAATCATTAAACATCTTCTATAAAGTCAAGATATGATGTGATGGGATTGGCGCAAATGGAGGTGTGTATTTGATGACCTGGATATCGCCTGCGAACTGGATAAACACCTGCAACATCAATTATATATGGCGTTTTCTAACGGATTTTTTCATGGGAGTCTAATATTGTACTGATATGTGCAGTTAAAGTGGGATACGATTGGGGATACGATTTGTGACTTGCGGCTTGCCAAGAAGGGGGTTGGCCAACCAACCAAAATTGAGATTTGACAAAGCAAAATGGGTATGTGGAGACTGATCCCGCCTCCCTCAAATCAAACACCACCAAGAAGGCGCCCCTAAGAAAATAGATCCAATAGTTAATAGCTAAGGGGAAGGGAGTAGTAGCTGGTTGGTGACCACGCTTAGTAGCGACTGATATAATGGGATAAAATCAGGAATCTGGTAAATAAATGATAATCAAGGAGATGCAAAGGATAGAACTATTCAGAAATATCTTAGCTGACACCCAGGGTTTCTAATCAAACAGCAACTAACACATCCGACCAGGGTCCTGTCTATCATGACTACACTAACTCTGGGCAGAGTGGGTCTCGAAATTGGGAAAAGCTAAAGGCACGATCACCACCAACAGAAAGCTACATTCCTATTTCCAAAGGAAACCAGCGTCAGCGTTTCTCTACAAACGTTGAACAAGGGCCACCAGAGTTGAACTCTTTTAACCATTGGCGGATATTATGTATATATATATATATACTCTATACATATATATATATATATATACTATATATATATACATATACTATATAAATTTATACATATTATATATGTACATGCAAATATCGTCAAATGGACATGTCTTCGCCGACCTGTCAAGCTCTTTGAAGAGCTGAAGGGCACCGGGGTAGATCATGTGTCGTGGGATCCTGGCGACCCGTTGAGCCGTTCTCCCGTGGCCTGGTTGGATCCTTAAAAACACTAAGGATGCCTCGGATATAAGCTATATATTATTATATATCATTATATCTGCATATTATGATTATGATTATGATTATTATTATTATTATTATTATATATATATCTATATAATTTAGATATATACAAATGCAAGTGGGCTATGGAATCCTGTGAGGGTGGCATCAATAATGGCCATGATTACTTGAGAAAAATAAGATGTCTTTTCTTCCAAAAAATATGTGCGGAAGGCGGAAAAACAAAGATTTTTTTAAATAATAATATGACAATCGTCAAAAGCATAATGCCGACTCATATGTTTCGATCACTTATGCCAGGACCGTGACGGTTGGTCCTAGCCCCCGTATGTACTGCTGCTTTATCAGAAGAAATCTCCTCAAAAAAGAACATTGAAACTGAGACGACACATTTTGATCAAGTACCCAAGGAAACACCGCCTTCTAGCTACCCTCTGGTAATTTGTGACATAGCTATTGAAAATCACCATTTATAGTGAATTTTCCCATGAAAAATGGGTGGATTTTCCATAAGTTATGTAACAAATTACCAGGCCGGGTACATGCCATTATCATTCATGAGACGATTTTCACGTGTTTCCCCATAGAAAACTGCCCTATGGCCCATCCATGTTCTGTCAAGACACCGATCATCGCAGCCTGCGCAAGTGCCATGACCATGACATCTGCGTTGCTGTACCAAGTCTATAGCGCAAATATGCCCCGATAGCAAAACAGGTTTGCCTGTTTTGTCTGGAAGTAGGGGACCCCGAATTAGATTCTTAATCGCCATGTGTCCCTTCCAAAATTGTCTAAAAATGGTGTACCCCATTTTCAGGCACAGTCTTTTGTGAACTTTTTGGAAAAGGAGAGCCATTTGCCTTTTTTGGAAGATGCCATTCTTTAGAAGCACCACATATCCAGCTGATGTATTCTATCAGCATCTTAAAGCAGTTGCTGCAAATTGCTTCAGTGGATGGTGCCTAGAATTCCAGCCTACCCCAATGACTTTCCCATTTGAAAAGAACATATTGATATAATCGTATTTGGTAGACTCATGTAGACTATTGCAGACTCACATCAGTCTACTATAATATAGTAATCATTAATTGATCATATTTGATCTTTTGCCTGGGAGCACTAAATTTCAAAACATGTAGCTACGTGTAGGTCAGTACCTATGTACAACGGGATGTTGCAGGAACGGCATGCCGTTCCCCGCACCTGCAGGAAAAGCGGCCCCGCTACAAAGCAAGGTATCGTCGATGTCACTCACCACCTGCCGCACACACGGCGTTGCGTGTGACAATGGGTGAAGTATTATGGTGTTTCACCAGGCATGGTAAGAATTTGTCAACCACTTTCAAGGTTCAAGAGATTTACCGAACCCAACTTGAGGTTCACCAAGTTGTGGTGAATCCCACGGTTTGCCGGACAGCGCATTCAACATAACGAACATCAAGAATCCCCTGAAGGGTATGAATTTTCAACAACATGTGACCGTGACATACCGTGACCATCCGATTTTTGCCCGGTACAAGGACCTGCCTAGTTTTGACCGATACCTGATGTTGCATGTAAAATGTTAAGTTCCATGGATTAAAATGGAAGAAACCTGGAAACGCTATGAAGGAGGCTTCCAACAAATTACTCAAGGTTTCTATACTTGGGGTTTCAGAGAACCAGAGCCAAAACCACTTAGGTGAGAGATGCGAATACTGCATTCAGTTGTTTGGTGAATGGCACGATCGTTGATTAAATCCTTCCTACATGGTGGCCTGTAATTTTCTCTTTTTTTCTGTAGAATTTCCAGTAGATTTGGGATGTGAATTCAACCAACTCCCCATTTTCGGTGACCCAACGATGGTTGAGATTCACTCTGAATCTCCGTGGCTGCTGGTGGTTTATCCTCTGGTAATTTCACACGGCTATGGAACATTTTTTTTGATAGTTCAATCATCTATAAACATTGGGCCATGGTATGCCATTGTGTCTTGGCAAACTCTTAAATTACCATAGGCTATAGTTACTGGTGGTTTATCCTCTGGTGAATTCACACAATCAACATGTTTCTATCATCTATATCTATATCTAAATAAATAAATATATATATATATTATATATATATAGGCCATGGAAATTACCATGGTATACTGATACCCTCACCTTTTTGGCTGTTCATACCACGGTCTCTTGACCGGCAGGTTGCAGTCCCACGACAGAAATAGACCGCCTTCAGCCCCACGGCTCCACGTTGCACCGACCTGCGGACAGGACATCACCAGTTTCCCCCAGAAGTGGATTGGTAGAGAAAATCTGTGTTTTTTTTTTGGGTAACCCGAAAAAAGAAGCCGAAACGTACGAACATATTTCCCGTAAATTTTCAATTTGTCCAACTCTTTGATCTGTTTTTTGGGTTGCTATGATGATAAAAACCATGTTTTCCTGGAGAGTTCTGCTTACAAGCCAAGCCGATGAACATCACAACGGGGATAAACTTGAACAAAACACATTCGAAATCACAAACATACTAAGATTAGATATTGCCTTCAAGCAAATTAGCATGTACATACACAGTCATACGTAACTACACAATGAATAAACAAAATAAACCCGTAAATCAATAAACTACATTGATATGTGGAGATTTAACATATACACCTGTTTACATATATATATATGCATATACACATAGTAAGTATATATTAATACACTGTATATATATATATGTGTGTGTGTACAGACATGATATGATATGATATGATGAAATATGATATGATGTTCATTCATAATACCATCCTTACCTGCTTCATATTTTTACCGGGCCGGGCCTGGCAGCCGCCGCCTCCTTGGCAATGTGGTACAGCACCTGCTATGGACGACTCATGGGTGACCTTTTTTGTGGCATGGATGGGATCTAACTCAGGGAAATGTTGATCGATGTGACGGAATTTAATGGCTATATACTGCAGATTTCATGGGGAATGTATGTATATATCTTGATATGGGGCTTTGTCTCAAGATGGGGGGCTGTGACAATTATGGCCAAGAGGAAGAATGATAAGAAACCACCAAATTGTTACCTTCAGACAGGGCCACATAAATCTAAATGATGAATCATAAATGTTTGTTTACCCCGGAATTTGAACATCGGTGGGTTGTTGATCTCTGGGCATCATTTTCGCATTCACTTGTGATACACGTTTTGTGCCAGTTCGGCCCCGCAAAACCCGAACACCACACTATGCCAAATCAAATGCCAGATTTGGAATGTCAGAACCAAATAAGACGTCATATGTCAGACAATATATCAGCATATATGTTATATGGAAATAGTATACCAAATGAGATGCCAGGGCAAATATCAGAATATTGTGTCAGAAATATTTGCAAGATAAATGCCAGAAAGAATGTCAGAGTCAAACATACTCAAGCAGAATGCCAGCTAAAATGTCACAGAGAATGTCCGAATACTTGTAAGAATGTGTGCCAAATAAAATTGCAAAACATATGTCACATCGATTTTCTCAGAATGTCAGAGCATATGTCTGAGATCAAGCCAGACTATAGGTCAGCTAGGATGCCCGAATATGCCAAAATACATGGGATAGAATGTCAGAATGTATGTCAAATAATGTCGAATAGAATCTATGTCTGTTGGTGGGGATAGTAATCAAGGTCTGCCCGCTATCCCACGTATAATATCCCACGGCTAGTGTCTACACCTTGAAGAAGGATATCCAAACACTGGAGCTGTCAGAGCGCTTCTGAAGAAACCAGTCGTTCACCATCGGTGATCTGCACACGATTCTAGTGCACCTGAAAATTCAAGCACTACATGCATCATAGAAAGGCTTAACATAGGGATCTCCACTAAAATGGCACACCAAAACAGTTCAAACAGGGTCTATGATGGCAAAGGTTTTGCATATGCCATCTTACTGGGGCTCTCTATACCTCTAAATCCCTCGGTTTCCCCATTAAACATGTGCAGGTAAAAACACCAACTTTATCTTCATGAGGGATCAATATCCGCCCCCCCTCTGAACAATATATTGATGGGGGTAAAAACATCCACTTATCTTCATGAGGAACATCAACTTATTTGATGATGATGGTGATGATGATGATGATGATGATGATGGGGATGAGGATGATGAAGAAGAAGATGATGATGATGATGAGGATGAGGATGATGAAGATGATGATGATGATGTTGATGATGATGTTGATGATGATGATGATGATGAGGATGATGATGAGGATGATGAAGATGATGATGTTGATGATGATGATGAGGATGATGATGATGTTGATGATGATGCTGATGATGATGATGATGTTGATGATGATGATGATGATGTTGATGATGATGATGTTGATCATGATGATGATGATGATGATGATGATGGTGAGGGTGATGATGATGTTAATGATGATGTTGATGATGATGATGATGATGGTGAGGATGATGGTGAGGATGTTTATGATGATGTTTATGATGTTGTTTATGATGACGTTGATGATCATGATCATGACAGTTGTATGTGTGGAGCAACGTCCGGGTTGGGCGGATCATGTGCACTTGGTATCACTTGGTCCCGCCTCGTCACGGATGGCCGTGGAACGGAGGTCGTTGTAGATTAACTTGAATAGGCAGTTGTAATCCCCGGTGCCTGCCAGCAATTTTCATTACCCTAGGATAATCTGCCCCATAGATATTCAAAAACAAACCATTTGTAGCCAAATTCTTGGGGAAAACCCTGTTGTTTCCACATCCATGTTAAGGTTTACCCTGGGGTAAGTCCCATCTGCCCATCTGTAATTTCTTAGGGGGGCATATCCTCAATAAGAACCTGGATCCGGATGATTTAGTGTAACATAATATAACTAATTGTCGTAAATCGTACTGTCAAAGCGTCAATGAGGATGTAACCATCAAAAATCTGGGATTTCATCTGATAAGAATTTGCGAAACTACAATGGTGAGAGAATGCCGGCCAAATGGGATTTACCATCCCAGACACAAACAAATTTATTATCATTGATTGTTTTAATGATAGATTAAATACCACGCAGTGAATATGTATATATATATATATAGAATTATATATATATGCATATGTGTATATATATATATATATGTGTATATTATATAGACAATGACAAGCACATGTTTACATATTCATAATCACATATACATCTGCTGTATATATATATATATCTCTGTGTGTGTGTGCGCGCTCATGCAGTGCCAATATACCAAGTAAACTCAAGTAAACTAACCATACATGAAGGTATTGGACCTCATTCCCATTTGCCATTGCCAGGTGCCCAAGGAATTCTGGTTTCTGTTTTAAACTGGCTATCAAGTAGACATGAAAAAACCTGATAAGCCCCGAAACCATTTGCAATATATGAAGGGGAGGCTTCATTTTGGTTCATTGAAAAAACGTATGTGTCCTCTGATATGAAATAGTGATCCAAAATGACCTTCCCCTTCACCTCGCTCAACCGGGCTGTCATCCCGCCAGGGAGCTGTCTAAGATGCTCTTGAGCTCAGTGAGCTCGGTATTTTTGCAGCTCAAAATCAAATCCTCAGTGCCATCCCATTGGCTTCCCCCGAAAACTTGCACCATCCGTTCATCCGGTCTGAAAAAAGGACATTCCCGAAGTGGTATCGATCAATGCCTGCTCGATATATCTCGATATACTCCCAAGCGAAAATCGAAACATGGCAATCGTAGATGCCATCTAACGAGATGCCAACACGTATGGCAACTCGCGGTTTTCACTCCTAAGGCAACTCGCGGATCTCCGCCGAGCCACTCGCACGTATTCATTCCGCCGGCCGTTGACGCCATACTTTTGCATGCCCTAAGCAAGGCAGCGGCAAAAGACTTGGCCAGTGATAGGCCCATCCGGGTACAGTAGGATGTGTATGTGTACCAAGTAGCAACTGACTGAAATGTTGTTTTTCTGGGTCCTTAGTTGTGACATGTTGTGATATGTTGTGACCATGTAAGCATCAATGTTGGGTATGTGAGCAACATATAAACATCGGGATTTGATTTGACGTGATTTAACTTAAGACTTAAGCAAAAACAAGGGAACAGACCGCCAACACCAGTCAGTGGTTGAGCCACCGCAGCCACCTCCCTGGATGTCAACGGATGTAGTGAGTGGAATACACACACATATATATATATATATATTTATATCATTTGCAAGCACCATCACAACCCATTGGGGATCCCCCATTTTATTGCAAATCTACCAGCCATTTCGTCACTTGGCACAGAAATTCGCCCAAGAAATGGACCAGCCTTCCCAGTCACCGAACAAATGCAGTGCAGTGGCGTTCAACAGCATGGCTTTGCTCCAAACGTCCAACAAGCCTGGACCGGTCATCGACTGGTGGCCAACTGATGGAATACGAATCCTTTGAAACCCTTGGGTTTTAAGTCAAAGACACCTGGATTTGCTTGAGATTGCCCGGGTAGATTCCCCAAATGGTGACTGAACAACTTTGAACATATATATATATATACACATATATATATTATGTATACGTTTATACATATGATGTACATATGGCTGTCCTTCTGCCACCCCGCCATGTACCAAAGATGCCTTTACCCAAAGCGCTTTCCACCAGTAGCTCGTGCACTTCGTAGCGCGTGGCCTCAACACATCGGTGGAATCCTGGTGGCCAAATGGCCAGCGAAAGGTTGCTATATGCTGGTAGGTATGGCCCATAGAAATAGATGATTTACGATGATTTACCTATTAACTATTGAACAAAGTGATTTTCCAAAATCTATATCGGGTTGTTGGTATACCTACCCCCTCTGAAAAATATGAGTTCGTCAATTGGGATGATGACATTCCCAATATATGAAAAAACAATCATGTTCCAAACCACCAACCAAAGAATATGTGACTTCCAAGACCTGGCATCCGATATGTTCATAAGCTCTCTCTCCCTCTCTGTATCAATATTGTAGAATCTGTACATATGTATTATTTGATGTTTAGATACCTCTATCATACAATATACGTGCATGCATAATATGTATATATATATATATATATATTTGTATATATATATATATGTGTGTGTGTGCGTGGAAATTGTGTATTGCCGGTATGTATAATGAATCTATATATAAAGTATATCATTGAGTATGATCCGAGACATCAACTAAGCAACTAGGCACAGATGCTCCCACATGTTCAGCATGAGCCAAAATCCAACGCCCCAGTGCTGTTTGACACACCGGAAACGGCCTGACATTCCAGGATGCTTTACAATCAAAGACACAGCTACAAGCAGCAGCCCGACAGCCCCATGCACTCGTTCCAGCCTGAAAAATGGACTCCAGATTGACGCGCATGTAGATCTCGCGCATCTCGCTGTGATCGCCTTGGAAACATCCCGATTCATCCTGTTGAACTCGAAGAAATAGTGATTTGACGAAAAGAAAAAGGATTGTGGCTCATGGCACATTAATGGGACGTACCATCTGGTAATTTGTTATACATATATATATATGGAACATGAATAAGTTACAGTATCTAGTTCGACTATTTGCCATCTTAACGGTGATTATCCACACCAAAGATGTTGGTTTACCTATTTGGGCACCCCCAAATCCCCTTTGGAAAGCGCTGCTTCCGCGAAAAAAACATGGCCTGATGCTGATCAACGACCACAAAGGTGGCAACCATTCCACGCAGGCCATGCCTTCTTTAAGACACATTGATTTCACCGACCTGGTCACAACCACACCATGACTTCCCTGCGGGCACCGCCGAACCCAACAACAGTTCAACAGTGTCTGGTGTGGCCATGACACACTGCTCCAGAACATAGGTTAGAAGTTCCTTCACCTGCCGTTTGCAGAATGGGTTGATGTTGCTTCGTTTGCAGCAACCATGTTTAGATAATTGATGATACCCTCTGGTAAACTAACATAACTATGGAAAACCACCATTTTTAATGGGAAAACTCACTATAAATGGCCATTTTCAATAGCTATGTTAAATTACCAGAGTGTAATTGTCCCAATAAGGCCATAGTATCCTCAATGTTTGGAGGATTTTCCAAGGTTTCGCCGCCAGTTTTCACCAAGGTTGAACCCCGTTTTCACTCAATGACATGGGGGCGCCTTGTTGAGCGTGTTGCGCCGGATGACGATGCGAGGCACTTCTTGGATGACCAAATAGGTCATCAAAAGGACCCAGGCGACCTATGGGCGAAAGCAAAGCATTGGAAGATACTAAAATCCATGGATATGAATGGCATCTACATCTATGACTATATCTATACAAATAATAAATATATACAATGTGTATATATATATATAAAGCAAGAGCGAGACATTAAGATATGATATATCATTACATATATATATATAAATGCGCAGTAACATTTGTGGACAAACAATCCCGTGCCCATTTCAGTGATTTCTTTACGAAAACGAGAGACGACTTTGACTCTGGGGCACCCGGATGGGATGGAAGAGGACCCAGGCAACTTCGAAGTAATTCATCGCTGCCCTTAGTGGTCGTTCTCAGGAGGTACACCCCCTGAATGGGCCCCCTGAACATGTTTAAAATATCACACCCTAATTGGTCCTCTTCAATAAAAAAATCATCTGCCTCACCCCATCTTTTAGGTTCCATGTTAGATCTATATTGATTTATGGGGTGTAGTTGAGTGGGTTAGGAAGTTATGGTGTATACCTATGACCCCGCGAAAGCGTTGGTGCTGGACATGTTGGACTTGAGGTTTGAAGTGCTGGAAAATGGTGCCTCAATAAATGTGACGTCTTGGATATAATGATCAAGCTATATGGATTTGTGAAAACAGCAGATTTTTTACCAGGAAATCCACATTTGTTTCATAGGAAAACCTGGGAAACACCATGTTTCGCAATATGTTTCTACAACTTTTATGTTGAAGCACCCGACAGGAAACAAAGGAACATCCGCTTTCCCAGCTTTGCCAAGTAGCATCTGGGTATAGAGCAGTGGAAGCAGCAGAATAGAGAAGACCTCGACTCTTGCTGCAGCCCATCCCCAAAGAAATATTAGTGGGTAGGGATCATCATATATCATCATACCAAGGAGGCCAATGTTGAAGTCTTGCAGTTGATGAAACTGGACATATCACGACTTTCGATTGGCGGCCCCGAATGCCTGCCGATGGAACAGGCCCACTTCGCGCTTGATGGAGAGCTTTGTCATGTACCTGGGTCGATGGGTTGGGTACCCTCCACTGTCATCAGCTCCATGGCTAGCCGGGAAATCCCCAAACTTAAACTCAACAGGCATTTGAATGGGAAAATATAGGAAATCATCTATGAATCGGAGATTTTCCATTGCCATGCTTGAGTACCAAAGGGCAAGCATCATTTTAACTACAAGTAGTGGTCATTTGGAGGCCCAAAATGTGGCCACAAGTGATCTTCCTCGCTATGTTCAGTTCAGGGATGTCCATGGAAAATGTCTTTGGGGGAAGTGTTTGGTGAAAATCACCAACAGTCTTCCATTGATAAGTTACACAGGAATCCCTTGAAATGTCGTTTTCCCTTGGGCAAATAGCAGAGTTTCTCACATCACCCACCCCTGATGATATCGACTCATGAAGGCTTCACCACCTAGGTAAACCCAACAATACACCATCCCTTAGCATACGTGCGCGCGCACGTGACGAGTGAACGTGTCAACGCACGTACGTACGCTCACACGTCCGTCCACTCGTACTCACATGTCCGTCCACTCGCACTTCACGCGTCCGTCCACTCGTACGCTTACACGTACGCTGGGTCGTACGCACGTCCGTCACCACGTTCATTTGCACTCGTACCCCCTACGTTCACTTTTTGCCTATAGAGGCTTTAAAAACACCTTTTACGAGACTTTAAAAAAAGCTTAACCATCCCTATAAACAATAAAAGAGGGATTCTTTTACATCATTACTGGTTGGTGGTTTGAACCATATTGAAAAATATTAGTCAAATATTTTGGAAAATAAACAATGTTCCAAACCACCAACCAGATTATAATGCCATATAAGTCATTCCAAGCGGGGGTCTATGCATCACCAGAAACCATACACATATATATATATATATACTGTATTGGGAATGGTTCATCGTAAACCGAGACTAGGTTTTCTACCTGTCCTCCTCCCCCAACACGACGCATCTGCGCCGAGCTACACTTCAAGTTGTTGCAAAACGCGCTGGGCCAATCTGACGATGCAAGCGCATGCCAAGTTTCCCAACCATACCGCGTATATGTCATTTATCATCCCGGATAGGGGGGAAGAACTAACATATATTGACATATTGGATACTCTGGGTAAGCTAACATAGCTATAGGAAAAATGACATATTCAATGGGTCAGCGAGGCAAATGGCCATTGTCAATAGCTGGTTGAAATGACCAGCGGGTACCAACAAGACCAACGAGAAGGGTGAACCATCTGCTTGTGGCGCACTTGTCATCTGAGTGGGGCCGAGTCCGAGTGAAGGTGCGATTGTCGCCATGCGCAAAAAACCTCGGCAGGCTTTACGCGCCAAGAAGCTCACTGTGAGCTACTATAGCTGGGGGAAACGAGCACATTCCTTTCAAAAAGTTGATTCATGGTGATTCGGCCGTTCATTGGAAAGCTGGGATGAAGCAAATCCATCGCAAGTTCTTGCCAGTTCCCGAAAACAGCCACACAATGTTTCCGATTCCAAGGATTCACACGGATGAACAGGTGAAAAATCGGCGCCACCGAGGAACGGCTTCATGTGCCTGGGATTGATGACGCTCACGTAGATCTTCCTGAGATCAGTTGGTCAGTTGGGGATGGCTCAAACTTGAAGCACATAGCCATGTGCAAATCACACCCCCCAACACATTATCTAAGCACAAACCGTCATGTGAAATTTCAGGCCTTAATTGGAACAGATTGCCTTCCTAAAAATGGAGCGGTGTAGGTCCCAAGTCGAATAGTCTGGTTGCTGTGAGTCTCAGTGCTAATGTTAAGTTTAAAAAATAATGAATTTACCCTCTGGTAAACTAACAGCACTATGGAAAATCACAATTTTCAATGGGTAAATCCACTATTCACTATAAATGGCAATTTTCACTAGCTATGTTTGTTTACCAGAGGGTAGATGCTCCAAATGCTTGGATACCACAAATGGCGAAGTTTTCACATCGAACGCATAGCTCAATTCTTCGAATCCCGCAGTCCTCATCGGCCGTGATACTACACAGATATATGGAGATGATATGTCATCAAATTCCATGCGTCAAACATATCCACCAAAATACGTGTCTTCTAGCCCTTACCGGCCCTTACCCTCTGGTAATTTGTTACAGTTTGCTATTGAACATGGCCATTTAGATCCATTTAGTTCGTTGATTTAACTTTAACAATTCAAAAAGGGTGGATTTTCCAGTTTGCTGTGTAAGTTCCCCATCGTTTTTTGGTATGATCAGAGGCATATCAGAAATGTCCCGAAGCCAAAAGAAATCCCGGTGATTGCCCCAAGGGTCATCACGATCAGCACCGCCATAAAGCGCGCGACGTAGAACGCCACATGCGTCCGACCGTCCAAGTTCTTGTTCGGCACCACGAGGAAGGCCCTTGGAGACCGGATAGAGACCGTCTGAGATCAAGAAAAATGTGCCAAACATGGCCAAAGCCCACTTCTTTTAATGAATATTATGTTGATATTGATATTATATCATATATGTTCATATTATAATATCAAATTATATCATATTATATCAAATTATATCATATTATAAGGTATTATATCATATTATATCAAATTATATAATATTATAAAATATTATATCATATTATAACATATTATATCATTAACCTATGTCAACAAAGTATGATTAACCTATAAAACTGATAAATATTATCACGATTTATAACGTATTACAACTACAGGAATGAGCAGGAAAAGCGCGCAGGGGCTGCGGTTGCTAAGTCCAAGGTGCGTCAAGGCTCCTATGATGGGAGCCCCAAAATCATCCAAACTACTGGTCATTTTCCATTGGGAAAACACATGGTCTCGGGGGCAGCTGAAGTTCAAGAAAAAAAAACACAGGTCCGAGGGGCACAGCGGTGGTGCTCAGGACAAAAATCAAATACCAAGCTTCCTGAGTGCCATTGGGTTTTGACAGTTTTCTGTCGCTGCTTAGATTAGATGTGTGGGATTTTGTTCTGAAGTGGCTATGTTCATGTCCATGTGAAATAACCCAACAATATCCAACAATATCCAACAGTATCCAACAGTATATAGATATGTGGGAGATACAACAATTTCACATAAAAGGATAACTGGTTGGTGGTTTGAACCCCTCTGAAAAATATGAAAGTCAGTTGGGATTATTATTCCCAGTATATGGAAAATCATAAAATTCATATTCCAAACCACCAACCAGATAAAGGGTCTTTTGACATTAACCACTTGCAATTTCTGGGAGACCCGAAGTAACTGCTGAAAGGTTCCACCACTCAATGTTCTAAAGCAGGAGATCGTCTCTCCACATCCAGGAAAAATGGGAATGGATTTGGGTTATATGGGTGTCTGAACATGGGGTATATCCAGATGTTTAATAGGTCAATGGTCATTTCAGGAACCTAAAATGGACTGTACCATATAAGGCCATATGTTGTGGGTATATTCCCTTACATAGGCCTTATATATGGTACGTACCTCCAATTTAGGATCCTGAAATTCCCATTGAATAGGGAACATGATGAAATTCATCAGTCGATTTTTGGATACCGTATTCTCAGACAGTTCGATGGAGATTTCAGGATCCCCCAAAATATGGAGGCACTGTACCACATGAAGCCAGCGAGTTGGGGGCATATCTTCGCCTTACATAGCCCCCTATATAAGCCTTATATATGGTGGGTAGCTCCAATTTAGGTTTCTGAAATGGCCATTGATCAGTGTATCTAAACTGGCGGTTTGTATTGGATTTACCCCTTGGTAATCAAACATAGCCATGGAAAACCACCCATTTACTTCGATGATTTTCAATGGATTGATGGAAATGTTTCAATGGATTGATGGAAAAAACAGCAAATATAGGGGGGGTTCCAGCAGATTTTCCCTTGAACCGATGCTAGGATAGCTAGTCTGATCTAAAAAACATGGGGTCCCACTTGAGGTGTGGGGTAGATCCAAGATGTTTCTCCAAAAAGAAAGGGGTGGCTGCCAAGAAAAATTGCAAAGACATCCAAAAACATGATAGCGGACATGATTTGCATCATTTCCCAAGCCCCAAAGAGTTCGGCGATTCTAAGCTGTTTCCGCTTAGCCAGGTCATTTCTAGAGGGACACCAGCCCCTCCCACAGCACGTGCTGCTCAAAGACTGCCAAGCGAGTCCAATGACAGGGCCCTCCTTCAAACAAGAGATACAACACTGCAAAGCAGGCCGCCTGCAGATGGGAAGATTGCCCACCTGGTGGGTACCTAATCAGACCTAATCCACGAATCAGCGCATATATTACTAATCATTACGACAAATAAACGAAGTAGTACGAAACGGCGCAGGCAATTAATAATTTAATATGCATGCATACATGGGTAATACACAATCATCTTCAAACGACTGTTTTTCACAGCATCCAATTTCATATTCCACAGATTCCATGGATTTCATCGTCTTGTGAAACCAGCTCACCATTGGGAAAAAAAGGTGACTGGGATAACTTGTAAACGTTTTACATAGATGTGAAACAGCCACCATGAATGTAGATCATTTTCCGGAAACCATTGGTTTTTCACATCTATGCAAACGTTTAGCCTGGGGTATCATTTATCTCATGGCAGTTTCAATCACCAGAAAGATCACTGAACAAATCATGATCCCAATCCATGGAAAATAAGTAGTTCAAAATAACCAGCCCATGAAAAATATCCCGTTCCCCATACTAACCTTTAATTTACCCAAATCTTGGGAAACTCGTGGGGAATGATTCCTCAAAAAATTATGGCCACCGAACTCACCAATCTCACACCTCAATGGATTGATTTACGGGAAATCTTCAGCCAAAATACCTGGCTCCCCTCCAAATAATCCCTTTCACCCAAGAAAAGGCCCAAAATGAACAAATCCAATCCATTCCACCAGGCGTTCGCAAGGGGATATTAAGGGGGAAACCCTTATAGTTGATGGTAAGAACCCATGGTTTCCGGGTAAGATTTTCCCTTCGACCAATCCAATGACCTTCATATATCCATCACATATGTATTTATATATATACATATATATATATATATATTCCATGTTTCATGGTTAACTCCCATTGTTCATGGTTAAATCATGTTAAATCCACTATATTAATTTGGCGGTTCCGTCAAAAAACATGTCCCAGGCGCGATGATCAAAAGCTTCAGGGACAGGCGCTCCAGGTTCTGCGAATTGGTGATTTCACCAACGAAGAAATGCCGAGATTTGAGCATCAAAAATCATCAAAACCATGGGTTTAAGGGATTGGTTGAAGGGAACATCTTACCCGGAAACCATGGTTTTTACATGTCTTTACCATGAAATGTAGAGGTTTCTTATGGTTTCTTGCAAATTGCCTCATCAAAACATACCCTACTGCTCCAAACACCTTCTGAGACTGAATTCGGAGTTTTTTGGGTCTAAACACCTTCTCAGAGGCTATTTGGAGCACTAGGGATATTCACAAATATTCAGAAATGGTGATTTCACCAACATGCGGTGATTGAATTCAACACAAATTCTGAGTAACGCTAGCATTCAACAGTATAGTGCCGGTAATTTGCTGGTGATTAAGCCACCCCGTTGTTGATTTCACACTAATATGGTATTAAAACCATCAACGCCTCGGATTGAGACTGGTTGGACCCTCTAGCGATCTCGCCTTTGTCTGGGGTTCACAGGCTTCTGCACGAACTCAATTTCTTTGGAGTTTCGAAGGTGGTTAGCAATGCTCAGTGACTATATACTATCCTTGTTACAAGAGAAGCAAAACCAACAATCACCAGGATCCACCAGGATCCACCGGGGGTCCAGGTGCTCGAAATCGTCAGCGCAAGCGCCAGGTGCATAAAAGGTTTGACCAGGATGGGTACCTCTGAGTCGTTGTGTTGATCGCTGCTTCAAGATGCTGAAAAAGTAACTCCGGCTGGAGAATAGCAAACAAAAGATACGAAAATGCGTTTTCAAAGAAGTAAGCGTGATGATAATGTGATCATTCATGAAAAATGAAACAGATGGAATTACTACCTGCATTAAAAGAACTATATGAAATATTGAGAAGAGCAACTTAGGATTATTTGACCAAACAAGAACATTTCAGGCCACAATACTTAAAACTTAAAAGCTTGGACTATCACCGATTTGAGGCCTTTTCTCCCCTCCCACATTTTGGTGCAAACGGTGTAGAGATTCCCCTCCGAATTTCATCCTGAAGACTTTAGGGGATGTACACCAGGACACTTCAAAAAACCTATATAACCCCAGGGTACCATTTAATATGCATGTGCAACCGATGTTCCTTTTTCAAAATTCAGAATGCACATTGCCATCTTCCCTGATTAGAGGGTAGACTTAGCAAATTCTTGCCTCATGGGTGACAACCTGGCCCGAAGCTTTCACAAGGCGGCGTCTGGACCCCATACCGAGACGCTGTTTTGACAGCCAGCGATGTGCCAAAACCTCTGGGCTTAGCACAGGTGGCCCCATGATGTTGGAACATCATGGAAAATTCATGGAAAATCATGGAAAATCAAGCTGCATGGTTTCCACATGTTTCCAAAATTAGACACTCTCGAGTCACTTTCGTCCCAAACATCTCCGGAGCATGCAGCATGGGTGTAGCATTGGGGTAAACAATGGCTCACCAAGTGGAAGCAACTTAAGAAACTAGACGACGGATGGCCCGAGAGCGTAGAGGAGCAGGGTCTTCTCTTGTTAGTATGGAGACACAATTTTACAAACAATATATGAAAGATGTGTTATAGGCAGTCGAGAAGAGAAGTAGCAAGACAAAATAGTGAGAAGTGCAAGACAATAGTTTGCATCGCAAACACTTTTACACACAGACGCTTTTACACACAAAAGTTTTTACACACAGAAGCTTTTACACACAGAAGCTTTTACACAGAGGCTATTACACACAAAGCTGTTACCCACAGAAGCTTTTACATACAGACGCTTTTACACACAGATGTTTTTACACACAGACGCTTTTACACGGACACTTTTACACACAGACATGTTTACACACAGACACTTTTACACACAGACCTTTTTACAGACAGGAGCTGCTTTTACACACAAACGCTTTGACACACAGAAGCTTTTACACATAGACGCTTTTACACACAGGCACTTTTACACACAAACACTTTTACACACAAACACTTTTACACACAAACACTTTTACACACAGACGCTTTTACACGCAGACGCTTGTACACACAGAAGCTTTTACACACAAACACTTTTACGCAGAAACACTTTGACACACAGACGCTTTTACACACAGACGGCTTTACACACAAGCGCTTTTACACACAATCACTTGTACACACAGACGCTTTTACACAGAGGCCGGCCCATGTCGTCACAGCGAAGTCATCGTTGTCGTGGCGACCTCAGCAATCCGACGGGGTGGTGTGGCGAAGTCCTATTTCCATGTGCCTCGAAACCAGCATGTATAAACATGTCATGCGGGCTATGTGCTTTGGGGCCCCCCAACCAAGGTGGTTTGCCATCTCCTGAAAAAAAAAAGTATAAACTGGCGGACCTGGCAGGCAGCGACCGTTTCTGGGCTGGGACACGCACAGTATTACAATATGATAGAAGTTGGTTCTTTATGGGTTTAGGGTCCTGACTCCTGACTGTGACTGGAATGGAAACTCTTATCTTAACACTCATACATCCATCTCTATATATTAAAAGTCATACATCCATCTTTATATCATATCTCTAGATCTATCTCAATATAAAATATATCGATTTGTTTCTTTGTGGTAGCAGCTTATCCAGGTAATCCATCCCATCCCGGGGCCCTGACTCGATGCAAACCTAGCTGCACAGACCAACAATGCGGACCCGCAAAGCATTCAAGGACTATGACTAATGACTGTGACAGATCACATTCAGCGATGTCCCGGCACAACTATATGCGCAAAAGGAATCGGCAGCTTTATTGCTCTTCTATGGAGTCTCAGACCGTTCTGCTTGACCCACGCCGATACACTATGGTGAGACAGGATGCACTACGGTGAAACTGAATGTCTCAAGCAAAGATGCGTGCATCAGCAAGTCTCAGACAGTTCTGGTTGACTCATGCTGATGCACTTCATTTTCAAATTCAATGCTCAGACAGTTCTGGTTGCAATACAAGAATCAAAGTTAAACATCAAATAACTAAGCTGCTCACAAAGGTGTTGACGCACGCCGATGCACTACAGTGAGACAGGATGCACTACGGTGAAACTGAATGTCTCAAGCAAAGATGCGTGCATCAACAAGTCTCAGACAGTTCTGGTTGACTCATGCTGATGCACTTCATTTTCAAATTCAATTGACATCAGTGGCTACCGCGGTTGATCTTTATCTGGGCACCTCCACGGACCTTAGGTAAAATCCAACTACCATGCTATATAATATGAACAGGTACTACCACTGCCTCGATCTGCGAAATTCGTATCCTGTCTCATGAGGGCGGTGTGCTTTGGGGCCCCCCAACCAGGGTGGTTCTGACAGGCGGCGGACATTGCTGGCCACCTCAGCATTTCGACGGAGGGGTGAAGTTCGTACCATGTATTTGTACTTTGTATTGCTCAGACAGTTCTGGTTGCAATACAAGAATCAAAGTTAAACATCAAATAACTAAGCTGCTCGCAAAGGTGTTGAGAAGACAAAGAATCGACCTGGCCCCCCGCCAGGGTGGGGGAACCATCCTATCACCTCAAAGTCTTATAGGAGCAGGCCATAATTATATACCTATTATCAAACTCTGAAGCTAAGGCCTAATGCTGTTAATCTAAATATTGTAAAGATCTAAGATGACGACTCGACGATGTGCACCTCATCACAATACGTGACCAAGTGTGTAATGTCATGGCGAGCCTAACTAAAACTTTTGTCAGTCCTGATATTGTCCTGCAAAAGCTTGAAGCCATCACTGCTTGCAGCAGCTGAACCAAAGCGTGCACGGCGACAACCTGGTCGTCCATCTTGCACTGGACACTGTTTGTGTGTTGCCGCATCGCATCCAGGATGTCCACAGGTCATCCAAGCGGCACTCCCGTCCTTTGGTGATGTTCCGAGCAAATGAACGGTTCGGTCCTTCACAGAATGCAATGATGTTGTTCCATTCCAGAACCTGCCATCCAATGAACAACGGCTAAGTGCACATACTCAGCCCGCCAGTGGATCTCCTAGTCCAAGGCCCAAAGCTCCTATACTCCTTGCTCACCCTTTTCTTCACACATCTGTGATGACCTTGGTGATCGCCGTGATGTTCTTCTCCAGGAAATAGCTAGTTACTTGCTTCTTCAAAATGACATCGTTAACCATCAATTTGAAGCCACTCGATCAATCCCAAAAAAGTTCAATGGACCATCTCAAAGGGGATCACTTTGAAGAAGCAACAGAAAATATTTTTTGCTTTTCTTTACTTAGAAAAGTCCGTCCGTCCAGAGAGAGGCCTATCTGCCCACAACAAGAGATCTGGGGGGAACCAGGGTTACTGGCACTGCAGGCCAAAGGTTATCATAGATTCAATTGGGAGGAAGTGACAATAGATGTACCATGGCTGATGGCGTGACCATGGTACACCATCACTTCAATTGAAAGTCATAAGACCTGAGGAGGAGCCTGGACACGTATACCTTATATCGTGCGTGCATGTGTTGATGGGGTGGTGTGGTGAAGTCCCATTTCCATGTGAACCGGAAAAAAAAGGAAATGCTCTTACTCGAAACCAGCATGTATAAACATGTCATGAGGGCTGTGTGCTTTGGGGCCCCCCAACCAAGGTGGTTTGCCATCTCCCCAAAAGAAGTATAAACGGGCGGACCTGGCAGGCGGCGAACGTTTCTGGGCTGGGACAAGCACAGTATTACAATATGATATAATGGGATGGCCCTTGTGCTCCTTTCCATGTGCTTTTTGGGTTTAGGGTCCGGACTCCTGACTGTGACTGGAATTGAAACTCTTATCTTAACACTCATACATCCATCTCTATATATTAACACTCATACATCCATCTTTATATCATATCTCTAGATCTATCTCAATATAAAATATATCGATTTGTCTCTTTGTGGTAGCAGCCTGCCTATCCAGGTAATCCATCCCATCCCGGGGCCCTGACTCGATGCAAACCTAGCTGCACAGACCAACAATGCGGACCTGCAAAGCATTCAAGGACTATGACTAATGACTGTGACAGATCACATTCAGTGATGTCCCGGCACAACTATATGCGCAAAAGGAACTGACAGCTTTATTGATCGTCGATGGAGTCTCAGACCGTTCTGTTTGACTCACGCCGATGCACTATGGTGAGACAGGATGCACTATGGTGAAACTGAATGTCTCAAGCAAAGATGCGTGCATCAACAAGTCTCAGACAGTTCTGGTTGACTCATGCTGATACACTTCATTTTTAAAATCGTCTTTGCGCCAATGTGCTTACAAAGTCTCCGATTACCGGTGACAGGTAACCGGAAAGGTCTCTACCGCCCCAAGGCAGGACGGACCCACCAGCCAGGATCGCAGCGAATGCAAAGTTTGTTGCTTGAACCTGCTGGACACCCTTGAGCCGATCTTGAATGTAAGAGCTGTCACCGCCAGAGTCTGGAAAACCCCAAGTCACGACTGACTCATCGGCCAGGATCGCAGCAAATGCGTAACAATTTGCTTGAACCCATTGGACACCCTTCAGTTGATCTTGGACTTCAGAGCTGTCACCACCAGAGTCTGGTCTGCCCCAAGTCACAATCGACCCATCTGCCAGGATCGCAGCAAAAGCCTCACTTGTGGCTTGAACCTGCTGGACACCTTTCAGCTGATCTTGGACTTCAGAGCTGTCACCACCAGAGTATGGAAAACCCCAAGTCACAACTGACTCATCGGCCAGGATCGCAGCAAATGCGTAACAATTTGCTTGAACCTGTTGGACACCCTTCAGTTGATCTTGGACTTCAGAGCTGTCACCACCAGAGTCTGGTCTGCCCCAA